GGGGGCGATGGCGGAGCACAACGGAGCGCAGAGAGTGCGGCGGCGAGGCGGCGGCGCTGGCGGATATGGGGCGTGGCGTGGCGGTGTGGAGGTGGGGTGGAGGCGGCTGCATCGCGTCTCGGCGCCTGCAGCAGCAGCACGAGGAACGCGGCGTGTGCGGGCTGCACCGACGGGAGCATCGCGAACTGTGTCGTCCCGACTAAGCCGCCCGTCGCCGCGGCGGCGGCGGGGGCGGCGGCGAGGGCGAGGCCGGCGCGGCGCGCGGCGGCGGCAAGGAGGGTGTCGGAGGCGACGTAGAGGGCCCAAAGGTTTGGCGCCCAGTAGGCATGGACGAGGCCGCGCCTAGAAGGAGGGCTCCGAGGAGGCTGAGGTGGGAAGCTGAGGTGGGAGGCTGAGGTGGGAGGCTGAGGTGGGAGGCTGAGGTGGGGGCCCCTCGAGCTCGGCAGGGCACGGAGGCGAGCGAGAGGCAGCCGAGAGGCAGCCGAGATATAGGCAGAGGAAATCTGCAGCCGAGATCTAGGCTAAGCCGGCGGACCAGCCGAGATCTTCACACTCTGCCGAGATCTCGCCGAGATCTTCACACCAGCCGAGATCACCCGAGATCACCCGAGATCACCCGAGGTCTAGAGGCTGCGCCCAAATGGGAAGAGACGGCGCAAGACGGCGCCGAGCTGCCCAGCGGCGGCGAATGGACCAAAGGAGACTCCGAACACCGCGAGCACCAGAGCTGCCAGCGCCGCAAACCGTGCGACGGCGCCACGCCCTCCGCCAGCGCAGTTGGTGGCGCTAGCAGACTCGGCGGCGGCGGCGGCGATTCGCGGAGCAGGCCGGCGCAGGACGTGCGCGGCAAGGAGGTGCGAGAAGAAGAAGGGGGCGGCGAAGAGGAAGAGGTGCTTCAGATTGAGCAGGACGGCGAAGAGGGCGGCAGCGGCCAGCTGCCGCCCTCGCACCAACGCCGCACACGAGAGCAGCAAGAGTCCGATCATCGGGCCATTGTACTGAAAGTGGACGTGGTCGACGAGGAGCGCGCCGGCGTCGCAAAAGGAGAGCGCCGTCGGGACGAGCCAGCGCCAGTGCGAGGCAGCGGCCCGCGGCTTGACGCGCTGGGTGGCGGCGGGCGCGAGGGAGACGGCGAGGGAGGCGGCTCCGCCGAGCAACAGCAGATCAAAGGCGATCACCGAGCAGCGCTGGTATGCGACGGTCGCGGCCGAGACGTAAGGTACGGCGGAGAGGGTCAGCATTTGCGGCTCGACGCGCTCGCCGCCGCAGGCCAGTAGCCGCTCGAACCACGCGAAGAGCGGCGGGTAGTCGAGGGTCCATTCGGAGGTCTCGTCTAGGTACCAGTTGTCAAAGGGCAGCTTCGCCGTGAGAGCCATCCAGTGGCGGTGCACCTCAAAGTCCGTCGAGCGGTACGCCGGCAGCAGCAGAAGCTTGAGGCCCAACGCGCCAGCGTACAGCGCGACGAGCGCGACGAGCGGATGCGTCATGCACATGGACATATGGGACTGCCGCGTGAAAAAAGAAAACGAACCGAGAGGCGGCGTGCCGTCCTCATCCCACCCTTGGGTCGTCTGTTTCATTCTTTTTAGGAGATCTAGGGGAGCGCAACCGGAGTACCAGTAGAGGAGGCCCGCGCGTGCGCCCACGAGCCACGTGCCGCCGGGTGCAAGGTTGTCAGTGAATGCCACCAGGAGAAGGATGCAAAAGGTGACTGACGCAGGTTGTAGATGCCGGTAGCCGTCCATGCTCTCCCGCCGCCGTTCGACGAGAGTCTTTGCTCGTCGTGGCTTGGCATGCAAGAACTCTTGCTCCTTACTGGGAAGGAGAGGGCGCTGCATTTTGCGCGCTATCCGCGGTTGGATCCGTTGCCCACCAGAAGCGAGGCCGCTCGTTCCGTCGCAAGGCTAGCACGCCAACTTTATCGACTTGTTCACACTTTTAATGGAGAAGAAAATCCCTGCCATGATAGCTTGTTATTCACAACACACACACGCGCGCGCGCGCGGGGGGGGGGGGGGGGGCGAACAAACTTCTTTATGGATTTAGGCCGCCAGAAAACACGCCTGCGCTTCACGCCATACAACCTCTGCCAGTTTACTCACATCCCCGCTGAGATGCGGCCCTCGGTCAAGGCCTGCTGTTCCTTTCTCTTTAGCATTGGCATGTTGGCATCGGCCTCAGTTGCTGAGACCCAGCACCCACACTCTCGGGCTCTCCCTCTCCCTCTCCCTCTGTCTCTCTATCTCTCTGTCTCTCTGTCTCTCCCTCTCTGTCTCTCTCAGGTCCGCGAAGTGTTTTGGCGGAGCGTTCGTGGTGTGTGTGCGCGCGGAGCGCGGCCCGCGGTTCGATAAAGTCTCCTTCTTTAAGCTAGAGACGGTAGAGTGTTTGGGCGCGTTTACCGCGCACCAACACGGCAACAACGCGGCACACGGCCCCGTTTTGGCTGTGGTCTGCGCGGAGATTCTGTCTTAGCACACACAGTGAGTCATCTCTGGGGGGGCGCGGGGGCCCCCGGAGGCACCGTGCGCCGCGCAGCAGTGCGGAAACGGGGCTCCGGCGCTCAGAGTCGCTCGTCAGAGCACCGACTTCCCGAATGATTATGGTTGATTAGAGGGCAGATTCGGAGAGATCTCGAGGAGTACATACAGATAGACCCTCCAATCATCAGCAAACTCCGACCTGTTCGGTCGTACTGACCGCCGACAGATCACTCCAGACAGCAGACAGGCCGACGTCTGCACGCGGCCGGCCGGGCGAGAGGCTTGACACGATCCGACCCTGCGAGACCCTGACGCTGCTGCTCTAGCTATCAGACATGCACTGCTGACTGCTGCCACAATGTGCGACCTGTGCTGGCCCACTTGGCGGCCTTCCCGGTCAGTGGTGATGCGCAGTTCAGAGCTGTCGATGGCGCGATCCGCCGCACTGGTCCCACGTTGGTGACACGAGACCACCAAGTTTTCCGGTCCAAGAGAGAGGCACCGGCGCTGTCCTGAGAAGGTGCGTGGTCCCTCTTGACTGCCCATGCGCGCGAACGTGTAGGCATAGCCTCGAGAGTGCCAGCAGCCAATCTGAGGCAGTTTGTGACGCGCATTGCGTCAGAAGCGTGCACACATTGGAAGGACACCTTCCTACTGACCGTACGATCAGGTCGTCACTGAATGCTTGATACTAAGGCCGCGAGCTATGCAGGTGATCAATTGTGCAGCATGGCACGGTCAGCAGCGCCGACAGGCTGTCGCAAGGCGTGATAGCATGGCCGCAAGTACGCCGAATTCCCATGAAAACAAGTGAAAAATCGCGCACAAAAGAAAAAAATGCAAAAAATCGGTGCCTGCGGCGGGCCATCGGACCCCATCTCCCCCCCGCATGGATACCCTCTAGGGCCCCCGCGCCCCCCCAGAGTGAGTCATTCGGAGTCATTCGATGGCCAGAGTGCGATTGTGTGTGTGCGGGAGTTGATTTGTCGGGAGGGAGGGGCAGGCTGCTCTGTGCTCACCCACGTGCACCGGGCCCAGTGCTTTTTTGTGCACTTTCCTCTTTCGCGGAGAATGCCGTGCCCGTGGCGCGTGGGGCTCCTGCCCGTGTCCGGGTGTGGAGATGCGAGGGTCGCCCCCCCTTGCCCCACCACTTTGTGTGTGTGTGGAGAAACTTACCTTCTTACCTTACATGAAAAACCGGACGACAGCGACACTACACAGATATGTTGTCGGCACACGGCCGCGCCTGCGCACGGCAAGGGCCCGCCTGGCGCATGACCAATTTCCATGCGCCATCCTCGCCCTTCTCAAAGATGTTGATCGCTACGAGCTCTGGCCCGGCGGCGCCGCCGCCGGCGGTCGGCTTCTCGTCGGCGCCGCCGACAATCTCCCTACACGTAACTACTGCGGAGAGACCGCCTCGCAGCAGCCGCACGCTGTCGACGAGGCAGCGAACCCGCATCGGTGGCGTCGTTTGAAAGATGTCGCCGAACGACTCAAGCACGTTTTGGCGGCCTGTGACGAATGCGTAGCCCGGATGGGAACAAAAGACTTCCTCCATGACAGGGCAGCTGTCCTCGTCGCAGCCAGCCCAGACTGCCTCCATCGCCTTGACGCTCTTGCCGCTGAAGGCGGTGTAGAACTCATCGTTCGCCGCCAGGATTGCCACCTCCTCGTCCGAAGCGAGGGAATCCAAGGCGTCACGGAGCTCTGCTGCCTCTCGGTAGCGCTCGTTCTCGACAGCCTCGGCCAGCTGCCTCTTCGTCGCCTCAAGCTCGTCAAACTTTCCACTCATTTCGCTCATCGTCGCAAAGGCTCGCGGCCACACTCGCGTCGGGAGCGCCAGCGCTGGCGCTGCCCCAGCCAGCAACGCAAGCATGCCGAACAAACGGCGAAGCAGCGCGTAGCACTTCGCCCTGGCGTCAGTACTAAGAGCGTACGCTCGGACCCGAACTTTCTTTCTTTTTCGAGTCTCGCTGACAAAGTGATTAATTTCAAATCTCCAAGTGCTCCAACACGTCGTTCTCATTATCGTTATACCTCCCTTCCCACCTCCCAGTTCGCCCCCTGCCGCGCTTCGAACCTTCGTAGTTCGTCCCCACATATCGGCGCACATGGGTCATGGCACTCTCACCTCCACTCTTCAGCACCGTCGTTGGCCACTTGCCTTCCCGCGCGCGGGCCCAAGCTATGTGACTTGCTATGTGTTTATTGTGCGCGGCTGGCCGTTTATGTGCGCGTTTTGTACAACCGTACGAGAATTCCGCCGTGAGCCCGAAGCAGCAGCGGCGGCCAGCGGCAAACGCGCCGCAACCATCGAGACGTGAGAAAGTAGCGCGTCAGCGGTACGGCCTCGCGGCAGCCGCGATCATCTCCGCCTGCATCCGAGCGAACATCGCCTGCTGCATCGCGTCGCCGCCCCCTCCTGCTCCCGGCCCGCCGCCCGCCGGCCCGCCGCCCGCCGGCATCCCGCCCGCCTGGCCGCCGCCCGCCGCCTTGTCGCGCCTACAATGGCCCATCGTCTCGTTTGAGTCGGCCGCCTCTCGCCGCCCCCGCCCCGCCCCGCCCCGGCCGGCTCGCCCGACGTGAGGCAGCAGCTGCTCGCGGATCCCGTGCACCTTTGCGGCGTCGCTCGAGAGGGCCGCCCACTCGTGCTCGAGCACCTATGGGACATGTCAGGGAAGTGTCGTGGACATGTCCAGGACAGGTCCAGGGCCGCCCACTCGTGCTCGAGCACCGAGATCACGACCCACCCCTGGCTCTGCACTAGCCGGATCTTGACCTGCATCCCGCCGACCAGGTCCGAGGACGGCTTGGCGGCGCCCTGCAGCATGTCCGCGTCCGTGTGCAGCAGGATCGCGACCGGCGCCCCGCCCGTCACCTCGGGCGGAAGGACCAAATCGAGCACGTACATCGCGGCGTGCACCTGCACCCCGTGCCGCAAGCCGAGTGCGTCCAGCGCGCCTACGCGTAAGGCAACCCGAGGCCGGCTGCGGCGGCGCGGCGGCGCAATGCGGCGCTTTCGAGCCCGGCGGTGCGCGCGCCCGACACCTCACGCAGCGTCGCTCCCGGTGCCTGCGCGGTGCCGTGCGCCGCCTCGGCGGCGAGGAAGTGCGACTTTGCCCACAGCTGGCCCGCCGTGCGCACCATCTCGGCGGGCAGCGGCGGCGCGTCCGGCAGCTCGAGCTGGAGCATCAGCGCCGCCTGCAGGAGAGGGCTCCGAGAGGGCTCAGAAACGGCTCCGCCGGCGGCTCGAGCGGCAGCTTCAGCACCGACCTCGGCGACGAGGCAGAGCTGCGCCGGCAGCCGGAAGGCGGTCACGCGCGCCGCGTCGAGCGCCTTGAGCAGCAGCGCGTGCGAGTGCTGCCGCAAGGCGAGCAACGACCACAGGAGCACGGCGATCGTCTGCGGGTCGGCGAACGCGACCGCCTGGAGACGTGTCACGGACGCGTCAAAGACTTGTCAAGCGACGTCTGCGGGTCCGGCGCGACCGCCTCGGCGTGCTCGACGGTGCACGCGTCGAGGAGCGCCGTCGCGGCGGCGGGCTGGCCGAGCTGCGCGCACGAGCGCAGCACGCTCGCAGCCTCGCCCAGCTCCACCGGCAAGCCCGACCCGAGCATCTTTTGGACGAGCCCCTCGGGCGTCACTCCGTCGCACGCCTGTGGACACGTGTCGGGGACGCGTCAGGCGGCGTGCCAGCGAATACGTGTCTCGCGCGCCGCGCTGCGCCGCGCGCCTCGGGCGGAGGCACCGCCCGCACCGCCGCGAGCCCGTGTAGCAGGGCGGCGGCAGAGTGCGGCAGCAAGACGGCCGCGGCGCCGGCGCGGCCGAGCAGGCGCGGCAGCAGCCCCACCACGAGCGGCGAGGCGTAGTGCGCCGACGGCGAGAGCGTGGCGAGCGCCTCGAGGGCGGTGGCGGCCTGCGCCTCGTGCACCGCCTGCGGGGCCGTCGGTGGACGCGTCGTGGACAGGGCGCGGGGAGGGGGGGCGTCTTGCAGCGCCCCGCGTGGCGGCACCGCGTGGTCGAGGGCGACGCCGACGAGCCGCTCGGCGGCGGCGAGGACGGGGGTGGAGTCGTACCGCAGCCGCGCGAGCGCATCGAGCATGTCGGCGAGCAGCTTGGGCTCCATCGCCGGCAGAGCCGCGACGCCTTCGCCGACCGCGTCCAGCAGCGGCAGCCGCCCGACGGGCAGCAGCGACATGGCGCGCAGCGTCGCGCTCAGCCCAGCGGCGCCCTCGGCGGGCAACAACCGCGCCGCCGCCGTGCGCAGCTGCTCGGCGAGAGGGTGCGCGCCTACGGGACGGGACCGAGAGGGTTCCGGGAGGGCGCTGAGACGGCTCTGCGACGGCGGCGGCTCGGCGAGCGGCGCGCGCGCCCTGCGGCCCCCCACCCGGCGCGGCGGCGAGCTCGTACAGCGCCCACGCCGCGGGAAGCATGTGCACGGGGCGGAGCTGGTTCGAGTTAAGCCGCATCTCGATCTGCGACCGCGAGCCGAGGTGAGGGCCGATCCGCCGAGGTGGACGGGTATCTGGCCGAGGTCCGGCCGAGGTCCGGCCGAGGTCTGGCCGAGGTCTGGCCGAGGTCTGGCCGAGGTCTCTAGCCGCGTCTCGACCTGCACAGCGAGCCGGTGGGCGAGGGGAGCCTGCGAGTACGGCGGCCCGAGCCGACAGAGCGCCTCGAGCAGGTCGCAGAGCTGCTCGGCTGGCAGCGATCCGACCTGGGGGGGCGTGGGGGGGGCGGGAGGCGTATCATCTCGGGTAGCCTCGGGCATCTCGCGCCATCTCGGCTCACCTCAGAGAGCAAGTGGAAGAGGCGCTCCACCAGCGGCCTGACGGCGGCGAGCAGCGGCGCGCGCGCGTGGCACGCCGAGAGTAGCGGCAAGTGGCGCACAAACACCCAGAGCGCGTGCGCGATCTGCGGCGGCGCCAGCGAACCGGCGAGCGACATTGATTCGGGGTCGCCTGGTGGGATGGAGTTCCGAGAAGGTTCGGGGAGAGTCCCAGTCGTCTGGCGAGCGAGAGCAAGCCGGGGTGGTGGTCGCCTCCGTCGCCCGTCAGCTCGGCGTACACCGCGTCGCGCACCTGCGAGAGCAGCGCGTCGGACAGCGGCGCCTGCTCGAGGGCAGAGGGGTGGAGAGGCGCCTCTTGAGAGCAGGGAGAGCACTCGGCGCGGCAAGCGGTGCCCGGCTGCACAGCTCGCGGCACGTGAGGAGCAGCGCCGCGAGCGGCGGCGCCGGCCGGCCCTGCTGCGCCGTCTCGCGCGCCTGCGGGACATGCGCACGGATATGTCCGGGATATGTCCGGGACACGTCACGGAAGAGGCTGTGCTGCGCTGCGCTATCTCGAGCGCCTTGGCGGCGAGCTGCAGCGCGAGGCGCGGCAGAAGGCGCGAGCAGGCGGCGGCGCGGCCGAGCGGCACGATGGCGCGCAGCAGCTGGCAGAGCAGGTCGGGCTGCAGCGAGTCCATCTTCTTGTCGACGGCGCGCATCATCTTGTGGTACGCGGGTGCCTGCGCGAGCCCGAGCGAGCAGAAGGCCCAGAGGCAGCGCGCGGTGTCCGAGGCGGTGAGCACGTGCAGCATCGAGACGACGCGCTCCATGTACCTGCAGGGAAGGCTCCGAGCCGGCTCCGAGAAGGCTCCAGGCAGCATCGAGGCGACGCCTCCATGTACGAGCCGAGGCGCGTGAGGTGTCTAGGACACATCTAGGAGACGCACGCGATGAGCGTGCGCGGGTCGCGCACGCGCAGCGCGGCGAGCGCGCAGAGCGAGTCGCGCAGCTGCGCAGCCTCGAGCAACTCGATCGCGTCGTAGAGCTTGACCGCGACCGCCTAGAGGCCCGACAAAAGGCTCGCGCGAGGCGCCGCAAAGTGTCGTGAGGCCCGACTCGCGCCCGCCGCAAAGTCGGGTCCGGCCGTGAGCGAGGCCGCCCACGCGTCCGGGTCGGGGCAGTCCTGCGGGCGAGATCGGCCGAGGTCGGCCACAGTGGCTGACCCGAGAAGGTGCGGGGCCGGAGTGTGCGGGGCCGGGCCGGTCCTGCACGAGGGCGGCGAGCCGGACGAGGGCGTCGCAGAGCAGGCTGGCGGGGAGGGGCCGCTCCGCCATGAGGGAGAGGAGCGAGCGCTCGTCCGCCGCCGACGAGATTTGCGCGCGCAGCGTCTCGCCGACGTGCGCCTGCTGCTCGCGCAAGACGGCGAGCGCGGGGACGAGCCTACGGCGAGGTGCGGAGAAGGTGCGGAGAAGGTGCACTATAGGTTCCGAGCCTTCGTGTTGGCGAGGGCGGGGAGGAGCCTCTCTCCAAGCGTGACGAGCTGCTCGATGAGGGCGTCGAGCGTGGTCGGGTCAGCCTGCGCGGCGCGCTGGCGCAGCACCGCCTCCACCTTGGCTGCGAGCTGGCTCTGCCTACACCGCCACACGTACCGGACGTGTACCGGGCGTGTCGCGGACGTGCCCCGCCTCGGCGGCGAGTCTGCCCGCGGCCGAGCTTGCGCAGCGCCCACGCGAGCTCGGAGAGCGTCTGCAGCCCGAGCCGCTCCGCCGAGAAGCGCGCGCGCTCCAGCGAGCCGAGGAGCCCGTCGATGGCGGCGGGCTCCGCGGGAGGGTCGAGGTTGGCGGCCGCCAGGGCGACGAGGGCGGTCGGGGCGCCGTGCAGCCGCCGCGCCGCGAGCCGCGCCCGCTCGAGGTGGGTCGCCGAGGCGGGAGGCGGGTCGAGGAAGGTGGCGGAGAGGGTGAGCGGAGCGAGCGCCTGCAGGCAACCCAAGGGGCATTTCGGACTCCAAAGGGTTGAGAAGTGTGGCGGAGAGGTCGAGCGCAGCGCCTCGCGGAAAAAGGCCTCGATGGCGCCCTCGGCGCGGTGCGCGACCGCGTCCGCCTCGTCGCCGCCGCCGCCCGTCGGCGGGATCGCAAAGGCGCGCAGCAAGTCGCCCAGCTGCGCCGCGTTGAATGAGCCGATCCGCGGGAGCAGCGCGGTGGCGAGCTTGCGGGCCGTCGGGCCGCTCGCGAGGAGGCCGAGCGCGGCGATGGCCTGCGTCGAGATGTGGAGCTGCGCGGGAGAGCACGCCGCGCGCGAGGTCAGCAGCAGGATCCGGCCGACCAGACCCGAGAGCAGCGCCGACTCGAGCGGTGCGAGCGTCGCGAGCGCCCAGAGCAAGGCGACGAGCCCGTTCGCGTCGAGCTCGGTCCCGCCGGCGAGCTGGCCGCCGAGCTGCATCACGAGCCGCCCGACCGCGTGGGTCGCGCCAATCTGCCGAGCCTCGGCACCGAGCGGCCGCGCCGTGGCTGCAAGCACGTGGAGCGCGACCGAGCCTGCGCCGCATTCATACTGATGCGCGTGCTCCTCGATGTGCGCGAGGACCTGCGTGTGCGAGGTGCACGCGAGGAGCTCGTTGCGGAAGTCGTTTTGGGAGGTGGACATCGCGCACAAGGGCTGGAAAAGAATTTTTGCGGGCGCTGTGTGTGTCCGCCTGGGCGAGGGACTGCGAAGAGAGATGGGAAACGCCCAAGGGTGGGCGACGGCTAGCGCACCACACCCCTCTCCTTAAAATCCCTGTGTGGTGGCGGCGTGCCGTCCTCCCATCCCTCCCTTGGCGCTTGGGTTGACCGTTTTCTTTGTTTCTCTTTCTTGCGTCCGCCTCGCGCTTGTTCCATTGTAACATCGAAGGCTAGCTCAAAAGAATTTTATCGCCTCGCCTTCGGCCATGCTGAAGAACAGCTGCACGGCCCTCTCGACGTCGCCGCCACACGCCACAGCCATCTCTCGAGCTGAGGGAGGGTGTAGAGGATGTAGAGTGTAGAGCGCTGTAGAGCTGTAGAGCTGGAGAGTGCTGTAGAGCTGTAGAGCTCTACATCCACCGCGTGACGAGGCGGGTGCGTTGTAGAGCGATGTAGAGGCGCTCTACAACGTGAAATCTCTACAACAAACTCTACATCATAAGCGGCGAACGAGGCACGGTCGCTCTCCGACATGAGGCGCGTTGCACTTACCAGTGCTGCCCTGGCCTTCTGTCTGCCCGCCCAATGGGTGGGAGGTGCCTCTGCTGCTGTGGCATGCCTCACGGCTGCGACTGGCCGGCGCCTCGGCGCGTCAGCTCGGCTTGGCGTAGCGATCGTGGCCAGCGCAACTCGCCTGGACTCAACGCTCAGCCAGGAGCTCCCGCACGCGCTGGCGCGAGTCATGGCGCATGCAACGCGTCTGAATGCTCGCCTCGCCTCGCGCAAATGCGACCGTCCTCGCAGCCGATAGTCCACCGCCTGCTAAAGAAGCACAGCGACGAATGCGGCACCGGCGACGCATGGCAGGCTGGTCATGACGCAGTTATAGGGTGTTGTGTGCCGTCAGAGTGACCGTCTCTGTGTGTCAGTGATAGTCAGGGCCGTCCATCAGAGCTCCAGTAAGCTCGGAGACACCCCATTAGTGCGACTCGACCTCTTTGAGTCACTGCCTTCCCGGCGGTTTGGCTGTAGAGCCTCTACAACAAACTCTACAGCAAAATCGCGCTCTACATCGCTCTACAACGCACCCGCCTCGTCACGCAGCCGATGTAGAGCTCTACAGCTCTACAGCGCTCCAGAGCGCTCTACATCTCTACAGCTCTACAGCGCTCTACACTCTACATCCTCTACACCCTCCCTCAGCTCTCGAGGTCGACGTACGTCGACGAGGCCGCCTGGGGCCTGGGGGCTGGGGAGGCTGGGCGGGGTCGAGGCCCGTGATGGCGGCCACCGAGTCCGCCATATTCACAACAGGTATGAGAGCAGAAAAAATAATTCGCTAGCGTGTCAACTCGCAATTCCTGGGGGTCCTTGTGGAGAGAGAGAGATTTTTAGTTTGTCCTTGTGGCGGGCCACCCTGTCCAGAGACGCATGGAAGCCAATCTAGGGTCTTTCGACCGAGTCTATGAGTCCTGGCCGCTCCCGGTGGTGGCAAGGTTGAGCAAAAACGAGACGGAGATGGTGCGGGGGAAAAGAAAGAAAGAAAGAAAAAACGGACAACCCAAGGGAGGGAAAAAAGAAAGAAAGAAAACAGACAACCCAAGGGAGGGATGGGAGGACGGCGCGCCGCCACCACACAGGGATTTTAAGGAGAGGTGTGTGGTGCGCTAGCCGTCGCCCACCCTAGGGAGTCTGCCTCTTCCTATCTCTCTTCGCAGTCTCTCGCCGATTCTCGCTGCAATCTTCATGCCACCTCGCGGTCGTCCCACTCTCGTCGTTCTCTCCCTTGTCATTTCCTCCTCTGTCGCGTCGTTCTCTTCTGCCTCGTCCTGTGACGCCGCCGCCTGCCGGTCCCTTGTTCTCGCGGCTTCTTTCGCCTTTCGGCGCAACTCCGTCCTCCTCGCGGCGTATCCTGGCCCCTCGAGTCTATCGAGCTCCCCTCGCGCAAGGACCACATTTCTGACTCCCACTCCGATCATTTGCCTCCAAGTCATGTTGTTGCTCAGGTCCACTCTCTCTTCGAACACTCGTGCCTCTACGGATGATGCCGGCGCTGGGGTCCCCTTCGGATGCATCGTGACATCTGACAACTGGATTTCCACTGGTTCGTCCTCCTCGGGAGGGATGGGAGCACGGGTGTGCCGCATGAATTCTTCCACAGCCAAGCTCCACGTACTCGCATGGCAGATTTCATGAGGGCCGCCCGCAAAAAGCAAAAAAAGAATACACCGGTACGCCAAGCTCCACGTAGAGCTCTACTCGCATAAACACCGCCAAGCAGGCGCCTTGCCGCGTCCCGCGCCCGCTGCGCGCACACGCCGGCCCAGCGACAGAATCCCGCCGCCCTCCGCCAGGTCAACCATGGGAAAGGGCCAGAAGATGAAGGGCAAGTCCATCTCGCTCCAGGAGTTCACCGCCGACGTGGTGCAAAACGACCCGTCGGCGCTGCCCACCGCGCCGCGGGAGGACACGGGCGACGGCTACGGTGACCGTTACGACCGCTACGAGCGGCGCGAAGGGCGTGAGGGCGACCGCTTCGGCGGCCGCCCGCAGTCCTACGTCAATGAGGACGGCGAGCGCGTGGAGGTCATCTCGCAGGCAGACACCGTCTCCTCGTGGCGCGGCGGCGGCGGCGGCGGCGGCGGCAGCAGCTTTGGTGGCGACCGCGGCGGCGACCGCTACGGCGACCGTGGCGGCGACCGCGGCGGCTTCGGCGGCGATCGCGGCGGCTATGGCGGCGACCGTGGCGACCGCGGCGGCTTTGGAGATCGCGGCGGCGACCGCGGCGGGTGCGGCGGAGGGCGGTCGTCCTTTGGCAGCGCTTGAGCCTCGCATCGGTGAGCCGTTCTGGCATCTTCGTAGGGGCGGCTTTGGAGACCGCGGGGGCGACCGGTACGGCGACCGCGGCGGCGACCGCGACCGCGGGGGAGGAGGGTATGATGACCGCGGCCCACCGCAGCGCGAGCGGTACGAGCGTTCGGAGGGCTTCAACCCGTTCGGAAAGGGAGTGGTGTGCTCCCCCCCCGCCCCCCCCCTCCCCCCTCTCTTCATTCACAAGACGTGCCTTCGACCCGCCGCCGACCCGCCGCCGACCTGGATTGCCCTGGTTTGCCCCCCCGGGCACAGGTCAAGGACGTGGAGGCCGAGTTCAAGTCCGACCCGCGCTTCGCGCGCCCCGCGCCGAGAGAGGAGGGGGGCGGACCGCGCGGCGGGCCGCGCGGCGACGGGCCGCGCGGCGACGGGCCGCGCGGCGGCGGCTTCGAGGACCGGCCTCCGCCCCGCTCGGACCCGTCCGACGACCGATTCGCCATGAGAGGCGCCGCGTATGAGCCGCGTGGCGGCGGCGGCGGCGGCGGCGGCGGCGCCCCTCCGGAGCGGCGCAAGCTCAACCTGACCAAGCGGTCGGTGCCGGCGGGCGAGACCGCCGCGCCGGCGGCCTCGTCGGGCAAGTCCAACCCGTTCGGCGCCGCCCGCCCCGTCGACAAGGCGGTGGACCAGGTTGCAGACAGAGCGTCGGGCCTCAAGCTCGACGAGTGAGCGGCTGTTGGGAGGTCTGCCCGAGGCGCGGGGGGGAAAGGCCTCGGCGTGCGGCCACCCCCTTCGCCTCCTCTCCCCTCCCCTCCTCCCGCCGGTGCGCGGAGGCCGTTGCTCGGTGCGAAGCCAGTCCCGCGTGGCTTGCGGATATCTTGGCGTGAAGGCACACTCTCCGCAACGGTAACAATGGCGAGGAGTTTCGTGCCTCGGTGTCTGATGTAATATGACATGGACAGATATGATTGCAATTTATACCGATCAACACCCCCTCCCCCTGGCGCCTAGAGCTGGGCGCTGGAGGGGGCGCGGTGGGCCCCGGCCGCGGGCCGGCGCGGGGCGGCGCGCGCGGCGGGGCGCGGGCGGGGGCGCGCGGGTGGCGGGTCCGCGCGCTCGCAGGTGGCGGGGGCGGGGCGGGGCGGGGGCGCGCATTCTCCACATTCCACTTCGCACTTTTATTTGCGGATGGGAGCCGCGCGGCGCGGTGTGTTGACTGCTTTGTCTCATCAGTCCCTGTAGTTGTCTCTTGTGACTTGTGTCCCGCGGGGAACCCCCCCCCCCGCCCGCGGATAAAAGAAAAGGGGGGAAAGTACGCGCACACTCTGGCCGCGTCTCTATTTGCGCGGCTCTTTGCAATAATATTTACCATGATCCATGTATCCTACGGCCGCAGCATCGCAGGCACACTCGCAGCACCAACAGGCGCAGCAACCCCGGCCCAACGAGTCGCCCGAGGGGTGGACGAGGGTCGGGAAGGGCGGCAAGCCGGACAGGTTCACCATGAAGAACTTCGGCCGCAACCCGCCAAAGTCGGGCAAGCGGAAGCAGGAACACCGCAAGCCCGCACCCAAGGGAGGTGGACCCCCACCCCCTTCTCCCAAGGTGGTGGACAAGAACAGGCTGAGCGCATTGGGCGCTGGCCCTTCTGGCACCAGCGGGAGCCACGAGCGCGCACCGCCGCGCTCTCCCTCCCCCACCTCGCCGCCTGCCAAATCGCCGCGGCCGTCTGCGCCTGCTTCCGGGTATGACTCCGAGCTCGAATTTTCCGACGCTGAGGCGCGGGATAGGGTGGCAGGGGTTGTGCATGACGCAGTGCAGCAGGCTGTGATGCAATATGGCTATGACGACGAGCTCTACCAGGCATGGAGGGACGGCAAGATAGGCGAAAAGGACTTGCCGGAGGAGGTGATGGCTATGACTTTGGACCTTTGCGAGAGGTGGCGAGCGGAGCAAGCGCGGTGTAGGCGCGCCCACGCGGCGCAGCGGCTCTCCCGCGACCATAGCCCCTCCCGCAGCCGCAGCCGTAGCAGCAGCCCCAACTCTTGCTGCTCTTCTAGTGTCGGGTAGTGACCAGGGGGTGAGGGGACGGATTGAAGATCCCTCACACCAAGATCGTGCAGGGCGGGGACACATGTCCCTAAATCCCATCTCGTCTCAGAGTTTGACCGTTTTTATTTATTTATTTATTTACGGCATCGAGGAGACGTGTGTGTATGAACTGTGATCTCGTTGATCCTCATTTTTATACATGCACAACGCTCAACGGCTGCTTAAAGTTCCCGCGGGCTTTGCTGGCTGCCCCCCTCCATCCCCAAACCGCCCACAGACTGTCGTTCCCGCCGCCGGCGTCAGAACGGGCGTGGGGGGGGCACAACAAGCTACCTCACATTGCGTTCACCGTGCGGGACTGACCGGTCCATTGTTGAGATGGGGTAGCGCTGGCGCCTGCCCGTGGAGGGATGGTACTCGAGAGAGGCCCCTCGGTGATCGCAGTGGGCCGTCTTGTATGGCCTGCGCGAGTGCCACGCGTGTCCTCTTGGCGTCCCCCAGGGGACGCCTTCGCGACACCTTCAGCTGCTGCCGACTGTGCTGACCTCGCCTCGATTGTCTTCTCCTCGAGCGATGCCCCATGCTCAGCACGGTGCGTTCGAAGCCGCAGCTCACGTCGCGAAACCTCCATCGCTGCTTCCGCGTTTGCCTCGGCTTCTCCCTCGCCCTCGGCTTCTGCCTCCGCTTGCGCAATGGCGGCTCGCCTCGCTGCCTCAGCTTGGACTTCAGCCTGTGCGATGGCGGCCAAGCGAGCCCTACGTGTCAACAAGGGCGGGTAAAACCTCGGCGCTTCGTCTTTGGGGTTGACGGCGCTGGGACGGCACCGTTCCGTCTCCTCCATCGCTAGCCTGGCAGCCTCTTCGGCCATCTCCGCCGCGGCAGCCGCGTCGACTGACTGCCTCTCTGCACGCTCCGCCTCAATGATTGCCTGCTCTGCCAGCTCGGCGGCAGCGGTGGCCTCGGCGAGCGCCGCCATGTAGGCGTTGGGCAGCATCGTGCGGGAAGCAAGAGCCTCCTCCTCGGCCACCTTGGCAGCTGCAGCGGTGGCAGCCTCATGCTCGGCCTTACGCACCGCCTCCTCCTCAGCAGCCTTCCTCCTCTCGGCCGCCTCCCACGCCGCCTTTCTTAGCTCGAGCTCCGCTGCCTTCTTTGCCTCTTGCGCCGCCGCTGCCTCTTGCCACGCAGCCTCCTCCTCAGCCAAGTTGCGAAGCAGCAGCCGAAGTCGCCGATTCTTTGACGCAGCCCAGCGGACGGCTTCCTCCTTCGCGGCCTGCCGCTTCGCAGCCTGCTGCCGAGCCAAGGCGCTCCGTGCCGCAGCTGCCACCACCGCCTCGCTCGCAGCACCGCCCAAAAGCTCTGCCGCAGTAGCAACGCGAGCAAGTGCCCCCGGGGACGGCGTGTACGGGAGTGCCTTGCGTTGTCGTTCGGCACCCGCAATCGCCGTGATGGCCTCCTCCTCCATCATGAGGTGGTCAATATTTCCGAGCACTCCTGCCCGCGGAGCGGCTGGGTCAGGGAGAAAACGAGGCTGGGGAGGGCAAGTTGAGCGAGCGCTCCCAGCCCCGCTGCGGCGTTCACTGGCGCTCCTAACGTATATCAAGACGTGGCGGCGCACCGTTGGCAAACTGCATGACATGAGGTTCAGTCGAGACTGCAAGCTCTTCGATGCGAGGCAGGAGGTCGAGCGTCCACAGCACCCCGAGGTAGTCGCTTTCGCGGCACGTATTTTGCACCGCGCCCAGAGCGTAGGCCTGCACAATGGGGTCTGGAGAGAAGAGGTGCGACAGCAGCTCCTCAAAGCCATGGCACGCCTTGAGCTCGGCCTTGGTCAGCGCGGCATTCGAATCCACCTCGTCCGAGCACATGTTGCCGATAATGAGCAGCGCCGATTGCTGCAGCGCCGCGTGCTGCGACTCCAGTGACACTATTTGGACGAGGGAATCGACTAGGCCAGCCGCTCGCAGCAGCGCACAGAGGTGCTCCGCGTCTGGGCCGGCCGCCTCGTCGAGTAAGCCCTCGATCTTCTGCAACGACGCCAGCCGGCTCAGATCGTCCGCATTCTCGCCCTGAAGGGCCAGCACGAGATCCTCCGCGGGCTCCTCCATGGCGTGGTCAGGCAGCCATGACGCACTGAAAGGTGAAACGAAAAGGGGGAAAGGGGGCGCCCGCGGGCCGAAATAAAAAATATTTTTTTTGGTTTTAGCCTTTTTTGGCACGAATAGGGCCCTGAGGGTCGAGTCCGCATGGTACAGGACCCCTCGAACGTCTCGCCCTCCCGCACTTGTTCATTTGGGGGGTCCTAACAACCTCTCACACGACAAGCCCTGCCACCCCTGGTCTGGCCCTTTCTCTCGCGACGCGCCATGATGCGAGCGGCCGGTGTATCCAGCTCCTCTCCGGCCTCGCCGCTCATCCTTCAGCTGGGTGAAACGGTTCGCGCGCCCTTTTCGGCGCCCTTTTTCCTTAAACCGGACCCTTTTCCCCCTCCCCCATTCCTCTTCTCCCTTTTTTTTGCGATGTCTCCCTCTATCTCCCTCTATCGATCTCCCCGTATCTCCCCATATCTCCTCGCATCTCAAGTATCTCCCCGTATCCCCCCGTATCTCGTATCTCCCGGTATCTCCCGGTATCTCCCGATATCTCCCGGACCCGGTATCTCCCGGACCCGGTATCTCCCGGTATCTCCTAGTATCCCGCCATATCCCACCTTATCCCGCCGCGGATACCGCGAAAAGTTTCGGCCAGACCAGGGATACGACACACTGGGCACCCGCGCACCCCCCCGAGAGAATCGGCGCGCGCGCGCACTGGCACGGTCCCACGCGGTCGCGGATGCCTCTCGGGTGTAATAAATAAATAAACAAAGAGTCGTAGAAAATCCAAAATCCAAATCGCAAACATAGAAACCCAAACACACACAGCCACGTGGCATAGGAGAGCAGGAGGTGAAAGGAGGTCAGCACGAATTAATAAAAACCTCTACTGTGAGATGGGTAAAAAGGAACAGCAACAGGTCCCCGCCCGTGCGATCTTTGTGCAGGGTTCTTTGTCAAAGTAACGACTTTCGTTGTGGGTGGTGGCTGGTGGTCGGCCTGTGGTCGGCGACTAGCCGGGGTCATCCTCCCGATGGGGGACTAGCACTAGCCGTCTTCCACATGGTCCCTCGGGTCCCTGCTGCTCTTAATCTCTTCGTATACATCCTCCCCTGGCCCTGCTGATCCGTGATCTCCGCAACCGTCCTGCTCCACCTCCCTCTCCGCGCGCTCTCGTCCCCGTCTCGCCCTGCGCGTCGGAGATGTGCAGGTTGTAGGTTGACCAAACTGTCGGACAGACTCCCGACGATCCTCCCTGTGCTCGAAGAGAGATATTTGCACCTTTTTCGGTATTCAGACACAATCACAAAATCACAGCCCGTGTTACTTGGCGTGCCGGTGGGAGGCCTTTTCGGATTTCGCGCTCCGGCCACTGCCACCCACTCTGGTCTAGCGTCACGAGATGACTTCGGTGTGGCCCGCCCCCGCGTCGACGGTGACCAGCGAGTCGGTGTCCGTCTCGTTGGTGTCCGTCTCGTTGGTGTCCGTCTCGTTGGTGGTTGCGAGGGTCGCCTCGGCCGTCTCGGTCATGGCGGTCACAGCTTCGGGGTTGGCCGGAGGAGCGATGAGGGCGGCGAGCTTTTCGAGAGCCGCCCGCGACGACGCGGTGTTCTTGGAGAGGCGTGCCGCGTGAAGGGTGACGTCGGAGAGGAGGGAGCGCGCCTGCACGGCCAGCGAGAGCGCGCGCTCGATGGTCGTGGAGAGGTCGGGCGTCTCGAAACCCGAGGGTTGCGAGAGCGAGGAGATGAGGAGCTCGACCGAGGACTGGAGGTCGGAGGAGAGTGCCGTGGCCTTGACGCGCACCTTCTCAAGGCCCTGCTCGGCCGCGTCCTTGGCAAGCGCGGGCAGGCTCTCGGTGACGAGCTGGCGCGTGTCCTCGGCAAACGCGTCGGACTGGATGTACTCGCGGTACTCGGCCACCTTGTCGTACTGAAGCAGGGAGATGGCGGTCGCCTTGAGCGCAGCCGCTGTCTCGGTCGGATGCTCGCGCGCCTCCTGGAGCGCCTCAAGAGCGCGGCACAGCCGCTTGTCGGCGAGAATCGCCTCCTTCTTCTCGACGAGTGACGCCTTCTTGTCGGCCACCTTGGTCAGGAACGGCGCGGCGCGGGCCTTGGCGGGCGCGAAGATCTTCTCCGCCGCCATCTCCTTGACGGGCGCGATGAGCTTCTCGGTCGCGAGGTCCTTTCCCTCAGCGATCAGCTCCGAGCGCCCCTCGGCGCTGCGGGCAAGCACCACCCGGGCGGCCACGGCCTCCTTGGCGTCTGCGACGAGCGGCGCATAGTCGTGGTACTTCTCGGAGAGGGTTGGGTAGTAGAGCGCAGCCTCCTTGATCAGGTCAGCCGTCTCACCGTCCTTCACCAGGCCAGTGAGCGCCGAGCGCTGAGACTCGGAGAGGAAGGCGTCGGCGCCCGCTGCCGAGAGCGTGCTCTGGACGAGGTCGGCGCGGAGTTCGCCGTCGGTGTAGGCGGCGATGAGCTGCTCCTTGGTGGGCATGCTCTCGTAGATGCTGCCGAGGCGCTCCTTCGTGGGGAGTGAGTTCAACATAGCCGCCATCGAGTCTAGATGCGCTCGATTCTCGGTCGTGCGTCCTCCTTGAGCGAGTCTGAGCGAGAGCTACGTGCTGCGCTCCGCTTTCTTCTACTGCCGGAGCCGTTGGTGAGCACCAGACGGCAAATAGACCGACTCGTCCGCATGTGTGGGCTGTGGCCTGTTCGCTGGTGCCATCGATCTCCAATGTACGGCAAAAGCCAATGCGCAATGGGGTAGAGGAAGGCGGGAGAAGAGAGAGAGATTTTTATTATTTCTCTTCTTGCGAGAAGCCGAAAAGGGTGGAGGAGCCCCTCCGTTACGCGATTGCTGCACAGCGACGCACAGCATGATGCGTGGCCAGCGTGGCCAGCTCGAACGGGGTACTGCGGTGTGCGGGGGGCGCGGCGTACCACGGCGCGTAGCCTAGCTGCTAGGGCGAGGCAGGCAGGGCCCGCAGGCTCCTACCCGGCCTCGCAATCGACGTTCCTTCGCTTCCTCCCGTCTCTCCGGGGTGGCCCTAGTAAAGTTCCAGGGTCTCCCGCACACCCGCTCCAACCCTCCACCCAGTCTAGAGCTAGCAGCAGACAGACCCACTGGCCCCTGCTCAGATACTCGGGACACTCTGAGGTTACCTTCACATGGTGCGGTGCAGGTTCTTCCACAGGCCGCCGTAGCGGTAATTTGGGTTCTGGCCATCCCCGTCTGGGACGCCTCCCGCCACCGCCGGCGTCTTCCAGCATCGGCCGCACACCATCCTCCAGCCCGAACTCCTATCAATCTCGCATCGAATCAGCAGGTCGACAGAACGCGCGCACAGATCACACGCCTTTTGTCCACCCGACGACACACCTTCACGCCTCGCACGCCGCTCTGCCTTGGCCGCCTTCTTCGCTGCCTTCTTGTTCGCCTTCTCGGCGGCACCGTCGCTTGCGTCCGAACTCACATCGCACTGCATCGCGTCCTCGCCCTCCGCATCTGCTGCACCGCGCGCTATCCGGTTCGATCTCTTGCGTTCGTTGTTGCACCTCTTACTGCATGTCGTGACGTCGTCCCAGCATCTCTCCCACTTTTTGCGCCAGGTGAAGGGCCGCTGGCACACAACACACACCTTCTCGGGGAGATTGTTGGGGTTCCGCGCCTTCATTGCCAAACAGACGGCATGGGGCTGCGCCACGGACGACCCGCGTGAAAGCAGGCCAATGGTCGCAAGGCGAGTGACCGACAGCATTCGTTCTTCGTGGCATCTTCCTCGGCCTCGAAGAGAAACAGAATTTTACAACAAAACTCCCTCGCACGACACTGGGCACAGGACTGGGCACGGGACTGGCTCGCACTGGCACTAACACAGGTACACCACGGGAGCCGCCTAAGCGACTCCTGCGAGGGTGGCGAGGCACTTAGCTCCGTGCACTCGCCCACCCCCGCCACAGGCAAGCTCATTCACAATCTGCTCTGCGATTGCCGTGTGAAGAACGACTGAGATGCGCTGCTTCTGCAGCCCCAGCCAGCTCTTGGTGGTCCAAGTCACCTCATCGAGGTACTGGGCCCGCGTCAGCTTGTTCTGTAGTACGTCCGCCGCCTTCCTGAGGATCTCACGGACCCCCTTTCCGAACCCGCCGAACGATTCGAACAGCAGCAGCTGCACTTCGACGCCCTTGTCTTCCCTGGCGTAGCGATAGTCCCCGCCGTAGGACGGTATGCGGCGGTCGCCGCCCACCACCAGAAACCCCGCTACTCGAGTAGAGTCCAGGCCGCTTTTGAACGAGTGGGCGGTGCAAGGCTGTCTGTTTACAGGCGCCGTCCGCCCACGCGCGCGCCGACCCAACTCCGAGCACGCTCGCTCGCCGCTGGGCGGCGCGCGTCCACACTGCGTCGGCAACACGACGCAGGAGCTCGCTCACTGCTGCTGCGGCGGCGGCAGCGACGGCGACTGCGAGCTGACGGCTGACGGCTGTACGGCTGTACGGCTGACGGCTGGCGGCCGGCGGCTGCGGCGAACGGCGACGGCTCGGTTCGCGTTCGCCCCGCGACGGTGCGACTGAGCCTGCCGCGCTCGATCTGGGAGCCACTCGGCGCCAGTTCGAGCGGCGGTCGGCTCGGCCACTGCGGGTGCGACGCATGATAGAGCTGCTGGGCGCCGCATCGTGTACTACCGACCCACGCCAAGGCGCGGGGCGGTGGTGCTCGCCGGCGCTCGCGGTGCTTCGGTGCTCGAGCGCGCTCAACATTGTGGTCGTTCAGGGCGGCTCGCACAACGCCCGCAGACACACACACACACACACACACACACACACACACACACACACACACACACACACACACACACACACACACACACACACACACACACACACACACACACACACACACACACACACACACACACACACACACACACACACACACGCAAGGGCGAGGACACGCGCAGGGGCCGCACCTCTAGCGAAGCCCACAGAGTGGGAGACTCCTATCACCGCCCTGCCACCCACGTGAGCCTTTTGGCCGCCTCTGTCAGTGTGCCCGTGGTAGTGAGAGACTGCTGGTGAGAAGCCGGAGGAAGGTCGCTAGTCGAGAGAGATCGCCAGTGGAATAGGGAGTCCACCGTGCTGCGAGCCTGTCGCTGTCCCTTGTCAGGAGCAGGAGAACTAGGAGAGCGCAACCAGTAGGAGGCCCGCGCCTGCCCCCGTGCCGCCGGGTGCAACCTGTCCTATACGAGAGAGGAATCCCTGGGACCCTGTCGTGTGGGTGAACCCTGCCCAGCCCCCCTCCGTGTCGCGATGCGCTCCCCGCTCCCGTTCCCCTGTGTCCCTGATCGTCCTTCCAAGATCCTGCTCGTGCAGGTGGGGACCCTGTCCCTCTCCCACCCCTCGTTTGGCGTGCCCGTTTTATTTATTTATTTATTTAGTCCAGGTCGGGCTCATGTTCCCTCCCTTGGGTTGTCTGTTTTCTTTCTTTCTTTCTTTCATGTTCACGACCTATAACAACAACAACATACCAAAAGGAGAACCAAAACTGTCTTGATTTGCCAACAATATACGAGTGTTGAAAACGCAAGAGCCACAAGGTGAACCGCGTCATCCTCGATCGCCGTGCAAAGCTCGCTTCCAAGCTCTCAGCCGCGCGTAGGGCCCTTAGAACACAAACAACCTTTTCTCCCAGCAAGCTAAAAGTGTCAGCAGTTCACCTTCGGGTACGTACGTAAGAGCTACATACACGAGAGAGAGAGAACACAACCCCCTCTCTCTTTTCTCCCAGTAAGCTAGATCTAAAAGTACGTACACGAGAGAGAGAGAGGATGTACGCTGGAAAAGTACGTACGACTACACTGAAAACAAAACGATTATTCTCGGTCGTCCCTGGGGACTCACGCGGCTCGACCCCGACCGACGTGCCAGGACGCGGCTTCGACCCCGACGTGCAGGAATGGATAGCTCCGTCCTGATTGCGTGGTTCGCCGTGTTCATCGACTTTCTCTCCGTCTTTATCGTGTCGCCGGTGCTCACCCCGCTCGCGCTGCAATACGACGCCACCGCCACGCAGGTGACCCTCCTCTTCTCCATTGCGCTGGGCTCAAATATCATATCGTCATTCGCCTTTGGGAAGGCACGCGATACGTTCAAGCGGACCAAGCCGCTTATTCTCCTCTCTTTTGCAGGATCAACAACCTGCCTGGGGCTCATGCCGGTGGCAAACAGCTACGGCGTTCTGGTGGGCATCCGGGGCTGCGGCGGTTTCTTTTCCGGGACGATGGTCCTCTCGCAGAGCTACATCGCTCGCAACTCGCCGCCGGAGAATAGGGCGCGGTACATGGCGGTGTGCACAGCTATGGTACCACTTGCGGTCATCTTTGGACCGGCGCTGGGCGGAGGCCTGTACTCCGTCGGCGGCCTGCGCCTTCCATTTTTTGTCGCTAGCAGTCTAGGCGCGATTGGCTTCACCGCCGCATTGGTCTTGTTCAAAGACGACCCTCCCACCCCAACTGTGCCGGCGGCGCCCAAGCAGGACGATGCGAAGGTCGAGGAGAAGTCGGCACCGCCGGCCGCCCGTCCCTCCGAGGCGTTGATGAGGGAGCATGCGCCGCTCATTCGGCTGGTGACCTTGTGCGGATACCTGCACTACTTTGCGATGATGACCTTCCAGTCGTTGGGGCTCTACTTCATGCAGGTCGAGTACGGCACTGACCCCGTCCAATTCTCCCTAGTACAGACCATGGGCGGCATCGCGGCAACCGCATGTCAGACGCTCGGCTTCATCAAGGTCAGTCCGAGCATCGGAAAGCACACCTGTGAGGTGATCGGCATCGCCGTCACCGCCCTCGGCTACAGTGTCATGGCGCTCGCCGGCTCACTCCAGGTCTTCCTCGTCGGCGTCGGACTCATATTTTCGGGGAGCGGCTTTGGAATCCCTGCCATCACGACGCTTCTGGCGCGCTACTCCACGCCCTCGCGCATGGGTGCTGTTCTCGGGTCTGGGCAAGCCTGCATGGGCCTGGGGCGCTTTATCGGATCGTTTGCTGCCGGGCCGTTGTACACCGTGGCCCCGCGCCTGCCCTTTGCCGTGGCGGCCGCCATGGCGGCGGCCACCTCTGCGCTGATGATGCTGACGCTCCACCTGAATCGGCAGCTGCCTGAGAAGACAAAGGCCGTTATGCGCGAGACGAAAGTCACTGCGGCGGAATTGTTTGACGAGACGTTCCGCGGAAGTGTTGTTGCGAGCAAGGCCAGCGGATCGCATGAGTCGACGATGGTATGAGGGCGGGAGATTGCCAAAGCAATGCGGAACGAGGGCGAGAACAGCGGCATGTTGGGAGATTCGTTTTGTTGTCAAAAACCCTGAATAATTTCTTTTATCCAGGTCTCACGGGCGGCGGCAGCTGGCACGGGACCACCTGTGGTGTGTGAGAGTGAGAGAGAATTTTTAGCAATTCAACTGAGTGTGTGTGCGTGCGTGTGTGTGCGCGCGCGTGCTCGAGCGGGCGCGCGCGCGCGTGCGCGCACGTGTCGGTGTGTGTGTGTGTGTGTGCGTGCGTGTGGTTGTGTGTGCGTGTGTGTGCGTGTGTGTGTGTGTGTGTGTGTGTGTGTGTGTGTGTGTGTGTGTGTGTGTGTGTGTGTGCTTTTGGGTTCGTTGTTAGCAGATCAAGGCACACAGAGCTCACACAAATCACAGCGGGAGGAAAGCGGCTAGTCGCAATTCCAGGGGTCGTACGTGCTGTCTGCTGTGGCGGGCCACCCTGACGCTGTCCACACCTCCAGAGAGGCACAAGTGCCAATCTGGGGTCTTTCGACCGAGTCTATGTGAGCCCTGGCCGCCTCCCGGAGGTGGATTGGTTGAGCAACCGAGCGACGGAGATGGTGCGGGAGAGTACGGGTGTTCCAGGGGGTCACGACACGCACCGACCCTTCACGAACCGGAAGGCTGTGCCCGGGGAAGGCACAGTAATCCGGCACGTGTTGGGCGCCCCATTCCGTTTGGCGGCTAGGTCGGCTCAGGGCCCCGTCCACTTCCCTCCCACTTGGCGCGTGATGTTGAAGAGATGCCGGCCGGGCCACAGCCTGAGGCACAGCCAGGGCGAGGGCGGGGGGCGAGGGCGGGATGGGCGCCAAGCAAGCGGGAGAGGGAGCGGACGGGGTGGAACGCATAGATGGGGGATGGCGACGGCGGAGGGCGGATGGCGTGTGTGTGTTTGTGTGTGTACAGAAAGAATAAATAAATAAATAGAGCAGACATCTCCAGGAGAGATGGGCGACGCACGAACACAGAGGGACAGTGCGCACCCCGCCCCGCTCGCAGGGCGTGCAGCACACAGCAACACAAGACATATCTACGCTGTGCGCCTCCTCGGGATTTCTGGGGAGGTAGAAGGGTGTGTGTGTGTGTGTGTGTGTGTGTGTGTGTGTGTGTGTGTGTTTGTGTGTGTGTGTGTGTGTGTGTGTGTGTGTGTGTGTGTGTGTGTGTGTGTGTGTGTGTGTGTGTGTGTGCTCGCTCGAACGCGCGCGCGGGCGCTATGCGAGCCGCCCTGCCCGCGGCGCTGCTCGGTCTCAGACCTAGATTCTAGTTTCAAGAATGGCATTCTTCGAAGTAGAATGGGCGCCGCAGCGGCCCGTAGCGGCGCCCCCTGCGTGCCCACGGCCACCCCGGGGCCATGGGACATCCCCCCGGCCATCGGGGATGCTTGGTTTATCCATTACCCCATTTACACGGGCTGTGTTGCGGCGCGCCTCGAGACGCGCAGCGCAGCGCAGCGCGCAGTCCGCAGACCACAAAACAGATCAGAAGACGGCCGTGGCGACACCCGCTCTGGCGACAGCCCCGCAAAAGGCACTCGCTCGCCGGCAAGGACTACGGGTAGCACAGGCGGCAGCAGAGGTGGCGGTCCGGGTCGCAGCGCGCGTAGCAAGTCGGCCCCAGCGTCACGGGCGTCGGGCCAGGAGCCGGCTCGACGAGATCGACGAAGAGGACGAAGAGGAGGAAGACTACTCGAACTTGGACGAGGACTCGGGCGAGGAGCAGGACTCGGAGACCGGCCAGGGAAGCGACGACCATGACTAGGTGACACGAGGAGTAGATGTGACACGAGTAGTCCGCATTTCGCGCTGTCTGCTGTCTGCTCTCTTTCGCCGGCGCCCGACCCTTTCGCCCGCCCACACCACTTGCGAGCACAAATCTCACACCTCCACTGCCCTCGCCACAGGCGGCGACGGACTGACATCCAAGGCTCGAACGGCGGCAGCGCTCAACGGCCGCCGGCGGCCATCGTGCGTTTGCTTTTGCCATACGTGGCGCACCCCCCGGCGTCTGCTCTGGTTTGGGGGCGGGGGGAGGACTCTCATTTGCGGACTGTTGGGCTCTCTGTGTTGAACTGGGGCTTGTGCGCGAACCCCACCAGTCTGGCCGAGCGGCACGCCGCCGCTGGGGGCGTGAGAAGCAAGGCCGTGGGGGACGGCGGCGGACCCCATTCTTCGATACAGAATGGGCCCTCACCGCGGCCCGTCTGCTGCTGAAAATGTGGCATGTTGGGGGCTCTCCTGTGTGACTGCTCTGGCTCGCCGCGTTAAAGTGGCGCCTGTGTGTGACCAGCCCCAACCCCGGCAAGCGCCCCCCGGCCGCTGGGGCTGCGAGGCGGCCGGGTGAGCGCGCGCGAGACGCCATTCTAGATGTAAGGATGCCATTCTATAATCTAGAATGGCCAGGTAGGGCTGAGACCGTGCTAGAGTTGCGCCGCGGGGAGGGCTCGGCGGCCCTTCTAGAGCTCGTCATCGCTCCCCTCGAAGAGGGAGGCTTCGTTGGACTCAAGGCGTGGGCCGCCATGATAGGGGGAGCGGGCGAGGCCGCGCGCGAAGCTCGCCCAATCCTTCTTGGTGCTCTTGACCTCGCCGCCGCCGCGGCCGCGAAAGAAAGAAAACAGAGACGTCAACCCACCTAAATTTCTTCTTTGCACAACACTGGGCACGGGGCTTGTAAAATTTCTGCAAAGGGGTGTGAACGGAGAGAGCAAACTCCTGGCAGCTCCCACAGCCGAAATGTGCGCCAGCTGCCCGCTCACCTGTGTCACGCCGCCGCGCACGCACCTTGCTATGTGCTCGCGCGAGCTCCCGCCCGAACCTCCAGCTCGGCGTCCCACTGCTTGGGAGCCGATCGCTTTTCCTCGGCGCTCGCGTCGAGCCGAGCTCTCGGCACTCTACGGCGGGCGTCGCTGTGCGGGGCGCCCGTTTCCTGCTGGCCCGAGCGGAAAGCTCCACGCGCCCGCGCGAGCTCCCGGCCGAGCCTCCAGCTCGGCGTCGCACTGCTGAGGAGCAATTTGTCGTCCGTCGGTGCTCTCGAGGAGCCGAGCTCCTTGGCCTGCGGCCGGCGACGCTGCAGGACGGCGCGCGCGCACGCCCAACTTTGTTAATAGGGGGGGTTTTTTGGGGGTGGGGGCCCCGGCCCCCTTGGCCCGGGGTTTTTTCGGGGGGGGAGCCCCCCCCCCCCCCCCCCCCCCCCCTCGATCTCGCGGCGAGAGCACGAGCGCGCCGTCCTCCGGCGACGCGCCGCCACGCTCTTCCTTAGGTCGTCCTCCGAGATATCGGTGCCGGACCGGCGGGGCGGGGGCGGGGCGGCGTCGGAGCAAGTGTCTCGGCCGTCGGTCGACGGAGCGGCGACCCGCGAGCACGCTTCGTCGGCGCCCGACGAGGGTGGTGCCGCTGTCGCTCTGCCGCGTGCGCAGGCGTGCGCAGGCGTGCCGAGGTCTCGCGACGGCACTCAGCCCGAGCCCCTCCGGGCGCTCGATCGTATGCTCGTGGAGGCGTCGCGCGGCCGCAGTCTTCGCAGCGGCGGCCGCCGCTGCGGTGGATGCGGGCCAGAAAGAAGGCCGCGCGCGCGGCCAGGGGCCAGGGCTGGCTCTGGCTCGGGCGAGGGCGATCCCGGTTGTCCCTCCGCGGGCGCCTCTGGTCATGCCCGCTTGCTCGACGGCTGGGTTGTGCGTGCGCGCGACTCTCGAGTCGTCGGCGAGTAGTGTGCGCGGGCGGTGGGTGCCGTGGAGATTAGGGGAGACGTCGCTTTGAGCTGCGGGTAGCGGGACCGGGAGATGTTGGGAGATACAGACACGGCGGTACGGTGTCTGGAGTAACATCTCAGAGGTTGAGCAGCGCAGGGGGTGTGCACCTGCCCCCCCATCTCCGGTCCAACGAGTAGAAACATGTTTCCAAAAAGCAGCTACGCCCCGACACGACGACGAGACTCACTCCCCTGGTCGCACACGCTCCCCGACACTCGCAGCAAGCAGCAAGGATCGGGCGGGAGAGGAATTAGCTCAGAGAGACACGCACTCACACACTCACACACACACACACACACACACACACACACACACACACACACACACACACACACAGAGAGAGAGAGAGAGAGAGAGAGAGAGAGAGAGCGAGCGAGCGAGCGAGAGAGCGAGCGAGCGAGAGAGAGAGCGAGAGTACAGTACAGTGATCAACAGAGACCCCCACCCACACGCCGCGCAGTGTGGGAAGCGACGACGAGACTCACTCCTCGCACTCGCAGCACGGATCCAACGGGAGGAACGAGGGGCCGCCCAGGCAGCCCCCGGGGCACGCGCAGCCGTTACGGTGCGCGTCCTGCCCGCCGCCCGGCATCGGCGCATCCTCCGCCGCCGCCGGGGCCGGCGGCTCGCCCGGGATTGGCGCGTCCGTCATCGGCGCGCCCGGCATCGGCGCGCCCGGTGGCGCGCCCGGCATCGGCGCATCGTCCGCCGCGGACCGCGGCGGCCCATGCGCCCCACAGTAGGGCACGGCCACGCCGGGCGTCGCCCGCAGGAACGCGGCAAAGGAGTCGTGGTCGAACGTGCCCTCCATGATGGCGAGCCGCGTCGCCGCGTGGGGCGGGCGGTTGATGGCGTCGACGACGACGACGCCCCACGCGTGCTTGACGGCGTCAGCCTGCTCGAGCCCGCGCAGCCACTCCGCCGCGTCCTTCGCGGTGCACTCGTTGTACGACGACGTGCGGGCGGCGAGCATGCGCCGCATCGCCAAGTAGTCGCAATCGCTGCAGCCGGCGCGCTGCACCACGGGCGGCAGCGTGTAGCGCGTCACGGCTGGGAGGTGCAGCGCCGGGAAGCAGAGGGCGTCGCTGCACGCCGGGCAAAGGGCCAGGTGGCGGAGCGCGAGCCCCGCGCGAGTGCGCCGCGAGTGCGCGAGAGCCGCCGCTAGGCGGCGGTAGCTCTCATAGAGAGCGCCTGCGGGCTGCTGCTCGCGCAGCGCCACCTCGAACGCGAACTTTGCGTCCGCGACGAGCTGCGGCGCATGCGGCGCCTCGCCGTGCGCCTCTGCGTCCGCCTCGCGCAGCGTCAGCGCGACGCCGCGCCGCGCGCCGAGCAGCCGCGCGCGCGTCAGCCAATGCGACGGCCAGCACTGCGGCAGCAGCAGCTCCTGCCCATCGGTGCCGCGCCAGGGCTGCTGCTTGAGCTTTGGGTCGGCGCGCCATTGCGGCGGCTTGGGGAGGCACTGCCGGTACCACAGTAGCAAACGCGCGTCGAGCTGTTGCGTGGACAGCGAGTCCGGGTCGCACGAGAAGGCGTTCGGGTCAGCGTACGGGCCCTCCATCGCAGCGAGCTCGTAGTGCATTTCAGCGCCCATGCTCGGCGGCCTGTGATCGCCGCCGTACGTCTGCAGGAGCCGCCGCACCTCGCGGACGATGGTCCTGTTGAAGGCGATGGTGATGTTGTCCTTCTCGACCGCCTCCGTCGCCTCCCCCTCGCCCAGCGGCTTGTCCGCCGTTTGGTACGCGTCCTTCGTCTCGACGGTGCCTCCGTCGGCCGCGTCGAGAACGCCCAGCAAGGCATCAGTGGCGATGGATAGCGTGCGCGCTGACGCCTCGCGAGCCGCCTCCCCCTCCCCCTCCTCCTCGCCGTCCTCCAGCTGCTCGAACAGCCGTGCAGCAGTCTTTTCTGCCTGGGCTCGCCGCGCCGCCTTCAGCTCCTCCTCCGCCGCCGCGCCCTCCGAGGCCTCCGCCGCCGCCGCGGCGGCGGCGGCGGGCGACGGCGTCGCGGTGGCGGCGGCGGCAGCCGCAGCCTTGCTCTCCGCCCGCTTCGCCGCCTCCCGCAGCCTCTTGTGGCGCGTGGCGCGCGCGGTTTTGGCTTGCCCGGGTCGCTTGGGGTCAAACTCGATGGTCTCGATGCGCCAGCCGTCACGCGCGTATGCCTCGCCGAGCGCACGCGAGACCCTTGCCCACAGCTTGCACTCCGCCTCGACGTCGCCCTGGAAGTGTGGCACCCTGTGCCACGGCCGCTCCGGGTTGTCCTTCTCGAGCTCCCGGTCGTAATCCTCGTGGCGCGCGGCAAGGACGGCGCGCCAGCGCTGCTCCGTCTGCGCAGGCCGGGGCCGCTCGACCATGAGCGCGTCCATCTCGACGTCCGCGTTCTCCTTCTCGCCGCCGCCGCCGGCGAGCGGCTTGCGCCGGCGCCGGCGGCCGGACGCCGCCGCCGGCGCAGGTGCGGGCGGAGTCGCGCGCCCCGTCTCGTTGTCGGGCGACTCCTCGCCGCCGCCGGCGTCGGGTGCGGCGACGTCGGCCTGCGAGTCGCGAGGGCGGCCTGCACCGGCGGCGGTCCGCAACGTCTCGCGGCGCGCCGCCAGCCACGCCGTGAACTCATGGGCAATGTCGCTGTCGTCGGGCGGCTGGTACAAGCTCGGCTGGATGTGGTCCATGAAGGCCTCCATCTCGGCCGCGGTCACGTCGTCGGGCGCGTCGACGGGCTGCAAGGCCGTGGACCGCACGGCGGGGCGGCTGCGCCAGGACTGGCGCGTCGCTGACGACGAGCCGAAGCAAAAAGGGCTGCACGACGGCAAGCCCGGCTGCATTCTCGCGCCGGGACGGCGATCCTGGTCGAGCACGAGACGCCGCCTGCTTTTGCGGTCGTTTCTTTTCTTGATTCCGTTTGTTGCAAACGGAATCAGTTGCAAAACCCTGAATAAAAAAACAAAACGCGAAAATCCCCTTTGCAGCCAAGCCTACCGGGCACCTAATCTTTGTGTGAATCGTGCGTGCGAGCGCTTTTCGTTGTGAAATTCTTCTTTGCCGCGACGGGTTGCTTTGTGCACCTGCTGTCGCTGGTGCCTCTGCGCGAGCTGCCTCCGACGCATGGACCAATACACAAAAGAGGTGGTGGAGCTGCTGCAGGACGTGGAGAAGGCAGCCTTCGTGCCGCCATCCCAGCCGGAGAAGGTCGAGGCGGTCGTGAGTAAGATGACGGCGCTCTACAAGCGTGCAAACGATTTGCAGGAGGCCGACGGCTACGACGGCTCGCCCTCCGCGGTGATGGGTCCGCGCGTCTGCATGCTCACGCTCGCTAGGCTCCAGCGGTGCCTCCTCGCCTACCTGCGCTGCCGCATGGAGAGGATCGAGCAGGTGCGGTGGGACCTCGCCGGCGCGATGGACGACGCGAGCAAGGCGCACCTCTCGCGCCACGAGCTCAGATACTCGGAGCGGTGCGAACCGCGCGCGCCGCGAGCCCCTGCTCCCTTCCCGCGTGAGCCGCCGCGGACCGCTAGACCGCCTCCGCCGGTCGACACCTCGCCCCGTGTCGTGGCAGGTTCAACGAGCTACTCGCCGAGTTCCAGATGGCGTACGACCTCGACTTGACGCGCGACTACCAGCCGCCCGAGGACCTGTACGTGCGCGTGAACGTGCTGCAAGACATCGGCCAGTGCGTGCCTCCCCTCCGCCTCGCCTCCCCTGTTCCGCAAGCCGCGCGCGGAAGATGTGCTGCCCCGGGCCGAGAGAGAGAGGAGAAGGAACGCGCACCCCACCGCACCACCACGCACCGCTGCGCCACCGCGCCGCGCCGCGTGGGGGCCGAGCTGTCCACGCCCGCGCACAGGTTCATCGGCCCCGAGTCTGGCCAGCCCTTGGAGCTCAAGCGCGGTGACCACACGCTGCTGCGGCGCGGCGACATCGAGCACCTGATACGCCAAGGGCTGCTCGAGCACTCGCGGTAGAGCGCGGCCGGCAAGGCCGTCCTCTCTCAGCTCCTCTCTGTGGCGGACCCGTCGCAATCTCGACAGAGTCCGTGACCGTCCGATCTCTCTTCTTCGGTTTTTCGTTGGATCTTGCTCCGCGCCTACGGCTCTACCCTCGCATCTCGCAAACGAACCTTCGGCTCGCTCTATCGTGTTGACGTGTACATGTATCGACGCTCGACGCATTCTCACTACGTTCTTGTAAGTCTCGAAAGTCGGACAGAGTGCTGCGAACTTTCTCGATCGATAGGATCGATATCCCACACATATTCTCCCAACTCCCATCTCACCTTCTCAGCTCTCCCTGCTCCCTCACGGCGGGGGCTTCGACGCGCCGTCCCCGCCTCCGCCACCCGCTGCCGCCGCCGCCGCCGCCGCCGCCCGCTTCCGCGAGCGCAGCAGCGCTTGTCGGACGGCGGGCACCAGGTGGTTGTCCGCGGGAGGCATCGGGTAATCGGCGAGGTCTGAGGCGGACACCCATCTGATCTCTTGCCCCTCCGCGCCGCGCAGCTCGCCTCGCCAGCGGTCGACGGACACGAAGAGCGGCATGAGCAAGTGCACCTTCTTGCTGACGTCCGCCGATGCGAAGGTGAGCGGCGTCAGCGCGCTCGGCGCGATCTCGATGCTGAGCTCCTCCCGCAGTTCTCGTGCGAGCGCCGCCTCCGGCGAGAAGTCGCCTGCCTCCACCTTGCCGCCCTACGAGGAAGACAGGGGAGCTGAGCGACGTACAGCTGGAGTGCCACCGGCGGCTCAAATGAGGCACCGGGAATTCCCAGAGACCCTCCATCGATTTGCCAGGCGGCCTCTGCGCCAGCAGGACGAGCGGCTCTTCGCCCTCGTTGGTCGTTATCAGCGCTGCTGCGACCACGAGCTGCACGTATCGCATGAGAAGAGGCTCGCTTCTGTATGAGCGGAGTTGGCCGTGCCGCAAGACGTGCCGCATGTCCGCTAGCGCTGGGGCCCGAGACTGCTCGGCGGAGAGCTGGGGACCGAGAACAAGAAAAACCTTTGTTAAGAGGGAGTGGCGGCACACCGTGCTCCCATCCCTCCCTTGGGTTGTCTGTTTTCTTTCTTTTAGTGGCGGAACCCGAGATTCTGTTGCCCTGGCTCCCCTCCTCACTGCCGCCTCTCAAAACCCCGGCACGCCTGCCCGAATCAATCGGTCGTGGCGGCGTCCCCGCTCGCCAGCTGGCCTGCGGCCTCTTCCCTCTCGGCACCTGCAGCCTCTTCTCTGTCGGCACCTTCGAAGCGCGAAAAGACGAAGCGCGTCTCGTGCGGCCCGCCCACATCGTACGAAGCCACCTCACCGTCGATGGCCCCCTCGGCCATGGCGCTCGTGATGAAGTGGCCGCCTTCTGGATACACATCAAGTTTTCCGACTCGTGCGAGCTCGGGGGTTGAGAAGGCCTGGCCGAGGAGGCCGTGTGGCAGGGACCGCGCTGGAGCCCCTTCGTGCCCGCTAAAGGCGACGTCGAGCCGGTGATGCGGGCCCGAGACGCGGTTGTACACAGGCCGGCCCTCCACGCGGATCGACCAGCCATGGTTCTCAAAGGTCGCACTTGAGTGGCCGACCCGTATAGCAAACTCCTCGCACACCTTGGACCCCAACGGTCCGAGCGTGAAGCGCCCGCCGCCGCAGGTGCCGTTGATCATCTTCCAGCCGAAGTTGAAGGCGCCCAGCTCCGACGCCCAGAAGGAGGCCGTGACCCGCTTTCGCTTTGCGCCACCGACCCGCGCAACCACGTGCGCCTGGTGACGGGAGGCGCGGTCTCACAGTGCCAACAGTGACGCTGTGGCCGCGGAGTTTGCGCCTCGGTCATAAAGGAGCCGTCGACGACCAGAGCGCCCTCGTGCAAGCTGAAGGTGGCGTTCTCTATTTTGACGTTGCACGCCAGGCCGGGAGCCGACAAGAAGGAGTAGTAGGCTCCGTGCTTGCCACGGAGGTCTGCGCGACCGCCGTGTGGAAAGTGGAGATGCCTGCAGCGATTTGGGGGAGGGGTGCGAGGCCCTCAGGGGTTCGGTGTGCGACCAAGAAGCGCGCGTCCCGTGACACGGTCTACTTGCTTGTGGCCATCTATGAGTCGGCCACGGGTCCTTGTTGGCATGCAGCGCTGATGGGGACGTCGCCACAGTTCCAAGAGGTGCTGAAACTTCAGCTTCTTCGGCCGGAGGGGGCGGGCCGGGTGGCGGCGGTGCTGGAGAAGGAGGGGGGGGCAATGATGCTGGAGAAGGAGGGAGGAGCAATGGAGGCGGTGAGGGAGGTGGGTTCGGCGACGGCGAGGGCGGCGGGGAGGGTGGCGGTGGAGAGAGCGGTGGCGGTGAGGGCGGCGGGCTCGGCGTCGGCGAGGGCGGCGGTGATGACTCCGCAAAGACGGCAACGGTGGAGCCGTCTAAAGCCGAAGAAATGCCTGCCAAACAGCGGCTGTCGGTGATGAGCAAGGCTCCACTGGTGCTGAAAGCACCCACGTAGATCCGGCGAGAGCGCGGGATGAGGCCCGAGCTCCCGCTTGTAGCCGTGGCGAGGCCAACTTTCGTCATCTCGGGCAGGCCGATCGCGGTGGTTCGAATGGTGCCGAGGCAAATCTTGGTATCCTCGTCTGCCGGCAAGCTCAACCTCTGATTGAGAGTGAGAATGCCGCAGGCCGTTTGGTCGCTGCAACGCTCACTGGCCCCCAGTTCGAACGAGGTGTCTATGCCGGGCACAGGATCAAATCCGCTGTATCTCAGCACACCCCCGTGCGAATCCCATCCATTGGAGGTCTTGGAGGCGAGTTGCATAGTGATCTTGGTCCCCTCCACCAGCACGGCTTCCGCCGTTACTGCCTCCAGCGCTAGGAAGCCAGGCAAGTCGGATGAATCCACCCCCACTTGCGTACTGGTGGGCGGAATCTCGGCCTCATTCTGAACGCATACCTGGATCGGGACCTCGTCCCCAACTTCAATCCGGGTTGGCTCACAACCCGAGCCAAACGGACAGATGTAGGGATGAATAGCGCCCGAAGCCACGCAGACGACCGCGATGTTGCCAAGCGCAACCCCCCTCGCGTCTGTTTGCGGCGTCGACAGGTGGGTGGCTGCTAGAGGGACCACGCCATTGATGGGCTCGAAAATAGGGAGGCCGGCGGCGTATCCGTACGCTTGCAAGGGGGCCATAGTCTCGACGAGCTATTGTCACCGGCTCGGGGGTTACGCCCCCAAACAAACTGCCATATTTTGCCAAAGTTGGCGAGATGCGAACGAATTTGCGCGGTCAAAATCTAATTCAAGAAAAAAGAAGATGTGTTGCAAGAAGAACACAAAGGAACAGTCCATGAGAGAGAAAACGGTGTTGCAAGAAGAACACAAAGGAACAAAGCATGAGAGAGAAAACGGCTCTCCACCTTGTTCCATCCCCCCCCCCCCCTAAACATCTTTGCCCCCATTAGCCGCCAAGTTGGGGGCGAGCCGCAGGCGAGCCGTGGATCTAATAGGATTCCTACATCTGAGCCAATCCGAGCGAGCTGAGCAGAGCTAGGCGCGGCGAACGCAACGCCCAGGCATAGCATCGCCCAGGCATAGCATCAGCAACGCATAGAGCGGGTTCATCCCGACCAGCCCCGAGCGCGAGCCTCGGAATACTTCATGAACCGGCCATTGGCATGAATCGGCCTTCCGGCGCTGTTGACTTTGACGGTCTCAGCCCTACCTGGCCATTCTAGATTATAGAATGGCATCCTTACATCTAGAATGGCGTCTCGCGCGCGCTCACCCGGCCGCCTCGCAGCCCCAGCGGCCGGGGGGCGCTTGCCGGGGTTGGGGCTGGTCACACACAGGCGCCACTTTAACGCGGCGAGCCAGAGGAGTCACACAGGAGAGCCCCCAACATGCCACATTTTCAGCAGCAGACGGGCCGCGGTGAGGGCCCATTCTGTATCGAAGAATGGGGTCCGCCGCCGTCCCCCACGGCCTTCTCACGCCCCCAGCGGCGGCGTGCCGCTCGGCCAGACTGGTGGGGTTCGCGCACAAGCCCCAGTTCAACACAGAGAGCCCAACAGTCCGCAAATGAGAGTCCTCCCCCCGCCCCCAAACCAGAGCAGACGCCGGGGGGTGCGCCACGTATGGCAAAAGCAAACGCACGATGGCCGCCGGCGGCCGTTGAGCGCTGCCGCCGTTCGAGCCTTGGATGTCAGTCCGTCGCCGCCTGTGGCGAGGGCAGTGGAGGTGTGAGATTTGTGCTCACAAGTGGTGGGCGGGCGAAAGGGTCGGGCGGCGAAAGAGTAAGAGAGCAGACAGCAGACAGCGCGAAATGCGGACTACTCGTGTCACATCTACTCCTCGTGTCACCTAGTCATGGTCGTCGCTTCCCTGGCCGGTCTCCGAGTCCTGCTCCTCGCCCGAGTCCTCGTCCAAAGTTCGAGTAGTCTTCCTCCTCTTCGTCCACTTCGTCGATCTCGTCGAGCCGGCTCTCCTGGCCCGACGCCCGTGACGCTGGGGCCGACTTGCTACGCGCGCTGCGACCCGGACCGCCACCTCTGCTGCCGCCTGTGCTACCCGTAGTCCTTGCCGGCGAGCGAGTGCCTTTTGCGGGGCTGTCGCCAGAGCGGGTGTCGCCACGGCCGTCTTCTGATCTGTTTTGTGGTCTGCGGACTGCGCGCTGCGCTGCGCTGCGCGTCTCGAGGCGCGCCGCAACACAGCCCGTGTAAATGGGGTAATGGATAAACCAAGCATCCCCGATGGCCGGGGGGATGTCCCATGGCCCCGGGGTGGCCGTGGGCACGCAGGGGGCGCCGCTACGGGCCGCTGCGGCGCCCATTCTACTTCGAAGAATGCCATTCTTGAAACTAGAATCTAGGTCTGAGACCGTTGACGCCGCCGCCACCAGAGGTGCCGTCGGCAAGCGACACAGCTGCGACGACCGCGCCACCAGCCAAAACCACCGGTGCCGCTGCCACGGCAGCTGTTGCGGCAGCCGAGATGACAGCCGCGGCGGCCACCGTCGCGGCGACCCCACCGCCAACTACCACCGCACCGGCGGCCGCCTTGCCCACCTGCTCCTGGTCCGGGACTACCTCCCAGAGTGCGACGCCGCCGCGCTTTGCCGAAGAATTCAACAAGTCTCTCCCAAGAAGAAAAAGCGCTTCGAAGAAGAAATCCGTGTCGCGCATGCCCAGCTGCCGAGAGCTCAACAACCAGTTCTAGCTCCCGACGCATTCGAATGCCATGGTGGGCGAATCCAGTCGCCGACGGCGGCCTGGGCGACATAGTCGACCCAATCACGCTCGAGCCGCTCGCGGCATCCGACGCCGCACCTTTCGAGCTTCCCGCCAGCCCGCCACTCAAAACAACCTCAGACTGGTTCGACGCTCGAGCCCTCGCTGCGTACCTCGTCGCACGCGGATGCTTTGTCCACCCGATTTCGCGACGCGAGATTAGCGCCGCCGACTGCGCCCGGCTCGACGCCCACCTGAGAGCGCTCGGGGAGAGGAGGATTTGCGTTGCTGCAGCGTATGAGGACCAATCCCGACCCAACTCGGGGACCGGGTCAGCACCCGAGGCCGCCGCGCACCTACAAGCCTTGGCAGCCTCGCTCGCCGCCTCCCTCTTTGACCCTGGCCCGCCCTCCCGCCCCGGCGCTGCGAGAGGAGCGCACCGCGGCGCCGGCCGGCCGCCTAGGCAGGCTCCGCCACCTGCCGCGCCTGCTGACTTTGGCCGCAGGCGACCCTTGCGGCAGCGGAGGGAGCAGCTCGCGGCGCAGCGCGGCGCGGCGGTGCGGACAGACGGCGGCCTCTCCATCGTTGATGACGACCTCGTCCCTTCGCAGTCCACGGGCGGCGGGTGGGAAGCGGCGGCCGCTGCCGCCACGTCGGCCGTGGTCGGCAGGCCGCGTGACGCCGCCGCAGAGGCCTTCCCCGCCCTTCCAGCGCTTGCGCCCGCCTCTGCTGAGGCCGCCCCTTCGCTCGCGGCAGCGACGGCGGCGAGGCGGGCAGCGGAGGCGGCGGCGGCAGAGGAGGCGGAGGCGGCGGCGCGGGCTGCGGACGAGGCGAGGCTGGCTGAGATCAGTAGCGGCCGGGCCCTGGCCCGGCGGGCGCGGCTGGACGAGTTGCAGGCGACGCATCTCTCGCGCTTGCGACACGAGGCGGCGGAGGCGGCGGGTGCCGCGGCGGAGGATGCGGCGGAGGATGCGGAGGCAGAGGCAGAGGCGGAGGAGGGGCTTGTGCGCGCAGTCGTCGTGGCCGTCGTGCGCCGTGCTGTGTTCGGGGCGAGGGAGGCAGCGGTCGAGGCGAGGCTGGCGGCAGCTGCGTCGCTGTCGGCTGCCGCCGAGCTCGCTGCGAACGAGCATCAGCTGGCGCGCGAAGCGTATCGCGAGAAGGGAGGGAGGGGAGAGAGCATTCGCGGCGCCGCCACGCGGAGCCGCGAGTGCGAGGGGGGAGGCGCCACGCAGGAGGAGGAGACGTAGCGAGCAGGCGGCGTGTGCGGCGGGTAGGCGCGAGGCTTCTTCTCGCGGGAGGCGCTCGCCGCCGCGCGCGACCCCGCCTCTGTCGCCTCGCGAGTCGAGGCGGCCCTCGACCTGTTTGCGACGGGCGGCGAGAGGCGGCACTCGCTGCCGCCGATGGGGTGCGGAGAGCGGGAGGGCGGGAGAGACGCGGCTGGCGATGAGGGCGGCTGCCACACCCTCCCCCACCCCTCCCACCCCCACCCCTTCCCCGGGCGGGCAGAGAGAAGGCTAGCCCACGAGATGGCGCACGCGTACCACGTCGCCACCCTCTCCCTCGGCACTGAGCCGCGCCGCCACCTCGACTTTGTGCGGACCGCCGCCACCGCGCTGCCGCCGCTCCGCCTGTCCGAGGCGGCGGCGGCGCTCGCCGTCAGCGCGGGAGGCGGGGAGGCGGAGGGGCTGGTTGGGCCGGGCGGGGAGAGGCCGTCCGCCGGGGCGGGAGCGGGGGCGGGAGAGGGGGCCGCGGCGGCGCAGGAGGGGGCGGCGGGGGCGGCGGCGGGGGCGTGGTGCGTCGCTCTCGAGCAGGTCGAGTGCTCGGACGCGGCGGTGCGGGCGGCGGCCCGCGGGGCGGCTGCTGCGGGTCTGGTTCGAATCGAGTGGCGGCCAGAGCGGCGGGCGGAGCGGGTGAGTGGGCGGTGCCGACCCACTCCCCTCCTCTCTCACTCTCACTGTGGCCCCTACACCCGCCCCTCCCGTGCCCCCTCGCCACCCTCCCGCGCCCTCTCGCCGCCACACCGGCTCCCCTCGTCCCCCGCCGTCCCCCCCAGGACGCAGCGCGTGAGGCCCTCCGGCTGCAGGCGAGATGTGGGGGAGATATGGGGGAGATATGGGGGAGAGGTGGGGAGAGGTGGGGAGAAGTGGGGAGATATGGGGAGATATGGGGAGATGTGAGGCCCTCCGGCTGCAGGCGAGGCTCGTGTGCGACAGCCGCGCCGCCGCCCTCGCCGCCGCCGCAGCGCTCGGCGGAGGCCGGCGCGGCTCGTTCCGGGTCCGCGGCGTCGTGCAGCTGGGCGGGGGCGAGAGCAGCGGGGCGGCGCCTCTCGGCGAGGCAGTGGCGGCGGGGGACGCACAAGCTGGCGCACAAGGCGACGGGGCAGGCGGCCGCAGGACTCGCGGCCGGAGAAGAGGCGGGCGCGCTGCGGAGGAGGAGGGCGCCTTTGAGGAGGCGGCGGCGCCGGGAGTGGACGGCGCGCTGCTCACCGCCCTCTGCGAGATGGGGTTCGAGCGAGCTGCCGCCGCGACGGCGCTGCGGCAGGTAGCCGCGGGGCGACGCGGCGAGGAGCCGCTGTCAGCGGCGCTCGATTTGCTCGCGTCGGGTGGTGTGTTGTGAGGCTGCAGAGGCAGCGTTGTGTACAGAGATATGGGCCGAGCGTTTTTGATCTCTCGGTCTGTGGGGGGCCGAGCCGCCTCGGGGTGGCGGGCGGGCGGGCGTTTTGAAAAACAGAAAACAAGGGGGGGGCCGGGGCCCCAGGCCCCCCACTGGGAGTAGAAAAATACGCCCCGCAAGGCGCAAGAGCGGCCGCACACACTGCTCGGTCAACCCCCCCCTGCACATCTAAAGTCATGGCCGACCCCCCCCCCCGCAGCAGCGCTCTGCTGCTGGGGGGGTCGGGACCCCCCCAGCAGGAGCGCTCTGCTGCTGGGGGGGTCGGGACCCCCCCCCCCCCAGCAGCAGCGCTCTGCTGCTGGGGGGTGCTGGCATCTCTGTACCGACAGCTGTAAGTAAGTACGGTTAGCGTTCCAGTCGTCGGCGAGGTGCTGGATATTAAATGGCTTGAGGGCGAGCCGCATGGCTTCCACCACACGTCGCTGCCCGCCATTGCGGCGAAGCGTCGCGGCGGACCTGACAGTTTTGCCCCGCGCGACGGGCCGCGCGCTAAGCTCAGTCGATCGATTTCGACGAGCGAGCGATCCGAGGATCGAGCGGGGGACCGATAGGCTAGAGAGATCAACGCTGATCGATCAACGTCAGCCGAGACGCCCGAGTGAGTGGCTCACTATACGGCTTTTAGTGTGGTAGTACAAGATAGACTCACATGGTCACAAGTCTTTAGTAAAACGCCAGCACTCGACACGACGAAGGTGTATTGGGCTCGAAGGCGCGGTGAACACAGCCGCCTCGAGCGTACCGCTAAAACACGAGCCGAGGTGAGAGGGGGCGGCGGCGGCGAAGAGGCGGGAGCCGGGAGAGCTGGGTCCAATGCCCTCTGCTGCTGGGGGGGGTCGGGACCCCCCCCCCCCCCAGCAGCAGCGCTCTGCTGCTGGGGGGGTCAGACCCCCCCCCTAGCAGCAGGGATGACTTTAGATGTGCAGGGGGGTACCGAGCAATTTGCGGCCGCTCCAAGGGGGCCAAGGAGGCGGCGCGGGGAAGCAGCATCAGGTGAGAGCAGGAAGGATGGCGCTTAGGGTCGGCTTTGAACAAGGGTTTCCAGGTTTTAGATCAGTATTGGTGTCGGCACACATCCCCACATGAGGTCAGCGGCGCGCAGTGCCTCTCTCGCAGGCGCTGATTTTGGCTGTTTTCGAGCTTGTTTTTGTTTTCAGACTAGGGGGCCCGACCCCCTCAGAGGCGGCGGGCGGGCGCCCACAGACCGAGGGATCAAAAACGCTCGGCCATGACAGGAACGCGGTGTCATGATGCTGGTATATTCATTTTGCGCGATGGGCATATGTCCAACTTCCAGTTTTTTCCCACACGCACACCCTCGACGACACCCGCTGCCGCAGCCGCATCCCCGCCCGCGGATTGGGCGATATTGGTTATTGCGTGAAGAAGCAGAAAGGAGGTCAGCCCACAAAAGCACAACGACCGCTCTGGCGGGGGCGCGGGGGCCCAAGACGCAAGAGGGTACCCATGCGGGGGGGAGATGGGCCCCATGGCGCCCGCCGCAGGCGCCGATCTTTTCGATTTTTTGTGCCATGGTTTTGGCGATTTTTTACTTGTTTTCATGGCACATGGGAATTCCGCGTACTTGCGGCCATGCTAGCACGCCTTGCGACAGCCTCTGTCGGCGCTGCTGACCGTGCCCTGCTGCACAATTGACCACCTGCATAGCTTGCGGCCTTAGTCTTTCTTTAGCTTTCAGTGACGACCTGATCGTACGGCCAGTAGGAAGGTGTCCTTCCAGCTGCGTGCACGCTTCTGACGCAATGCGCGTCACAAACTGCCTCAGATTGGCTGCTGGCACTCTCGAGGCTATGCCTACACGTTCGCGCGCATGGGCAGTCAAGAGGGACCACGCACCTTCTCAGGACAGCGCCGGTGCCTCTCTCTTGGACCGGCAAACTTGGTGGTCTCGTGTCACAAATGAATGTGGGACCAGTGCGGCATCGCGCCATCGACAGCTCTGAACTGCGCCTCACCACTGACCGGGAAGGCCGCGCACGTACTCGAGTAGGCCATTGCGGAGCTTTGTCGAAGGAGCATTCTTGCGGCGGAGCATTTCTTGCTCTCTCGGATCACTCACGCTGGCAGAAGCTCGCCATCGGCCGCTAATGGTGGGAGGAGCGGCGTCGAGGCAGCGCGTGGTCGCAGTAGTGACGTGTCTCGACGTCAAGCTCAAGGTGACCTTAGGGCCTCAGCACCTGGTCAAGCCACTCACAGAGGCGCTGCTCCACCCCTACCTCAAAGCGTTTGCACGAAAGCGCGGGACCGAGTGGGAGCGCCTCCGCATCGAGGCGGTGTGTATTGGTGGGGAGCAGACATTGACGCTCGCCGAGTGCGAGGCTCCAGCTGCGGGGCTCCTACTCGCGGACACGCTCGACGTCGAGATCGTTCTCGACCCCGAGAGCACGACCAGCGTTTACGCCGGCGTGGACGCTGCCATCGCCAGCACGCTCGCTTCTTGCGGGCTCGACGAAGACGTGGCGGCCAAGATTAAGCAGCGCGCAAAGACCAGCGCGAACTTCCCTGTGGACGCCGGCGCCGTGCTTCCCGAGGCGATTGAAGATGCGATCCAAGCCGGCAAGATCAAAACGGTGGAGAAGTGGCTTACGTCAGATGACGGCCACGGCGACGCGCTGCGCGACGACTACCAGGAGTGGGGCCCCGAGCGCATGGGTGGCTGCCTCATCAACGGCAAGCGTCTCGATGACGAGCCGGGCTACTACGACAAGCCACCGACCATCATGGGCACGTACATTCCCGCACTCAACATTGCAGCTTTGCACGGCAACCTTCGCATGGCGCAGCTCTTCCTCAAGCATGGTGCCAAGGTCAACCGCACCGACTGGAGCGGCGGCACGGGCGCGCAAGGCTCCACCGCGCTGCACTACGCGGCGTTTGCGTGCGCTACGCCGGTGGCAAAGATGCTCATCGAGGCAGGTGCCAACGTCAACGCGCCGACCGAGAAGGGCCACGCCACCCCCCTCATGGAGGCCGCGAAGGTCGGCTACGGAGACTGGCCGCCTCGCTTCACGGGCGATCAGCTCGGGGAGCTCATCTCAACTCTTCTCGAAGCCAAGGCAGATCCGACCCTGATCAACGGTGCGGGACAGACTGCACGGGAGATTGTGGTTAAGTCGCGGGCGGACACGGTGCAGATGGTTCGCAACCACCCGTTTGCGGCGCCCGGCGCCTCTAACTCGGTGACGACGTGGACGGGCTTTGCCAAGGCGATCCGACTGCTCGAGGAAGCTGAGAAGGCGTGGAAGGCGCAGTGAGCCCGCCCCCAGCATGTGAGCCCTCATGTGGAACGCCCTAAGGCGTAAGGGCCACTCTGTCGGCTCCTGTGCAGGCTGGCGGGAGATGAGAGCGCTCTGCCAGGCTCTGTCTTTGAGCCATGCGCGCCGCGGATCTGCAGGGGCCTGTGCGCATACTATGGTTCATTTCGGGGTTGTTCATACGCGTTGGACGAGTTCTTCGGCCGGCTGGCGCCCGTGTGGGAGTTGGCCTGCGCCGACAACTCGTCCAACGCCAGGAGGCGCAGGGAGGAACAGGAGGAGCCCGGCTGCTTAACCGATGCTTCGAGAAATCGATTTCCAGTAGTGTAAAGTGTAAAGACAGAGAAGGAGAGAAACACGGCTGCCAAGAGGGAGGGTCGAGGGGATGAGAGAGAACATTCTTGGAGCACTTGGAGTGTGCGTTCATATCATTTAAAGCGTATCATTAGCCTCACATCCAGCATCCAGGTCGGAGCAAGTCCCCGCCCATGCGATCTTTGTGCACAGGGTTCTTTGTGGGTGGTGGTCGGCGACTAGCCGGGGTCGTCGCGTCGTCCTCTCGATGGGGGACTAGCACTGGCCGTCTTCCACATGTGGTCCCTCGCGCCTCTCGGGTCCCTGGGTCCCTGCTGCTCGTAAGTCTCTTCGTACATCCTCCTGCTGATCTCTCCGCAAAGTCCTGCTCCTTCTCTCGTCTCGCCCTGCGTCTGCTCCAACTCTCCCCCGTCGTCTGCCCTGCGTCGTCTGGTGACGGGTCCTCCATAGTCGGTTGAGGTCGCCGCCCTCCTCGTGCCTCTTCCCAACGTTCCCTCGGCGGCCGATGGCGATGCCGTCTGCTCCGACTCCCTCTCCCCCGTCCCCGGGTCTGCCCTGCTCTCGTCTGCGCTAGTTTCTGCTTCGTCATCACTGGTGTCTCTCCTCTTCTTTCTCCTCTCCTTTCTACATACTTAGACTCACAAGAAGGGGCGTTCGATCACTCGCCCCTAGGGAGGGATGGGAGGACGGCACACGCCGCCACCAACTTGGAGCACTTGGAGTGCAGTTATTAACCTCACACCCAGGGCCGGGGAGCTAAGAAGCGCACCCAGCGGGCCGGATGATCGGGACCGGGTTACGGGCTAGAGAGCCTTAGCCCCGGGGGGTGCGCGTTCGCAGGGAAGGGGGACCATAAAGTAAACACGGTTCTCCGAGGGTTAGCTCCCAACCACACACAGGGATTTTGATCGAGCCTGTCTGCTGTGAGAGAAGGTTGTTTGTTTCTCGGTCGCCGTGCGGGGGGCGGGGGGGGGGGGGGCAGAAAGGTGTTTGCTTTCTTTGTTATAGAATAGGAATCGTCCCGAGACTCTCTTGGGCCCGCGTTTTACAGGGCAACATTAGGGAGGAAATCGTATCATAGGCGCTTCCCACGGCACTTTTGCTGGGTAGAGCCTTAGTTTTTTCGAAAGGTATCATCATAACGCGTCCGCTCCCCCCGAGTTGAGCGGGTTTCATGAAAAACGAATTATTTCAGTGGTGTGCGCAGGTCCATGTGTTTGGGACGCACCAATACGAGCCGTCCCCCCTGACCCCCCCCCCTCTGGGACGCGTCCACCCTCCGTCCAACATTCGCGATCCCTCTTTTACATACATAAAAACACCGTTAAAGCCGTACACGTAACACGATCACCCGTCACTGCCTTCACCTATGCTCTTTTTATTTGGCTCCTGTGGGCACCCTATCATCAGCACACTCGACACGCAAACTCGGGTTATGGAACAGGCCTACGACTTTGAAAGTGCGGTTCCTCAATGGCTGCCGTAGCCGGACACGATAGTGGGGCGAGTGATATTGCCAAAACAGTCATCGTGCTGGCTCGAAATGACACCAAACTTCTTGAGCGCAAAGCGCGCCGCCTGTGGCATGAGGAACGCGCGCCGCATGCCCTTCGCAGCCTTCATCCGAATTTGCGCCTCCTGCTCACTCACCCTCCCCAGCTTCGCAAGTAGGTTTTTGGTTGCCTGCTGGCTGTCCGGAACTCGCGCCAATGTGATGGCGCGCGTATAGTTTAGCTCGTCCGCGTAGGGGAGAAAGGTCTTCTCAAAGACAAGAGGGAGGCAGGCGCCTCTAGCTGCGAGGACAATTGTTTCTGCAACCTTGCGGGTAGAGGGTGTGTCGCCCGGGCTCACTACGCAAAACCGGTGTGCATGCGCAGCGAGTACATATTGGTCGATCTTTAACCTTGAGCTGCTCAATGGACCAATGTCCTGCGCATTGACGGTCACTCGCGTCTCGTTTGCGAGATACTCGAGTAACGTTTGACGAACCCACCCCGTCTTTGTGTTCCCTCCCGCCCTTGCAATATGGCCAGCGAAAAAGAGCAGTTTTCGTTGTCCCCATGGAACTGTCTGGGTAGCGGGCCATTTGTACCCGGTTACCACGTGAGGCGCATGCAGCAGCGGCATTCTGGATCTCCCTCCGGCCGTGGGTTCCATGACAACCCACTTGATGTTGAGTGGACCGGGTCCCTTCTCAGCAGACCGAGGGATGAAAAGTGACGCTTGGAAGGACACAGCCAGATAAGTGACGTCTGGGCTCGCCTCTGCGTGTTCGCGCAACGAAAAGTAGCAGGGATAACGCTGAGCGTGCCTGAAGGTGAAGCTCGCATTCACAAAGATCGTCTTGCCTGGACGAACGTGAGCTGCCAATGCCCGCAAGAGCCACGTGTGAACGGCGTGCTGATTCTGCTCGTCCTCAACATCGAGCATACCATTGCAGCTCGGCAGATTGAGCACTCTGGCCGGCCCGCAGGCGGAGGCTGGATGCGAGGCGCCTGAAGTCATCTTACTTTCTGGCATGAGCGCTCTCTGTTGCGCCGTCTTTGACAGACGAGAGCACCCAAACGAACTGCACTCTGACACATCGAAAGTGGAAGCAAAAACTCATCAGCCTTGGTTAGGTTCTCTGCGCCCTCACGGCCCGCCGATGGGAAACTGTGGGATAGGGCGCCATGGCGACGCGCGCGCTCCGGGTATTTTTCGGTATACCTGAGAATTCTTGGGTATACCCGTTTTACCCGGCCGGCCGGCCACCTGGCTGGGTCGGTCCGAGGGAGGGACAGGCAGGGTGTCCCAGGCAGGAATGATCGGGACGGCCGATTAAAATTATGAGCCACAGTGAAATGTTTGTCAGTGTCTGCCCTGTGGCGCTGCCGAGCTGCCGCTGCCGCGCCGTGTAGCGCGGCGTTCGTGTCGCCGCAGGCTCGAGGCCTTTCTTTATCTAGAGCCTGCTCTAGAAACCATCAGAGAGAGGCTGCGGGCTGCGAATTCTGCACATATGGAATTCTCTGGAGATTTCGAGTCTCGGAGATATTCTATGCAGCAATTAAACTATGCATGATTATTATTTATCGCGCCGCAGGCCGCACGCCACTGTAGATGCTCTCCCGCGACCATAGCCCCTCCCGCAGCCGCAGCCGTAGCCGCAGCCCCAACTCTTGCTGCTCTTCTAGTGTCGGGTAGTGACCAGGGGGTGAGGGGACGGATTGAAGATCCCTCACACCAAGATCGTGCAGGGCGGGGACACATGTCCCTAATCCCATCTCGTCTCAGAGTTTGACCGTTTTTATTTATTTATTTACGCCACTAGATTAGACGCAGCTCCCCGCGCAGCCGCGCTCCCACACACGCTCCACGTCCTGTGCCTCGAATTGCAAAGCTCAGCCGTCGGGAGGGGCGCTACCACATGCCTCCCGCTCCATCAGCGCGGCTGCAATCGTCCACGGCGGCCGCGGCTCTCCGGCAGCGGGCGGGACCGCCGCGGCGAGGAGCGGGTCCGCCTGCGGGTCGTACGGCGGCGGCGGCGGCAGGCCGAGCTCGCGCAGCAGCTTGGCCGCCACCTCATCGACGTCCGCCTCGATCTTGAGCTCCGCGAGATCCTCGTCGAGCGCCCTGCCGCGGTTGATGATCACCAGCCGGCAGGGGCGCACCGCCGCCCGCCTGCGAGGCCGCTTGGCGCCGCCTCTGCCTCCTCTGCCTCCACCTCCAGTCGCCTCTGCAGGCGCCTCCTCCGCGCCCGCCAGCCGCACACCCTTCGGCGGCGGCTGCGCCCACCTTGACTCTCGGTGCCACGGGTCAAAGTAGTTTGCGAGGATCGACATCGACGTCCCCCACGCCACGACGAGGTCGGCCAGCTGCATGTGTTCTTTCGCCGCCCTCAGCTTGTGCACGCGGTTGTCGCCCCACGGGAAGCCTGTCCACACCGCTAGCTTGTAGGGACGCTACTCACACGCTGTGCGCGCTGCTGTCGCCCCAAAGGGAAACCGTTCGGGCATTCGCCAAAGTCGACCGTCGAGTCGAGCAGCCAGCCGCGGCCGCGCAAGCCGCCGCCGCCAACGGCGCCGTCGCCGACAACGGCGCCGCCGCCGCCGCTCGAGGTGCCAGCGCCGCCGCCGCCGCCGCAACCTCCGTCACCGCCCGCCGCCACCGCCACCGCTCCCGCCGCACGCTCAAAGGCACGCGCCGCCTCTGCCGCCGCTTCTGGCGGCACGCTGCGACAGTGCGGGCACGCGCGGCCGCTCACGTGTCTGCCGAGCGGCCACGACCGCTTGTACGTCTCGGGCCTGCAACAGCAGGATCGGAGGGCCGGTGAGGTGGTGAGCGCAAAGGATCGCGGGACAGGGAAGTACCGGGACTGTTCATCTAGGGCCTCGGGGCCAGTAGGTGACAAAGTCGCGGACCGTCAGAGCGCCGCAGCCGGCTGGCCGACGCTCGCGCGCGGCGGCGTCCGCTGCTGCGTCCAGCGCTGCACGCTCGGCGTCCGACGACGTCGACTCGTCCTCGCTCGAGCTGCTCTCGTCGCTGTCGCCAGACGCGTAGTTGCCGCACACCTCCACAAACGCGGACCCGTGCAGCTCGCTGAGCCGCACCTCCGGCACCCCCGACCGGCGGTGCAGGCCGTCCTCGTTCTGCGTGATGACGTGCTTCACGAGCGGGTCCTCGCCACCGGAAAGCTGGGCGATTGCACGGTGCGCAAACGTCGGCCGGGCCGCGGGCATGCGGCGGAACATTGTTTCGTCCCACGGGCTGTCGACCGGCATGCCCTTCTCTCCTGGCTCGCCGACGACCAGCCCTGACGCCTGCGCCTCGGTCCAGATGCCGTCTGGCCCTCGGTAGTCGCGCAGGCCGGCGGGATCGTTGGTGGAGATGCCGGCGCCCGTGCAGAAGAGGATGTGCCGAGAGCCGCGCATGAGCTCCGCGAGAGCCGCGACCTGCGCGTCGACGTCTGCGTGCTTTGCCCGCCTGGTCGGCATATTCAGCGCCGCCGCCGCCAGCAGGGAGGGCGGGCCGGCAGAGAAGCGAAGATGTCCGCGATTTTTTTTCTGGGGGTACACGCTGGATGTTATGAAACAAAGGCAAGGCGACGAGGCATATCGCTCTCGGGCCCACAGACATCCCACACACCCGCCGCCCCCGCGCGCGCCCCACCCGGGAGAATTTTTCTTTTCTCCTCCGAGCAGCCGCACCGCCTCGGCTTGCATGTGAAGGGAGGGCGCGTCCCTCGTTTTTTTCTTTCCCAGCGGTGCGGTTGGCTCTCTCGTCCCGATGACGGGCGTATGCGTAATGCGTGAGGCGTAACCCCCGTCGGCCGCCACTTCTCACTCGAATCCGGAATGCGTGTGCGTAATACGTGGTGCGTAAGCCCTCTCCGACACCTTGGGCGTGCGAATGCATAAAATGTATGCGTAATGCGTGAGAGGCGTAACCCCCGTCGGCCGCCACTTCTCACTCGAATCCGGAATGCGTGTGCGTAGTACGTGGGGCGTAGCGCGCCTTGAGAGGCACACCCCGATCGGCCGAAGGTGGATGCAGAAGACAGATTCGTAATACGCAAGACACGGAGGTTTAGGTATGTTGTCGGCAAATCAAGATAGGGTGCCCACAGCGCACAGGACCCAAAAGAAAATAGCTTTCCACTCAAAAAGGGACGCACCAGGCAAATCTGATGTTGGAGTGTTCCAATAGGAGCGAGGCCTCTTCCGTTGGGGGACCGAGTGAATAGGAAACGAGGATTTCCCATTGTGTCCCCTTCGCGTGCGAGCGTGACACTGCACTTGGCGCCGAGCGGCCGCGGCTCAGACCTTGTGCAGGCCTACCCTCAATGACCACGCCAGTCCGGACCCAGACGCCCCAGAGTAGCATGCACCCCCTTGCACGAACGATGATCACAGCCCTGCTCCCAGGAGCAGGACCACGAGGCAATGTTCGTCCCTGGTTCGCTTCTCCCCCCAACCCCCAGATCTAACCCCCAATTCTAACCCCCTCCAATCCCCAGTGTCGCCACGTACCTGCGCAGAAACCCGTATGCGCTGTGATCGGTTCCCGATCCGTCCCACTCGCCGTGCCGCATGAGAGCTACATGGAGAAGCCGGACGCCTTGGCGTGCCGCCGATCACTGTCAGTGAAGCTGTTCGGCGCCTATACGGTGAAGCCTCCAGCGTGAGGGGCTGCAGAGGGGAGCAGAGGGGGGCAGAGGGGAGCAGAGAGGAGTGGCCGGGGGAGGCTCCCAATGCAATCTCGGGCAATCTCGGGCAATCTCGCTTAATCTCGGGCAGTCCAAGGTAATATCACACCTTCCACTCGGCCGCGTCGGACGGCGGCACCCGGGCTTGCTTCTTCCTGCCGCCCCCGCAGAGGACGCGGCGCAACACCTAGAAACAGAAGTCTCCGCCGCGTTGATTCCGTGTTCTCGGCGCCCCGCAGAGGACGGCCGAGCACCGCCAAGAGCGCGAGGCCAAAAGCCACACCGCCGATGAGCCCGACGTTCAACGAGAGGGAGGTGTCGGGGACAGGGGGCTGGAGAAAAGGGAACACCCACATCTGCACCTAGAAAAGACGAACAAGCGCGCGTGATTTCGTCTTTCGGGTCGGGTCGCGGCCCTCCGTTTGCCCACCGGCGGCGGCGGCGGCGGCGGCGAGGGCGGCGGCGGCGGCGGCGGCGGCGGCGCGGGTGGCGGCGGCGGCGTCTTGGTCTTGGGTGGCGCGGCATCAGACGGCGCGACGGCGGCCGAGGACGAAGACACCGATGCCGGGTCCGATGGGGGAGGCGGAGGCGGCGACGGGGGAGGCGGCGAGGGCGGCGGCGGCGGCGGCGGCGGCGGCGCGGGGCGGAGGAGGCGGAATACCGGCACTTTCGGCGGGGAGGGCTCCTGGGGAGGGGGCGGCGCCGCTGGCGGAGGCTCAAGACGCAACCCGAAGCCAAGCGACCAGTGTTCGCCCCACGCGCGGCAGAGGCGCCCCTTGAAGGGCCGGTCACCGTAGACGAGCGAGGCGATCGCGCTCCCTCCCTCGCTGCCGGGGACGAACGAGGCGATGATGACACTCGAGCGGCGGCAAACTCGGAGATGTCGACGGGGCGGCCAGAGATTGCGACGAGGATGACCGGCCGGCTCGACCGTCGCTTCATCAGGTTGTCCAGGCACGCGTGGTCGGCCCCGTGCATGGGCACCGGCGATCTGGCTCGGTCGCCGACTCCCTCGGCGTACGGGTCTTCAGAGACGACGGCGATGGCCACGTCGCCCGAGTCGGCGTCCCCCCGCTCCGTACCGAGAAGGAAACGCACGCCTCGCAGCCTGCCCTGCCGGCTCTGGCGCGGAAGCCGTCGTAGACGTTCGTGCCCAACCCCTCATCCCGCGTCGTCCCCTGCCAGGACAGCGACCAGCCGCCCATCTGCCGGCCGAGCGAACGACCGCCACGGCACGCGACAAGCACAGAGGCGGTCGGTGAGAGCGGCAAAGCGCCATCATGCTTCAGCAGCACTGCGGAGTGTGCGGCAGCCTCCTCCGCCAAGGCCCGGTGCCACTTGCTGCGCACCAAAGGCGCGAGCTGTTTGGGTTCGGCCGCCGCCGCCGCCGCCAGGTGCTTGGAGGAAGGCGGGCGGAGGGCGGCTGTCCCGCCCGCGTCTGCGGCGAGCAAGCCTAGCTTCCCCTTGACTCGCAACACGCGGCGGACCGCCGCGTCTATTCTCTCGAGGCTGATGCGGCCAGTCTTCACCGAGCGCTCGACGCTGTCGACAAACGCCCGCCACGGCCCCGACGTCGCTTGGTTCCAGGTTCCCGGAGCATTCGTCCCGGGCAGCATCACCAAATCGATGCCCGCGTTGATCCCGGCGGCGAACTGCTGCTCGGCGCTGCCCGGCAGTTTGTTGATGCCCCCCCAGTCGGAGACGACCAGCCCCTCAAAGCCCAGCTCGCGCTTTAGGAACTGCGTGACGAGCCAGCGGTTCCCGTGCGCGGGGCGGCCGTTGATGGAGGAGAACGACACCATCACGGTGAGCGCGCCCGCCTGGACCGCGGCGCGGTACGGCCGCAAGTGCGCCTGCAACTCCGCCTCGCTGAGAACCGCGTCCCCTTGGTCGCGGCCGTGCTGGGTCGCGCCGTCGGCGGCGAGGTGCTTTGCGCACGCCGCCACGGGAGTGGGTGACTCCTGCAGCCCGCGCACCTGCGCCTCCCCGAGCCGACTCACGAGCTCCGTATCCGAGGAGAACGCCTCATAGGTGCGGCCCCACCGGTCGTCCTGCGCGGCGGCGACGCACGGCCCAAATACCCAGTTGATCCCGCACGCGGCCACCTCCAGCGACGTCGCCTCGGCGAGCTGCCGCGCGAGCGACTCGTTACGCGCGCAGCCGAGGCCGATGTTGTGGGGGAAGACGGTCGTCCCGCGCGCCTGGGCGTGGCCGTGCACAGCGTCCACCCCAATTAGCAGCGGGATGCCGAGCCGGTGGCGGCGGGCAGCGCGCTGAAGCCGCGCCGACCGCTCTCGGAGCGAGCCGACGGAGGGGAGTCCTCCCGAGTAGAGGACCGAACCGAGAGATGAGTCTCCCCAGCTGCCGTCTGCCACGGCCTCGACGCCGCTCATGTACTCGACCAGCTGCAGCATCTGGCCGATCTTCTCTCGCAGCGTCATCTGGCCCAGCAGCCCCTCGACCTTCTCCACCAGCGACATGGACGGCGGACGAGGGGGTGGCGGTGGTCGAGGGGGCAGGGCCGGCCCTGGCGGAGGCGTCGGCGGCGGCTGCGGCGGCGGCGGCGGCTGCGGCGGCTGCGGCGGCGTGAGAGTGCGAAAGAGAAGGCAGACGCACGCTGTGCCTGGCGCCGAGAACGCCACATCCGGCGAGCGGTGCACCTCGCAGCTGCTCCTCCCTTTGTTGAACTCGATTGCGGTGCACTCGGTGGGGATTGTGGCACAGCGCGACATGCACTCGTCCAGACTCGTGGCCGGCCGCTTGGTGAAGCTGTCACGCGCGCCCGACTGCACGCCGTCGCTGGATGTGCGGCAGCAGCCGTTCCGGCCATTGATGGGCTCGGACCACAGCTGATTCATTACGTCGCGAGCCGCCAGAGTCGAAGAAGTGAACATCCTCAACATGAGCAAAGTCGGGGCCAGGCGCCGTGGCATCGTTGCTTCGGTGAGGCACGCGTGATTCTTTTTGCTTGTGAGGCACTCATGCTGAAATTCCTGGCGAGTAGAGGCACACGCACGCTCTCCCGAGGTCTCTTGGAGCAGAGCCCCGGCGAGGCCTCGAAATACCCAATGGGTCCCTCGAGAGGGGTACCCTGGGTGGGCGGGGCCTCTACTCGCCAGCTGAAATTCTGCAAAAACCCGGCTGGCCCCTGCCCTGCCCCTACCTACCTACCTACCTACCTACCTTACTTATGGGAGGTAGGTAGGTAGAAAGGTGAAGAACAGCCAGGCTCGGACTGGACACCAACGCGGTGTGGGTGGACGCGAGACAGATGATGACGACACGCACGAGCGACACACAGACACAAACAAGCTCACAAGACACACAGCCAGCTGGCTGCCACACATTATGGGAAACTAAAAAAGAAATCACTCGATGGGTGAAGGTGGGTACTATACCAACTAGAGTGGATGGTTGGTGGTACTCTCTCCTGCAACCACAGTCCTTCTTGTGACATGGCAGGCCACTCTCAAGCCCTCTACAAGCATCAGATCACCCATTTGGGGAGGGTTGACATCGTGATTTCCGCGGAAAACTTTTTTTTTGCTGAGACATGTTGCATGCAGGTTGCAGTCTGTATAGAGAGCATCTGCACCATACAGACCCTCTCTCTCTGCACACTCAGTGCACTCTTGGGTGGGATTCTGTATTCTGCACCGGCATTGTGCATTCTGTACGACTCTTTTTTTGGCCTCTCCTACCTGTATTGGGCGAGTTTTTGCATTCTGCACCTGCATCCTGCATCGGTACTCTGTCCGCTCTCTTCTGGCTGTGGGTGAGTTTTTGCATTCCGCATTCTGCATCCTGCATCCTGCACGTAGAGCTCCCGGTGACGCTACCTAGGTACATTTCGTAACGATCGTCGCTATTGGCCATCTGCCTCCTGCAGCCTCTGTTGGGGCGGAATGCGCGGGGTTTTCGGCGCGATGCCTCCGGCTAGTACACGGTACTGCTCTGCCGCAAACTCTCCTGCGCTCGCGTGACGTGTGGGGCGCACGCACTGCGCTCGAAAGTCGCGATTTGGCAATAGGCGCTCGAGCCGGCGCGCAGTGGAGGGGGCGCCGCGCAGGGGGATCGGGGGGGGTGCGAGAGGGGGCGTGGGTCGGGCGCGCACCGGCCGGCTCCGGGAGCGGCCGTCACGTCGAAGAGGGGACCTGGTGCTGCTCGAATGACGACGCATGCCGCTCTGCTGCGCCGCCGTGCGCCGATAGCCCCTCTTCCGAGCCGGCGCGTGGCGGCGAGCCGCGGCCAGTATCGCTGGTGCGGTGGAGGCGGCAGCTTGCATCGGCCGGCAGCGGGTGCGGCCATCACGTCGATGAGGGGGGGTTGTCGGCGACTCGTGTGGCTCGAGGCCTACGCTGCGCCGCCCAAGCCCTACTGCCGATCCAGCGCCTGCGTTTGGGGCGAGCCGCGGTTTTTCGTCGCTGATGGTATATGGCGGCGGCGGCGGCGGCTCGCCCTTCCCTCCGGCCGCAATTCCGATCCCGCCGCGCTCGCGGGAGGTGGCGCGTACACCTTACGCCCTTTCTCCTCAACGGCTATCCGTGCTTGCTGTGCCCCTGCGTGGTGTGTTTCAAGTTCTTACAACCCAAGGTGATAGAGGGCAAAAAGATCGATTGCGCTCTTGCCGATCCGCACCTACCTACCTAGGTAGGCTGAGAGAGAGAGAGAATTCTTGATACGAAACCACGACGACACACACCAGTCGACTCGCATCGGTTGCCTCCATGAACGGCGGAGCTATTCTCGCGCCCACACCACACCTGGCTCCAACGTGGACACGCCCATAGCTGGGGACACTACTAGGTCACGCATGGCATCACAGAAGTTTTATCTCTGGGCCCCGAAAGGCATCTCTAGCAGTGTCGTTACACATGCCCCCTCCCCTCCTGGGCGCATGCGCCTCACGTCTCGCCAGAGCATAAGCCCTTGGCGTGTGGCGAGACGAGTTTTTCGCCATCGCCGCGAGCAGCAAGCCGCCCGCCGCAAACAGCCGGAGGCATCGCCACGGCACTGGCTGCGCCGCGGTCCCGCACCCGTCGACGCAGCTCCCCCCGCGGAAGACCGCGCGTAGCAACGTCTTGACGATCGAGATGAGCGTGCCTGAAGCTCGCCCACCTACTGCCCCTGAGAGTTGGTTATTGAGTGGGATCAGCTCCCCCCCTTGGGATCGAAGCCGCCACAACCTCACACCCAACATCCCAGGCGGGATCAGAAGGGGACTCCACACCGGACACCGCCCGGGCACAGCCCCCCTACCCGTCGGATCGCACAGAGGGCCCCCTCGGAGCAGCCCACACACAATCACGCATCGGCAGATTGAGTGCCTGAGTCAGGCAGACAGCACAGACAAGAGGAGAGAGAGGAGAGAGAGAGAGAGAGAGGAGAGAGGAGAGGGAGAGGGTGTGAACACACGTGAGGAGTGGGGGAGGGTGTCTGTGGTGGGTTGTAGTCATACTACGTGGTTACAACCACGCGCCCCTCAGGAGCTTAAGGTAGAGCTGAGCGTCCAAGACGCCTCGGTGCCACCCACCGGCGTGAAGACCATCCGGATCTATCGGGTTCGCCCTCCGGACGGACCCGTCCCCGCGATGGCCCACGGTCCTCCGTCGCCTGGTTGAACCCCCTGCCTCCCGGTTGACCCCCCGGTCCCCGTACACGACCATGAAATAAACTCAAAGTCCACCACAGCCACCAGCCTCCACCTCCACCCGCGAGCCGCCACCGCTGCCGCCCGCGACGCCGCCCGCCGCGTCAGATAGCCGCGACGCGCGCATCGAGTCGCGTCGGAGAGCCGCGCCGCACCAGCAGCAGCATCTGCACCACCAGCAGCAGCAGCAGCACCGCCACCACCACCCGAGAGAGAAGCGCACCTGCCCGACGCCGCCCGCCGCGTCAGACGCTCGCGACGCGCGCGTCGAGCCCAGTCGCACAGCCGCGCCGCGCCAGCAGCAGCATCGGCACCAGCAGCAGCAGCACCACCACCACCAACAGCAACAGAGACAGGCAGTGCAGGCGCAGAGGCGCTCGCAGAGCGGCGCTCAGCGCCGCGCACGCCACGCTGCGGACCGTCGGACGAGCGCACCGTACGTCGGCGGCGAGCCGCGTCGCCAGCCGTCTCGCGAGAGAGCGGCGCCGCCGCGTGCGCGCAGCAGCCGCCGCGGCAGAGGCGAGCCGCGGCGACGTCCGCACTAACGGATAACGGCCATTGGCGGTTTTCTCTCTCTCTCTCTCCTAGGTAGGCTCTTGGGTGGCGCGCCCCAGCTCTTCACAACGAACCTGGCTGGCGGTGCTTCTCCTCGGCACGCGGCGCCGCGGTGTACGTTCATGGGGGCGCAGCCGATGGATCTCGACGAGAGCGACCTGCTCTTCGAGGAGGACATCCTGCGCAACGCCTACTCGCTCAAGTATTGGTGGCGGTACATGGAGGCCAAGAAGCGCTCGCCGGCGCGGCAGCGCAACCTCATCGCCGAGCGGGCACTCAAGTACCTGCCGGGCTGCTACAAGATCTGGCACGCGTACCTGGCGGACCGGCGGGCGCAGTGCAAGGCCAAGGAGCCCGGACACCCCGCGCACGCGCGCCTCAACGCCGTGTACGAGCGGGCGCTCGTCTACATGCACAAGATGCCGCGCATCTGGCTCGACTACCTCGAGATCCTGGCCGCGCAGCACGCGCACACGACGACGCGGCGCGCCTTCGACCGCGCGCTGCGCGCGCTGCCGGTCACGCAGCACGAGCGCATCTGGAAGCTCTACCTGCCGTACGCAAAGGCGAGCCCCGTGCCGGAGGCCGCCGTCCGCATCTACAAGAGGCGCGCGGGGAGCCGCCGAGAGAGAGAGAGAGAGAGCGAGAGAGTTCCGGCGCGCGCGCACCGGCTGTCGCCCGCGCGACTCCGCTCGCGCGACTCCCCGGAAGGGCTCGCGGGGGCGGACTGCCGCGGCGTCTGCGCTTGCCGTCCTCCCCCTCCCGCCCCTGCCATCCTACCGTCCTCACCCTCCCGCCCCTGCTGGCAAAGGCCGACGCAGAGGAACCCCCCCCCCCCACCCCCCCCTGCCCCTTGTCTCGCAGGTACCTGCAGTTCGACTCGGACGCGGTGAAGGCCGCCTCGAGTGGCTGCTCAGAAGAGAGGCGTGCTTCACACCGCGTGCCCTGTGGTCAGGTCGAGGAGTACATCGACTACCTGATGCAGATCGGACGCGTCTCGGAGGCAGCGCTCAAGCTGGCAGAGGCGCTCGAGGGAGAGCCGAGAGAGAGAGCCGAGAGAGAGCCGCGAGAGTGTGTCGGAGGCAGCAGGCTCAAGCTGGCAGAGGCAGTCGAGCCACGAGGCGACTCGTCGCAGCTGCCTCCTCCTCCCCCCGGCCTCACTCCTTGCCTCTCCCCTCGCAGGTCCTCAACCGGGAGGGGTTCGTCTCGCTGCGAGGAAAGTCGCGCCACAAGCTGGTGCAACCCCCCCCCACCCCCCTCCCCCAGGTGCGCGACTTTTCGATGGTCTTCGACGCCTACTCCCAGTTCGAAGAGTCCCTCATCACCGCCCTCATCGAGCGGCAAGCGCAGCAGCAAGCCGCAGCAGACCTCGCCGCCGCCGAGTCGGGCGGCGCCTCGGCCGAGGCCTCGAAGGCGGCGGCGGCGACGACGCTCGAGCTCGACATGCGGCTCGAGCGGCTCGAGCGGCTGATGGAGCGGCGGCCCGAGCTGCTCTCGTCGGTGCTGCCGCCGCAGACAGTCTCGTTGGGAGCCGCTAGCCCCCTCATTGAGCATGAGTCGTGTGTCACGAAGGTGCTGCTGCGGCAGAACCCGCACTCCGTGCACGAGTGGCTCAAGCGCGCCTCCCTCTTCGAGGCCTCGCCCGCAAAGGCGATCCAGACCTACGCCGCCGCAGTCAAGACGGCACGCCCACACCACCCTCGCCGAGCCGGCCCCCTTCCCTGCACTGTCCACGACGGCGTCTCTGCGCCCTGCTGTAGGTCGACCCGCGCCGCGCCGTCGGTCGGCCCTCCTCCCTCTGGCTCGGGTTCGCAAAGTTCTACGAGTCGCACGGCGACATCAAGAATGCGCGCGCCATCCTCCGCAAGGCGAGGCCCAGCCGAGACCCAGCCGAGACCCAGCCGAGACCCAGCCGAGTCCCAGCCGAGAGGGAGCCGAGAGGGAGCCGAGAGGGAGCCGACGTCGCCGCGGGAGGGGCCCTTGTTTTCACCTCCCCTCCGCCCTCCGCCCTCCGCCCGCAGGCGACGCTGGTACCGTACAAGAGCGTCGACGAGCTCGCCTCGATCTGGATGGGGTGGAGCGAGATGGAGCTGCGCCACAAAAAGTACCCGGAAGCGCTCGCCGTGCTCGCCGAGGCGACGGCGGTGCCGCCCGCGTCGCGCCGCGCAAAGGAGAAGGAGGGGCCGGTGCAGGACCGGCTGTATAAGTTCACCAAGCTCTGGGCCTTCTACGCCGACCTGCAAGAGTCACTCGCCGGGTTCGAGCCGACGCGCGTGACGTACGACAAGATGATCGAGCTGCGGATCGTGACGCCGCAGCTGGTCCTCAACTACGCCGCCTTCCTCGAGGAGCACAAGCACTTCGAGCTCGCCTTCCAGGCGCACAGGCGTAGCCGCGAGCAGCTAGCAGCAGCTGCAGCAGCAGCAGCGCAGCTAGCAGCAGCTAGCAGCAGCTAGCAGCAGCTAGCAGCAGCTAGCAGCAGCTAGCAGCAGCTAGCAGCAGCTAGCAGCAGCTAGCAGCAGCTAGCAGCAGCTAGCAGCAGCTAGCAGCGCAGCAGCAGCAGCAGCAGAGGGGACCAGAGAGGACCAGAGAGCGGCCCGAGAGCGCCTGAGAGCGGTTCGAGAGCAGCACAACCGCTCCGCACACACCTCCCCTCGCCTCGCCAGGCGTACGAGAAGGGCGTCGCCCTCTTCAAGTACCCGCACGCGCTCCCCCTCTGGCTGAGCTACCTCACTAAGTTCACCGCGCGCTTCGGCGGCGCAAAGCTCGAGCGCGGCCGCGACCTCTTCGAGCAGGCGAGATTCGGCCGAGATGCGGCCGAGAGGGAGCCAGAGACATCGCCGAGATACAGTCGAGATGCGGTCGCGGCCTCCTCGAGCGGGCGCTTGACTGCCGAGACGTCTCGCAAGATCTCGTCTGACCTCGCCCGATCCCTCGGGCAGGCACTTGACGGCTGCCCCGTCGAGTCGGTGCACCAGCTCTACCTTCTCTACGCTAAGTTCGAAGAGGCGCCCGCTCGCCTCCCTACCCCGACCCGCCCCAGACCCGTCCCTGAACCCCCCCCCCCCCCCTCTCTCCCGCCCTCTCTCCTCCCGCCCCGCACCCCCCGCTCCGACCCCCTCTCTTTGCGGCCCCCCTCCTTGCAGGCGCACGGCCTCGCGCGCAACGCGATGGCCGTCTACGACCGCGCCGCCGGCGCCGTCGCGCTCGAGAAGCGAGCGAGCGTCTACCAGCTCTACATCGCAAAGGCGGCGGAATACTTTGGCGTCACTAAGACGCGCGACATCTACGAGGCCGCCGCCGCCGCGCGAGTTGCCGCGCGCGCCCGGACCCTCGCCCTCACCCCTTCCCTTCTCCCCGCAGGCTGCCATCGGCGCGCTGCCCAGCAGCGAGGCTCCCTCCTTCTGCCTTCGCTACGCCAACCTCGAGCGCAAGCTCGGTGAGGCCCGAGATGCACCCGAGAGATGCACTCAAGATGCACCCGAGATACCTCGAGCGCAAGCTTGGTCAGCTCACCCGCCCGGCCGGCGAGAGCCACGGACCCCGCTCTCCCAGCTTGCCGCTCGCCTGCCCACGCCCCTCCGCCTCCGCTGCCCCCCCCCTTGCCCCGCCAACGCCCGCCTCTGGCCCGGGCCGCCAGGCGAGATCGACCGCGCGCGCGCCATCTACATGCACGGCGCGCAGGAGGTGGACCCGGCCGTGGCGGCGGGCTCCGCGGACGGCGAGTCGCCGTACTGGAAGGCGCGCGCGGCACTGAGGGCGGAGGGAAGGGGTGGCGGACGCGCGTGCCCGCGACGAGCGTGCGGCCCTCCGCGCAGGCGTGGCACGATTTCGAGGTGTCGCACGGCAACGAGGACACCTTCCGCGAGATGCTGCGCCTCAAGCGGACGGTGCGCGCCTCCTTCGCCGACCGCGCCATCGTGCTGCCCGGCAACGAGGCGGGCGGCACCAAGCGGCCGCGCGAGGAGGAGGCGGGCGCCGACTCGATGGCGCGCGGAGCGAGGAGCAGCCGGCGCGCGGGCGTGGGGGGCGTCTCTTCACTGGCGCGGCGGTGTGAACAGGCGAGGCTCGAGGCGGAGGCGACCGACGCGGCCGGCGGCGGCTTCGTGTCGGGCGGGGCGGTCGGCGGCTGGGAGGGCGGCGCCGCGGCGTCGGGCGACTTCGTGCCGTCGTCCGCCTTTAGCGGCGCGAGGCCGGGGTACGTCTTCAAGCGGGGCGACAAGGGGGTCGGCTACTACGCGGACGGGCCGGCGGCGGGCGGCGCGGCGGGCGGCGCCGGCGCGAGCGAGGAGATCGACATCGACGACGACGACGACGACGACGCGCCGCTGCAGGTGCAGCAGAAGGCCGTGCCGGCCGAAGTGTTCGGCTCGGCTGGCATCGGCGGCGGCGGGGCGGGCGAGACGATGGGGGCGCTCGAGCGGCTGCGGAGAAAACAGGCGGCGAGCTGAGAGCACGGCCCTGCTTGACGCGGGCTCGCATTAGCCGCGCCGCCACTGGGTGGTACGCCGCGGGTCCGTTTCTGCGCATGCAAGCCGTCGCGGGACGACCAAGCACGCGCGCCACGCCGCGATGCACAGTCCACAGCTGGCCCGACGTAGAGACGTTAATAATGGTGGCCGCGTTCGGGGTGGAGCGCACTGAGGCCTTTCTACGTTTTTGCATTATAACGACCCCGCGCCCGCGGCAGCCGGCCCGCCCGGAAGCTCGGGAGGTCCATCGGGGGGCGATGTAGACGCACATATGACGCGACGGCGGGACGCCGCGCCCGACCGCGCCGCGGGCGCGGCGGCGCGGCGCGGGCACATGGCGGCGCGGCGGGCGGGGCCGGCGCGCGGCGGGGGCGGCGGCGCGGCGCCCGCCTACATGTTGCACCGCAGTGAAACACCACCCCCGTGGCAGAGGGCGCCCTCTGGGGGCGAAAACCCGCGTCTTCGGTTTCGTCGCCAAGAGTGTAAACTCTTGATCCGCCCCGAAAACCCGAATAAAAACACAACGAGCCGTACCCCCCCCTCTCTCCAAGTCCCGGTTGTGGTTGCTATGTGGAGCGTCCGTTTTCGCGCGCTCGCGTCTCCTGGCCCCTATAAGATAGAGAACGTGTTGCACCACATGGACATGCTCCCGGCGGAGCCCAACTGCTTGTACTCGACAAGGCAATCCATCCATCCACTCGCGGCAGCTGCCTTTACTTCAATCAGCTGCATACACTCAAGTGCTATTACTGTCTGTGTAGCTGTCTAGACGCTCCGATTTTGCTGTCTGGACGACTTTCTGGACGCTGTCTGGACACTGTCTGGACAACTGTCTGGAGAACTGTAGACACGCTGTCTGACGCTGTCTGGACACACCACTACACAACTAGCTCTACAGCTCTCCAACTCCAGCGCTCTACATCTTTCAGCTCTATCTAGATACAGCGCGCTCCGTCGCATCTCCTTTCCACAAAAAAATCGGCGGGCGCCGGGGGACGGAAACCCAGTCGCATCTATCTGGTCATGTAAGGTGCGGTGGCGTCCACCCTTGCGCGCGTTGTACAGACAGGACTTGCAGGCATCGTATTCCGCGGCGATCGAATGCATGTGGTACGCAGTGGACTGATCGGCGCCGCCGCCATCGCGACGGCGGCGACAGCTCAAAGCATCCCCGAGTCTCCAAGCCTCAATTTCACCGGAGCATTGGCGTCCGGCGCCTCTACCTTGGGCACAGCTGGCGATTCGTCCTGGACTGCCGGTGGCGCGGCAATCGAGGAGCCTATGCGCCCGGCGCTCTCGCAGGGCGCCGACTTCATCTCCGAGACGGCTGCCGCCTTGGATCTGCTTGGCCGGGTCGGCTGGCTCCAAGCGGAGGCACCAAGCCACCTCCTCAACCTCGCAACCTCTCCGCACCGATCCGCGCTATTCAAGGTGGCCGTGCGGACCTTCTTTCCCGACCTGCGCCTCGGGGTTTACAGCAGGGCCCTCTCGCTGCTGCTGCTGCTCAAGGTCCTCCTCATCGACAAGAACTATGATCCAGAGGCTCCGCCGCGCTTCCCGCAGGCCAAGCAGCACATGAGCGTGCTCGTGCCGCAGGAGCAACTGCGCCCCTCGACGATCCCTTCCGGATACGCCGGCACACTCGTGCAGGCCTCGCACATCCACACCAACGAGGATGAGACAATGCACGCCTATGGCGAGGCGATGCACTCTGGCCTTGTGCCGCTGCATATGAGCCCCGGCGATCAGGGCGACTGGATCCTGGGCGAGGACCCGATCGAGGTGATCCGCTGGAGCCTCGGGCCCTTTGTGTGGCCGTCCTTCCGGAACATAGGCTCATGGGGCACAGAGCGCATCGGCGTCGATGGCACCGGGTGGCCGCTCGGCGAGCAGCCGCCGCCGGCCTTCTCCGCTTACCGCTACTCGGACGCGGCGCTCGAAGCGCTCGTCTTTGAGGGGCTCGGCCAGCACCGCGTCGTGCTCATCGATCGCTCTCGGCCCGGACCGGCCGGAAGCAGCTCGCCCGAGGGGGCCCACTACGCGTTACCCCTCGGCTTTGCGGCTGCGGCCGAGGTGAGGCCAGGCTTTGCGCAGTTTGGTGCAGATGCTTACTTTAACCGCGACGGCCGTGTGGTCGGTATTGCGAGGGGTGGACGTCTCTACACGCCCGACGGCCCTCTCGGCAGCGGCCGGAGCTGCGTGTCCTCGCACCACTTTCTGGGAGACTACCACTTGTGCTCCGCGTGGAGCGACGGCTGGCTGCACGCCAAGCTCGCCCTTCGAGGTACGCTGTTCGCCGTGGTCACCGCCATCGACCACCTGCAAGCCACGCACCTCACTTGGGGCAATGCGCTTTCGCTGTCGAGCCTCGAGGTGCTTCCGACGAATCACGCGCTCCGCCTCATGCTGTCGCCCTTTGTCCACCGCACCGCTGCCGTTAACTTCAACGCGGCGATCATGCTCCTCTCTTCGGACGCGCTGCTGCCGCGCGCCATGGCCCTCACGCCGGAAGGCTTCCGCACCCTCTTCGCCGCGGGCAACGCCTCGGACGCACTGGCATTTGCCACCGTGCCCGACGCCAGGCGTGCGCGCGGGGTCGACACGCTGGTCCTCCCCTTTGACGAGGATGGCGCCGAGTACTACGACATCCTGCGCCGCTTTGTCCGAAAATACATTGCGGCGGAGGTGCGTTGCGACGATCCGCTCGTGGCGCGGTGGTACGCCCGCCTCGCCAGCCTTCTCCCGCAGGGCGAGCTCCCGCCGCTCTCGTGCGGCTCGCTCGCCGACGTCATCGCGACGTTCGCGCACCACGTGTCGGCGCTGCACGGCCACGTCGGACAGGTGGCGGGGGAGGTGGAGGACCCGTGCTTCGCCCCCTTTGCGTGGCGCGAGGGCGAGCTGTGCGGCACGCCTCGCCAGTCCCTCGCCCGCGCCTCAATCATGGCGGCGACCGGCTCCACGAACCCCCGCATCATCGACGACTATTCCTTTCTGTTTAAGCGCGGCGAGACGAAGGGCCTCTGGCGGAATATGACGGCCGAGCTCCTCTCCTTCGGGGAGCGGGTGGACGCGCGCAACGAAGCGCGGGAGAGGGCGGGCCGACGGCGCTACCGCGTCTTTGAGCCTCGGAATATTGAGACGTCGGTGGCGGTGTAGACTTGTGGGGGCTCTCGCACGAATCGACGCCGTCTGCGACCGGCCCCAATTCTGCCAACAAGTTCTGCGGTCATTGCGGCAGCCCGCTGGGCAACAACGCCGCCAAGTTCTGTCCTCACTGCGGCGGTAATCTACTCACGGACAGCGGCGAGGTGGACATCCGCGAACAGATTACTTTCCCCCCCGCAAGGGGCTTGGCAAGGCGCGAGACACACACTTTTCCCGAGATCCGAGAGCAGATTACTCTTCCCTCGAAGTCATAGTAGTTTTTTGGCGTTCCTCCGGTGCCTACCCAAATGGGTCCTCGGAGAGGGTACCCTGGGTGGGCGAGGCCTCTACTCGCCAGGGCACTCTGTGCAAAGCCGGGCTTCTCTCTATTTCAGACAAGATTTCGCCGGCGTTCAATCTCACTTGGAGTATTGCTGTACCGCCCATACCCCCTCATTAACCCGCATGCGGCATGCGCGAAGCCTGCTGTACAACTGTAACGGCTTCGATTTCCATGACCACTGCCTCGCCGTCGCGGTCCGGCCACAACATGGGTCTCCACGCCACGGCGTTGGCGATCACACTGGCCGTCGTAACAGCCGAGCCTGCTTGCCGCTGCTTGGATTCACTCGCTGGCTTCGGCGTGCCGTCAAACAACCTCACGGTAACCACCTCCTCGGGTGCCTTTCTCTATCCGTCGACGTACGGTCTCCAGTGCGGTGCCCACGATATGAACCTCGAGCCGTTCTGCAGCCTCGCAGGCCCCGCAGCGTTTTGCCATCGTCGGTGGTGCTATGTCAACGCGTCAGAGTGCTCGCTCTCGGAGACGCAGCCGACGCAGTATCTGGCGGCCTACGAAACCGGTCCGGACTTGCAGTACTCGTACGCCTTGTGCGGCTCTGGGGACGTCTTCACCTCGTGGTTCTCGGTCTTCGCGGGCACGCTCAAGCTGTGCTCCGTGTTCGCGGAGGCGGACGCGACCGGTCGGCCCTGCGGCATCACAGCCTCTCACCTGCAGGTCGAAGCGATGGTCAGGCTCATCGACAGCCTCACGGGGTCGAATATCGGCTTTCCAATCAACGGCCGCGATCCTTCCTCGCGCTCCTACTACCGCTTCTCGTACGAGTACCAAACGTACCCCAAGGGTGGCTGGGACGCGCTCGGCGCCAATCTCTCGCACGCGCTCTTCCCTCAGTGCGACGTGATCGTCGGGCAGGGCCACGGCTGCAGTGACGACGACATCCAAGCGCAGGCCGCCGTCGCGCACGCGCACAAACGCATTTACTTTACGACGCGAGGACCGCGCGCAGTGCTCTCGGATCCCACCAACGCCTCGCGCCGCCTATCGCCCTACTTCTTCTCGACGCACATTCGCAGCGACCTGTATGCGGACGTGGCGCTGCGCGAGATTGCCGCCACCAAGCGCGCGGAAGCGGCTTCGGGCTGCAGTAGTGGCAGCGGAGCGGAGGACAACGTGCGGCTCGCCGTCCTCAACTTTGCGCACAATGCCTTCTACGAGGGAGTGGGCGACCAGGCGCTCGAATTCGCGGCGGTGCCGGCGAATGCCTACACGGTCGTCTACGCCGCCAAGCTGCTCGCCTCACACGATGGCGAGGTGTGCGAGCCGTACAACATAACGACGAGCAATGGGAGCTGCACGCCCCTCGCCGCATTCCTCGACGAGATGCTGGCTGAGCAGCCCGACGTGGTCGTGCTGGCCTCCGACTCAGACGGCTTTGAATTCGTCGCGAGGCACCTATCGTCCAGACGGCCGCGGCGAGCTGCGGGCGAGTCGGACGGCGAGGGATGGGCGCTGCGCGGTCTCTTCTGGACGGGCGTGCCGAAGATGACGGATGGCGTGCACTCTTGCGATGGCTACGGCGACCATTGCGCTCACGTTCTCGGCGCGACGCAGATCTCACAGGCGGAGGCGGACTTGCATGAGGATCAGCTGCTGCTCAGCTCGGGCCTTCCGGCGACTTATGATTGGTTGCGTGCGCACAACTCTGCACTGATTGCGGGGCTCTCCCACAACCACGCTGACCAGATCCCCGGACCAGCGACAGAGGCGAAACGACACTCGGCCCGCCGACACAATTCGACCACTGGACACCATAACTAAATGCGGCGCAGGCCAATCTCAAGTTCCCTTCTCAATTCTTCGCGGGTTTTGGTGCAGTCACCTTCCCCCGCGACAAGAGCCAGAGGAGCGGAGAGGCGACAAACAGGCCACTACTCGATCATGGATTCCCTACTACAAGGTCGCACTTGGAGCACTTGGAGCGCAAGTCGTTAGCCTCACATCCAGGGCCGGGGAGCTATATGAAGCGCACAGGGGTTTTCCATCGATTTTTTTCAGACATCTGGAGCAAGCTAGCCCAGTCATCGCTCGCTCACACTGTCGCGCCGCGCTGGAGCTGGCGCAGCCCAATGCGTTCCATGCTCCGCTCCGTGCGTGGTCAGATCCGCTTCGGACTGAAGAGCACGGCAGTTGGCAGCCCACGCTCCGTCCTGGCCCTCTCCACCGCCGCCACCGCCGCAGCGGCGTCGATTGCTTCGAGCGAGGCGGCCGAGAACCCGCTGCTCAACGCGCCCGCGCTTTTTCCGCGCTTCGCCGACATCCGGCCGGAGCACGTGCAGCCCGCGATGAAGACACGCCTGGCAGAGGCGCAGACGGCGCTTGAAAATCTCGAGCGTGACGTCGAGGCCACGCTCGCTCGCGGAGAGACGCCGCCGTACGCCCACCTGGCCGATTCGGTCGAGCGGCTCGGTGAGCTTGTGTCCGGCCCGTGGGGCGCCGTCGGCCACCTCAAGATGGTGAAGGACTCCGCGGATCTCCGCTCTGCCGCCGACGCCGTCGAGCCGGACGTGGTCGCCTTCTCTTCCAAGCTGTCTGGCAGCGCGGCGCTGCACAAGGGGTGGTGCGCTCTGCGCGACGACGAGGCGGCGTGGGGAGCCCTCTCGACCGCGCAGCGGCGGGTGGCCGAGCTCGAGATTCTCAACGGCGAGCTGGCCGGCGTCGGCCTGCTCGGCGCGGAGAAGGCCCGCTTCGAGCAGATCCAGACGGAGCTCGCCGCGCTGTCCACCGCGTTTTCGAACGCGGTGCTGGACGGGACAAAGGCGTTCGCAAAGGTGCTGACGGCGCCCGAGGCGGTGGCCGGCCTGCCCGCGTCGGCGCGAGCGATGATGGCGGCGAGCGCGCGCAGCCGCGACATCAAGCACGCCTCGAGCGGGGAGGAGGCGAGCGCGGAGGCGGGCCCGTGGGTCGCGACGCTGGACGGCCCGTGCTTCCTCGCCGTGATGACCTTTGCGGACGACAGCGGGCTGCGCGAGGCGTTGTACCGCGCCTACGTCACGCGCGCGTCCGAGTTTGGCGGCGACGACAACGGGCCGCGCATCCGGCGCATCTTGCAGCTGCGCAAGGAGAAGGCGGCGCTGCTCGGCCGGTCCTCGCACGCCGAAGTCTCGCTCGCCGCAAAGATGGCGACGCTGGGCGAGGCGAACGCGCTGCTTGAGGACTTGCGCGCGAAGTCGTACGCGCCCGCCGCCAAGGAGCACGAGCAGCTGGAGGCCTTCGCCGGCCGCCGCATCGCGCTGTGGGACGTCAACTACTATGCCGAGAAGCTCAAGGAGCAGCAGTTTTCGTACGACGAGGAGGCGAGCCGCATAGAGAACATAGTAGTATGACGAGGAGAAGCTCAAGGAGCAGCAGTTCTCGCATGACGAGGAGGCGAGATAGGGGGAGATATGGGAGATATGGGGAGATATGCAGTTCTCGTATGACGAGGAGGCGAGCCGCCAGCGCCCCGCAGCCTCTGCCACCGCGGTGCGCTTTAGCGTGCGTAGCCACCTGTCTGAGTGCGCGTTCAGGCGCTCCGCCAGTACCTCCCGCTCGACCGCGTCCTCGACGGCCTCTTCGGCGTCGTCTCGCGCCTCTTCGGCGTCGTCGTCGTCGAGCGCCGCCCACCTGGAGGTGTGAACAGCGTCTCTTCACACCCGCTGCTGTGAATAGGCGTCACCGTCGTCGAGCGCCGCCCGGCAGACGTCGGCGCGCAGGCGCGGGGAGCAGCAGCAGCCCAGCAGCAGCAGCCCAGCAGCAGCAGCCCAGCAGCAGCAGCCCAGCAGCAGCCGCCCGCCACGCCCGCTCGCCACCCTCTCCACGCGTGGTCTCGCGCTGCTGCGCAGGTGTGGGACGAGCACGTGCGGCTGTTTGAGCTGCAGCGCGACGGCGCGCCCGCCGCCTACGTCTTCCTCGACCCGTTCGCGCGCGCGGCGGAGAAGCGCGGCGGCGCGTGGATGGACGAGGTCTGCTCGCGCAGCCGCGCCTTTGCGTCGGCGGGCAGCGCGGTGCGGCTGCCCGTCGCGCACATGGTCTGCAACCAGTCGCCGCCCGTCACCGAGGCGGACGGCAGCGTCACGCCGAGCCTGATGACTTTCCGCGAGGTGACGCTGGGAGATATGGGAGATATGGGAGATATGGGGAGATATGATGACTTTCCGCGAGGTGACGCTCTTCCCGAGTGCGCGTGTGAGCGGCGTGTGGACGGCGCCTCTTCACCCGCGCAGCGGTGAGCAGGTGGAGACGCTCTTCCACGAGTGCGGGCACGCGCTGCAGCACATGCTCACCAAGGTGGACGAGGGGCACGTCAGCGGCACACCCGCGGCTCCGACCGGGTGAAGCGAGGCACGGCCCCTCCGACCCTCCTCGGAGCCTCTGTTGCCGCAGGCATCCGCGGCGTCGAGTGGGACGCGGTCGAGCAGCCGTCGCAGTTCATGGAGAATTGGGCGTACGAGCTCCGCACCCTGCGCGGGATGGCCAAGCACTGGAAGAGCGGCGAGCCCATCGACGAGGCGACGGTGCACAAGCTGCGGTCGGCCAAGAACTACCGCGCCGCCTCGATGATGCTGCGCCAGCTCAAGGCAACTTCCCGCGCGCGCGCGCGCGCGTGTGTGTGTGTGTCGCGCCCCAGCCCGGAACTCGCGACTCGACTCACCATAGTTTGCTATGGGCGACTTGGCGCTGCACGACGCCGACTTCGACCCCGCGAAGGACGACCCCTTCCGCTGCCTCGAGAAGGAACGAGTGCTTGCTTGGAGTGCGAGGAGTGGCGTCCCCCCCCCTCAGGACTGGCCCCTCTGTGGTAGGTTGGCGAGCGCACGTCGGTCCTCCCGTCGCTGCCCGAGGACCGCTTCCTCTGCTCTTTCGCGCACATCTTCGCGGGCGGCTACGCGGCGGGCTACTACTCGTACAAGTGGGCCGAGGTCCTCTCCGCCGACGGCTTCGCCGCCTTCGAGGAGGCCGGCCTCGAGGACGAGAGCGCGATCGTCGCGCTCGGCCGCCGCTACGCCGAGACCGTCATGGGGCTCGGTGGGTCGCTGCCCGCGGCGGCGGTCTTCAAGCTCTTCCGCGGCCGCGCGCCCACCGCGGACGCGCTCTTGCGCCACTCGGACCTCGCCTGATCGCTGGGGCTCCTCCGGCGGCCGGTGGTCCCGCGAGCTTGGCATTGGGGACGGCTCTACGTTGAAATTGCGATCCCTTTCGCCAGAGGGCTTGCGCCGATCTGCGGTCGTGTACTCAGCGCGTGTGCAGAGAGAGATCACAGCGTGCGGCGCGTGTCACGTCGCGGCGCCGAGCATGATTAACCATGATAACTTATGTTGCCGTCTCACTCTCAGGCCGGTGGTCACACACACGCACACACCGCACACACAGTCACGCACTCGAGCACACACACACATACACAGTTACCGAGTGTTACACAGTAACACACACACACACACCACACACACACACAGAAACAACACGCACACACGCACGCACGCACACGCACACACACGCACAAATCGCGGCCAAGGATATCTCGAACATCGAGACAGCCCGTTTTCAGACACGCTCATGATATGTAAACCACCTCCGACAAGCCGCAGACGGGCGATGCGATCCAATCCCCGATCCAATCCGCCTTGGATCGTGACACCGCCTCCGTCACGACGACGCTGACAAGCTGCCGAGCCCAAATCACTGTAAGAGTCGTGATTTCTTGTTGGTTTTCTAAAATCCGTGGACGACGACGTCGACGCTGGCAAGGCGGAGTCGACTGGCTTCGGCGACTGTGGCTCACTGGGCGGCGAGTCATACGCTGGCTCTAAGGACTCTGTGGACACTGGCGGAGGCGACTGTGGCTCTCCGGGCACACTCGTCTCGCCCGCCCTCAACATGCTGCCGCCACCGATTGCGGCGGACTACGACTTGGAGCGGCAGCAGCGGCTAAACACGCTCGACCCAGACGAGACGGACGAGGAGGAGCTCGCCAAGATTGAGACGCTGCGTCAGCACGTGTACGGTGCGCTGGGCATCACCTCAGCAGACGAGGTGCCCGAGGACCTATTCCCGCTCTTTGGCAAGTCCAGCCTCGTGCGCTTTGGGCGCGCCAAGCGGTGGAAATACAAGCGGGCGACCAAGATGTTTGTCGAGATGCTGTGCTGGTACCGCTCCTATGACCTGCCGCGACAGATGCGGCAGTGGGAAAACGTCGACAGCGAGAGCCACGTCGGGCGGGTCTTCCAAAAGTACATGCCGATAGGCACCTTCGGGACGGACAAGCGCGGCGCCCCCGTCTTCTACTCCCTCCCGGATGTCGACATCAAGGGAGTCCCCCCCCCCCCCCTCCCTCCCCCCGCACAGCTGCACTGCTCGCCGATCCCTCGCCCCGTCCCTCACTCACCGCAGGTGCGCGAGATCGGCTTCGAGGCCTACGAGCGCGGCTCGCTCTACCTTATTCACAAGACGGTGCGGAGCATCGAGGACGTGTCCCTCGAGCGGGGCAGGCACCTCCTGCACGCGAACGTCGTCTTCGACATGCAGGACGTCTCCTGGGTGAGGCTCATCGCGAACCTCAAGCCCTTCGCCAGGCACGTCAAGACGCAGGACGACAACATGCCAGAGCGGCTGTACACCTGCCTCGTCATCCGGGCGCCGTTGGTCTTCACGGCCGCGTGGAAGCTCCTCAAGCCACTCCTGGCGACGGAGACCGTGGACAAGGTGTCCATCCTGGGTCGGTCCGTCGACCACCTCGCCGAGATGCAAAAGACGGTCGACATCGCCGAAATCCCCGACTTTCTGGGCGGGGAGAAGGCGGGCTGGCCCCACGGCTTTGGGGGGACCATCCCCGTGGGCGCCGGGATGGAGCTGAGCGAGAGGAGCGTGAAGACGGGCTCCGCCGCCGCTGCCGCCGCCGTCGCCGCCGCCGCCGCCGCCGCCGGCGCTGGCGCTGGCGCTGCGTGACCGTGAGCCGCGCCCCACATGCTCGCCCCACTCTCGACGGTGTCTGTGTCTCGGCTCTCGCGCGCTCTCTCGCGGCGCTCTCGGGCCCGCGCGCCCGCCCACGCGCACGGTCTCGTGTAAAGGCTAAAGCCGTAGCCCGGTCAAAGCAGTGCGACAGCGATGGATGTGAGCGAGAGCTGTGTCGCCGCTATAGTACGTTAGACTCGTTGGACCTTACGCCACACACCCTCGCATCTCTCAGCAACACGAGACTCTCAGAAGAGAAACGGCACGATGTGGCGGCGGCTCGCCGGCCAAGATTTTCCAAACTTGCCCATGTACCATTGCGTGGTGGCAACGGCCCGGCCCGAGAGGTAGGAGACCATCCCCGCAAACACGAGCAGCGCGTTGGCCTGCTGCGCGACGAGGGCGATGCCCAGCCACGCGACCAGTTCGAAGAAGTAGTGCGGCATTGTCACCAGCTCGAACATGCCGCCGCGAGGAAGGGTATACTGGCGAGCCGGCGGCGCAGCTGGCGGCGCAGCAAGCGCATCCGCCGTGCTCGGCGTTGCAGAGACCGCCGCGGCGGTGTGGACCTGCTCGCGCGGGTTGCGCAGCCGGGCGAGTAGCGCATGATGGTAGAGGTTTCCGGCCTCGCCGAGAGCAAAGAGACAGAGCCCGAGTGCGAGGCTCGTGGAGGAAGGGCGCTGCGCGTAGAGACTGGCCGGCACCTTGTGCTGCTGCGAACAGATCAGCAGCACGACGAGCGCGTAGAAGAAGCCGATGAAGCCTGAGGCGGCGGCCTGAACGCTCCCGGAGTACTTGTGCAGACCGAGCACCTCGGCGACGCGTTTTCCAAAGTGGAGAGCGAGCAAAGAGGCCACGAGCAACTCGCGACCGTTCAGCTGGGGCGCGGTCGCAGCGCAGTAGAGAGCAGCGGCGAAGGCAGGGCCGTAGATCAGCAGCATGCCCCAACGGCTTGGGATCTTGGCCTTGGCGTCATCGTGCGCGAACTTGGAGTACGGCGTGGGGCTCTTCTTCTCGTTTGCGAAGGCGAGCAGGTTCATGCACTGCAGCGCAGCGATGGTCAGCGCGAAGGCGTCGGCAGGGGGCGCGATCATGTGTGTATATTCGAGGACGCGTGCGCCCAGCTGGCCTTCGCCCGGGTCTTCGCCCGAGTCCTTCCGAACAAATTCAGAAATTTCCGAAATGGTTCGCGCTCCTTTGTCCGAAAATGCGGGTGTGAAATGCACGTTAGTTAGATTCGTGCTGACGTTGCACCTTCCGATACCAGGCCCTGCAGCTAAAAAGCCCTAGAAGCATGCAAGATTGAAGATAAAAGCCACCCCCAGCCTAGTCCCTAGACGAGGTACAGCTTAAGCCTTAAGAGTACTCGGGGCTCCCCATGCGGAGAGGGTCCGTGAACATCTTTAGCTTGTGAGCCAGGAAAAGGGTTGAGATAAAGCCGTCTATGGCCCAAAAAGAAAAACCCGAGCGCGCCCGACGGCCGGGAGCGCGGAGCCGGAGGCATCAGGCAAGGTTCGCAAGGAGGGCCAGGGTAACGTAAACTTCTCTCTCCACTAATAATACAACGCAACGCCATCGCCCATCGGCCCAATCCCCACGGGGCTCTCCACGAGCCTCGCGGCACACTACAAAAGACCCACCATCCAAAATCGAACTCGCCTCTTGTGGTGTGCAGAGTGATGGCCGCCGAGCGCCCCTTCAGCCGCGGTCGCTGGCGAGCGACGAGCCAAAGGGCAGCATCGGCATCCCCTCCCCCGCCTCTTGGCCGTCGCTGATCGGCGTGCCGCTCCCGCTGCTCACGGCGGCGCGGCTGCTGCTCGCGGTGGCGCTCAGCCTCTGCCCCTCCTCGAATTGCCTAGAGTGCGGGTGCGCCAGAGTCGGGGTGTGAGGACGGCATCGCTCCAGCCTCGCCCCGCCCTCGAGCTGCCTCAGCCGCACGAGGGTGGAGCGCCACTCGTTGATGCCGCCCCTGGCGAGCGGGCGGGCGGGCGTCAGCAGGCAGACGGCAGGAGGCAGGGCCGGGGATGGAGCCCACGGCGGCATCGGCGCGACAGAGCGTCTAGAGAGGTGCGTGCGCGCACTCGTCGCGGCCCTCTGGCACACGCGGGCGCGCGGCGGCCGTGGCGGTGTGGGACGCGTCTCGGAAGTGTCGCGCACCAGTTCTCGGAGATGACAGAGAGGGATGCGAAGACCTTGTCGAAGGAGTTTGAGGTCTGGACGAGCGTGCCGAGCGTGATCCGCTCCGAGCACTGGTCGGCGAAGAGGCGGGGCGCGACGAGGATGTAGGGCGCGAGGACCATCGCCTGGCGGCGGAAACGGGGAGGAGGAGGGGGGTGACGGTGACAGTGGTGACGGTGGTGACGGTGGTGAGGGGGAGGGGGAGGGGCCAGGGGGTGGGCTAGGGTGGTCTCGCGCCTGGTCGAAGCAGTCGAGCCAGAGGTTGAGGAGGAAGAAGTTGGAGTAGAGGGAGGAGTAGTTCGCGTTGAGCGAGTGCCAGATGCGCTCGAAGTGCGGCGCGGGCGGCAGCAGTCGGGTGGTGGAGCGGAGGGTGCCGGAGCGCAGCCGGAGCGGGCTCGGGTCTGCGGACTGCGGCTGCGACTTTGAGGGCGCGAGGGCGGCGGGCGAGTCGGAGATGGAGCCAGGGTCCTGCGGCGCACGCGGCCGCGGTCCGAGAGGGAAGGGCGAGGGGAGGGGTGGGAGAGGCGGAGCGGAGTGGCGAGTGGGCGAGTGGAGAGGAAGGGGAGGGCGAGAGCGGGCAAGGGAGGTGGCCAGAGGTGTTGAGCCCCCTCCCCTCCCCCTGCCCTCTTCTCCCGCGCAGTCCGCGCACCGCCTCGAGGATGACCAAGTCGCGTCGCAGCTCCGCCTCGACCCGCTGGTTGGCAACCTGCTCGCACGCCACGCCGCGGTGACGCGACCGCCCTTCCCGTCCCCTGCAGGCCGAGGCCGGGCCGTCTACGATAGCAACCTCGACCAGGACTCTGCCGGCGAGACAGTGGGGAGATGTGGGGAGATGTGGGGAGAGGTCTGGGAGGTGTGCACCTCGAGCCCGACCAGCTTGCTGCCGGCGAGACAGTGGGGAGATGTGGGGAGATGTGGGGAGAGGTCTGGGAGGTGTGCACCTCGAGCCCGACCAGCTTGCTGCCGGCGAGCATGGCGACGCCGAGCCCGACTGCGGCGGCGAGGGCGGCGCTGGCGAACATCCAGCCGTGTCCGAACGCGTGCAGCCACGCGAAGGACGGCCACGCCGGCGGCGCGATTTTCGTGCCCAGGTCCATCAGGATAGGCGTGAAGGCGAAGAGCGTGCAAAACGAGTTGAGGAATACAGAGAGGTACCTGCGGGAAGGCGCGGGTCGGAGGCGCTGGATGGCCAGGCGTGCGAGCCGGAGATCGGGAGAGGCGCGGAGCGCACGTTTCGATCCCCTTCGAGAACATCCGCGTGTCCTCGTGAAGCCGTTGGCTCGCACCCTCGACCGGCGCGACATTCGGGTCCCAGCCGGCCATGTAGGAGCGCATGAGGCACATGCGCCAACGGAGCGCCCAGTGCGAGCGCAGCCAGCGCGCGGCTGGCGAGAAGATGGCGTACGGGCCAACGATCCGCAGAAACTCGACCAGCCCAAGCCAGACCTTCTGACGCGACTCGGTCAGCTTTGCCTCCTCCGCCTCGTCAACCAGAGCGGTGACGTTGCTGCAGAGCATGGCGCCCGAAGTCTGCAGCAGGTCGTAGAAGGACGTGTACCACCCGTTGATCGCAAACTTGATGTACCTGAGGGAGGAGCAGCAGCGGACGTGGTGGGTGGCCGCCGGCCGAGCGTGAGATGCGCTCGAGGCAGGAAAGCGCACGCAGAGAAGACGGACTGGCCGATGATGACGACGATACCGGCCCAGGCGAAGATTATGTCGAGGCGGGACCCGGCGAAGAAAAACTCGCGCAGCATCGCTAACGCTGGGGCTAAGCCAGCGACAGTAGAACCAGCGTTGGAGGCGGCTGTGCTCTGGCGAACATGTAAAAAGAATTCGTGTCTTGGTGTTGTCCTTTTTATTTATTTATTTCCCCCCTCTCTCTCTTCCTTGCCTCGTTCATTCGAGTTCATCCCAGGCGGCAAAAAAGAAGGCGGAGGTAGGGCATGATGACCCCCCCACCCAGCACAGCTTCCCCCACTGCCCACGCACGCAGTGCTTCCGACCGACCGCCGGCGGATGCTCGGTCAGGAAGGAACAAGAACCCAAGACCCCCCCCCCCCCTTGATGGCGAGTGACGATACTCCACTCCTCCCTTGATGTATCGCGCGCGGGTCGGGCCTTTCGTTCGCGCCGGGCCGGAAGAGATGCACCCGGTGTCCGCCCTCGCTGCCATTCCTGTCGCACTCCTCCTGAGCTCGCGCCTCCGCTTCTTGCACCCCAAGTTTAGCGTGCCGGACCCGACAACCTGCGCCGTGCTCATCACCGGCGTGAGCGGAGGGTTTGGCGCAGCGTTTGGCAATGACCTTGCGGGGTGCGGTGCATCCCGCCCCTCCAAGGCTCAAAGCCGTTAATTACGCTGCATGACGCAACCATAGGCTCGGATTTATCGTTTACGGCACCGTCCGCAAACAGGATGACGCCGACGCCCTCGCTGCTGGCGGTGTGATCCGGCCGGTTGTGCTGGACGTGAGCCGGCCCGAGGATGTCACTGCAGCAGTCGACCGGATCGGCAGCGAGCTGCGGGCGGAGGGTCGCCGCCTGTGCGCGGTGGTGAATAATGCGGGGTTGACCGGCATGGATCGCACGCGCCACCTCAAGACTGAGGTGGTTGGCGCTGAGCACTATGAGCGCGTGTTCAATACAAATGTGATGGGAATGGTGCAGGTGACCGAGGCGTTCCTGCCGCTGCTCAAGGTGGCGTCCGGGCGCGTGGTCAACATCGGGTCGTACTTTGGGAGCTTCGCGCCAGGGATCCCTCCCTTTGCCCCTTACATCGCCTCGAAGCACGCCGTTGAGGGCCTCACTGATGTGTGGCGGCGCGCCCTCCGTGGCGCGGGCATCTCCGTCAGCCTCGTCAAGCCAGGAGACTTCTCGACGAAGCTGAACCCTCTACCCGGTGCTAAGAAGGATCTAACTCCTGTGGTTGAGGCCGTGCGCGACGCAATCACCTCCCCCTCCCCGCTCGCTCGCTACCACGTTGGCAGCGTGGCGGTGAAGCTGAAGGGCCTCCCCGTCGCGATCGCGTGCCGCCTGCTGCAGGTCGTGCCAGACGTGGTGGTGGACGCCGTGCTGCGGTAAGAAGGAGCATTGCTCGGTGGGATCGCGCGCGCGATGATTTCATCTCGCAGTTGCGCGCGTGTGTCGATACGCGAGGAGCAAAAATGACGGAGGACCGACGGAGCGCGCGAGCGCCGTCGTGTAAATTTGAATCATGAATGAGAAACTCAGCGCTATTTCTGTAGTACACTACGTTGAATGTGACATGTCGTGCACAGCTGCAAAACGACAACAGAAGGGCACGCCACTCTCGCTCTCTATAGCTGACGCATACATAGCGGCGGAGCTGCCACGAATCAGGACCGTACGGGAAAGGCCTCTACAGATCGATACAGACTACAGAGGGGGCAGCGCAGACTAGCTCTGTTTCGCACGCGGCTGAGACGAGAGCACGACGGCGTAGTACACAAACATGGAGAGGCAGATGGTGCCATCGTAGAGCACGTGCCCTCCCGCCGCCTTGTACGTCACCGCGCTCTGGCCCAAGAAGCTGTCGCAAGCGACCGCCTCGAGCCAGGCGACGAAACCGACCGGCAGGTTGATGGCGACCGCCGCGACGTCATAGTAAAAGTCCTTGTCGCGGCGCAGCAGCTCGTGGGCGGCAGCCACTGCGAGGAGCGCGGTTTGTACGTAGGTGAAGCCGAGCCGGGCGGGCACAAAGAGCGTGAGGACGGGGCCGTGGATGGCCGCGTGCGCCGCCGCGGCCCGATCGGAGATGGAGGGGAGCGAGCGGAGGATCGCAAAGAAGAAGGCCCAGAGGCCAAAGATGCGCGGCGCGAGCGAGAGCGGCGACAAGGAAGTGGTGCGATCGACAACGAGCGCCTCGCCCTCTGTCGGAATCTTGCCAGCCCAAATGCTGAGGTGGGCGAGGCCGTGACCAAAGATGCCGGGAGCGGCTGTTAGGACGGTCGATCCCTTGATGCCCGCCACGCCACCATACCGCATTCCGAGAAGTATAAGTGCGAGGGCTGTCGCGCTGTCAACGTAGAAGCACAGCATGTGCGATGACGCGAGCGGCGCCTCCTCGTTCGCGACACAAAACCCGGCGCGCTTAAAGGAAGGACTGGTGGACCATGCCTCTGGGACGTTGCCGAGGCTGTCGTTGATGACATAGGCCACGAAGCCAAGCGTGTTGGCTAGCATGACGACGTTCGCGACGTCACCGACCCGCATGATTGCGTATCGGCTCGCTCCAGAAGCACTCTAGGTCTCGCTAAGCGAGCCCCCGAACTCGAATTGGTGGGCGGGGCCTCTCCTCGCCGAGGTTGTCGTTGACGTCAGAAAAGAATGTTGCCGCTCCTAACACAGGTACACCTCAGAAAAGAATTTTACTTGCGAACTCCCTCGCACGGGACTGGCGCGCACTGGCACTAACACAGGTACACCAGAAAAGAATTTTCCGGCCAAACTCGTGTGAGAAAAGAATTTAAGGATTAGGAAGCTAAGCGAGGGCCAAGCCACTTGCTCCAAGATGCCGCGCACAGTGAACGCGCGCCGCCTAGCGAGCAGCCGCGCCGCAAGCCCCCCTCTTCTCTCAAGAGCTGCCCCCATCCGTCCTCCGCCTCCTCCTCTCTCACTCTCTCACTCTCTGTCACTTCCGCACCTTTGTGAGGCTCACGTGTTGCTGCAGAGCCTTCTCGTCAATCCAGGTGCCGTGGAAACCGTGCGGCACCCTCACCGGCAGCTTCATTCGCACCGCAGGCGTGCGTGCAAAGGTCTTTGCATCGTAGAGCGCCAACTCGGCGCGCCGCTGGTCGTCGACGAGAATCGTGGCGACATAGCCATCGTCCGAGCCTAGCCCGCCGTGGGGGATGAAGACGGGCTCTCCGCCGACGACGCCGTTCGGGTAGCGAATCTTGGCCGCCAGCTTCTTCGCCTCCATGTCCCACTTGGCCAGGCCCTTGAAATTGAAGTCGATGCCGTCCTCCATGAACCCAGTGTAGCCGAAACGTACCCCTGCCTGGCCGGTCAAGTCATCTCGAATGCGCGAAAACTCGGAGTGCAAGGTGTGGTCAATCACGGTGTAGGTCACGGCGCCGCTCGAGGGGCTGACACGCACCTCAGACATCTTGTAGTGGTCGCAGCAGCCGTTGATGACCTGAAGGCAACGGTCGACGTGGTGAGAGAGGCACTATCGATGCGAACCCCTGAGCCCTACCGGGCCTGTTCAATTGAGCGCTCGGACGTGGCAAAGCCGAGCGGCATCCAAAGGACCACGTCTCCATTTGGCTCGTCCCACGCATGCAGCGGATGCACGTTTGCCAAGGGCTCTTTGGCGTCGAACCATCGCAAGTCGGCAGGGTCCTGCGAGGGCGGCGTAGGCCCATCACCGCAAGGACCCTCGGAGGTGCGGGGCGGCGGCGTGGTGTCTCCTGACTGCCGCGCGGCAGCAAGCCGATGCGCGCCGTATGGTTGCCGTCCCAGCTAAAGAAGTGTTGTGCGCTTCGTAAATTCTGTGCTCACGTGCTGCTGTTTCTGCCGCCGCAGGATCCATCGGCATGCACGATGCCCAAGCGCTGCCTCGCTGGCACGTGCTCGCGGAGCCACCGATACGCGACCAGCTGCTTCTCCGTCGTCCTCGCCATCGCGGTGGCCCAGGCCTCCGGTAGAATGCCCTCGCCGATAGACGCTGTGGTGCCCGCGGTGCCCGCGGCCGCCCCGCCGGCCGCCCCCTTCTTGCAGCGCGGAATCCATCCCTTGGACCGATTGATGACTTCAAACCAAGGGAGAAGCGACTCGGGAAACGCGGTCACATCAATGGACGGCCCGTTCCACTTTAGCAAGGCTTGCGTGAACTCGATCCCGAGGAAGGCCGCAATGCCGCGAAGAGCGGCCTTTGGGTCGTTCCACAGATCCTCGATCTCTACGAAGAGAATGTGCGGCGCCTCAACCACCTCGGTCAGGTACCGGTAGAGCAACTTCTGCTCGGTGTGCCCGCCGAGAGAGTCCATCAAGGCCTGGATGTCCTCGGGGTCAAAGCCCATGCTGATAAAGTGGCGGGTGAGCGCGGGATTCAGGGTCGGAAAGTCTTCCGTCCTCACGATGCCGACTGCTACGCCCCTCACCGTATCGACGGGATTGCGCGTGAGGAATATGTGCTTCGTTCCCTTGTCCGCGAGGAAGGGGTGGCGGTGCGGGGCACCCCACGATTTGAGCAGTGACAGCGGGTGGTCTTTCCACAGGAACGCCCCGCGGGTAGAGACCTCGTCCACAATGTCCTGGGCGGAACTGAATCCCTGGCCGAACATCGGGTGGGGCTCCCCAAGCTCACCATTGAATGGCTCGCACAGAACATTGCTCCGGTTCCAGAAGCCGGAGTTTCCGAGCGAGTTGAGCAAGAGGGTGCTGCCGCTGCGGGGGACTGACCAGATGAAGGTGTTGGGCGACGGCGGTCGACCCGTTGCAGCGCCAGCCGGAACGGCGAGGGCAACCCACGCGAGGCAAAACAACAACGCAGCAGGGCTGACCGGCATCTCATTCGGACTGCACGCACGGACTCCGCTTCTATGTAGTGACGGGCAACGCACGCATTTTTCTTCCTCGACAAAGCTTTTGCGACGGCACATCTTTAGGTCTGGGCCCTCCCGTCGGGTTTTCCCCTCTCTTCAAGCTGGAATTTTCACAGCAAAAAAAGAAATTTTCCGCGGAAATCACGATGTCTTATTCTCCGACCAGCTTGTGCATGCCCTCTTCTCTCGTCGGCAATTTGACGAGGCGGCGAAAGATCTTGGAGTCGCGTACGCGCTGGGCGATTTGTGAGCCCCGGGTGCCAACTAGATGATTGCACAAGACGAGGAGCGTGTCCTCTTTGTCGGCCTTGAAGATGACACTCACGTCGATGCCGGCGACGCAGGTTACAAAGGCGGCGGAGGGGCAGTGGCAGCAAACGCGCGTGTTTGGTGGCGTGATCATGTACGTTAGATTCGACCAGTTGGTCACCGCGCTGAGAGAGGCACTCGATATCGCTTGCTTGGGCCCGTCCGCATCGAGTCGTGGGTTACCGTCCACGCCAAAGTAGAGCCAATTGGAGTCGCGGAGCAAGCGGCGAACAAAGGTCGGTTCGGTAGCCTTCTCCGCGGGTAGGTGAATGCAGCGTTCAAAGTTGCCGCCCACGCCGTTGGCCGCCTCCGGAACACGCTCCCGAAGGTTGGCGACCATGATGAGGAGCGCCTTGGGATCGCACAGCTCGGCGAGACCCGCCGTGATCAGGTCGTTAGTTGAAAGGAACGGCACGCCATTGGCCGTGCAGCTCGCCTTGAGCTCAGCTTTGAGATCGGCAACACATGCCGGCTCGATGACGTGTACCGAGCCCTTGCGCGCATCCAAAGAGCCCGGAGCCCACCTGTTGCAGTTCTCCACATAGGCGGACATCCATCGCTTCATGAGAAGATCCTTCTCGGCCTCAGACCACACCGACGGCAATGGCACCGACTCAGGAGACGCTTTCCACGTCAGCGAGGGCATCTTCTCGCCATTGACCGCGCAGTTGATGGCTTTCAACAACTGATAGTAGGAGTAGCCGTCGCCGAGGATGTGCGAGAGCTGTACGACGTATGCGACGTGATCATTCGGGAGTCGCATCAAGATGACTTGGAAGAGCCGCGACTTGGAGTCGCGCTGCGCATCCATGTTTCCCAAACAGTGAGGCTCAAAGAGCTGCTCGAGGATGGCCTGGACGGAGGCGACGGCGTCGATGGTGGCCGCAGGCGGTGCAAAGTCCGCGGGCCCCTCAATCTCCATCATGAAAGTCTTGTGCACGCGTGCGACGACGTAAAGACTTCCGCCACGTTCCTCCAACGCCCCAGCAATGAAGGGGTTGGCGTCTACCACACGTTGCACGGCTGCCTTGAGCATGGCAGTGCTCCGCTCAGTCCAGTTGGCGACGAGGGTAATCGACGAGATCGGACCATTCAGACCGTACAGCACCTGGTCGTGATGCGCCACTTGCAGGGTGAGTTGCTCGTGGAGTTGCTGCTGCTGCATTGCTGTGCACTACTCCGTGCGATGGAATGAATCTGTCTGACTTGCCGCCCGCTGAAAACACGACGTATTTTTTGCACTCTTGAGCACTTGAGCACTGGAGAGGGTCGATTCCGCATGGTACGGGACCCCTGCAGCTCTCCCAACAGGCACGGGACGGCGACATAACAGTTGGGCCCCCTACTAGTATCCATCGGCGTGAGCCAGAATTTACGAAGCGCACAACACTGTCACGTCATTTGGGGCCTGGAGCCCTGTTCACGCGCGCGCGACACTGGGAAGGACTTGCATGCACTGGCACTAACATTTTATGTTCGCGCGCAAAGTTCCGTGCCCAGTGTTTGCTTTTTTATAATTCAAGCCCGTTCAGGAAACGCCCACCCGGCCCGCCACCCCCACCTCGAGACCCCCATCCGCCTCACACTTCGTCCTTGACCTGGAGGTAAGGCCCACCCCTGTGGTCCTTTAGGTGTTCCTTGAGCTCTGCCGGGCTTGGCATGCCCATGTGCTCTGGCAGTCCAGGCTGGAAGCGGGCACGGTGGAAGACCTCGCTGCTGATGGTCGAATCACCGTCCACCGTCACAAGCGAGCCAGGCGGCCAGAGTGTGTGCTGTTGTCCGCTCGTTGTCCGCGGTCACGAGCGAGCCGGAAGGCCAGAGTGTGCTGTTGTCCGCGATGTGTGCGAGTACCTTTGCAATGTCTCTCGGATGACCCGCTTTCTCCTTGTGGTAGGGGTTGACCCTGCGCCGCGACAGCCGTGGCAGGTCATCTTGAGCGCGTGAAGCGTGTGAGTGGGCGAAGGACTTGGGCGCGTGCACAGTGCGCGATTGGAATTCTTTCGCACGTGTCCACGAATCCGTCTGCTGGCTTCCCGGGCGCCTCTTTTTGCCGCGGCATTCCCAACAGCGCGGCCACCAAGGGAGCCACGGAGGCACATGAACGCGGGACAGGCAAACGTTGTCGTGCCCGTGGAGTTGGAGGCGTCCGTCACCACTCGTCGAAAGAGCATCACCGTCCGGTGGACCGACGTCACAAAGGAGGTGCCGCTCGACGACAACAAGAGCACCCGCCGCATTCTGCACGGCGTCTCGGGCGTTGCCGTGCCGGGTGAGGTGCTCGCGCTCATGGGTCCCAGCGGCAGCGGCAAGACGACGCTGCTAAACTGCCTGCATCCCGAGCGCCGGGGCGCACGCGTCGGCGGCGGCGTCACTTGCAACGGCAGACCGATGCGGAAGCGCGAGAAGCGGAGGATCGCGTACGTTTTGCAGGAGGACCACCTGTTTCAGCAGCTGACAGTGTACGAGACCCTGCTCTTCACCGCGCGGCTGCGGCTCGCCACGTCCGAAGCGGACAAGGTCGCGGCCGTCAACTCCACCATTGAGACGCTCGGGCTCGAAAAGTGCCGAAAGACGGCGCTCTCGCTCTGCAGCGGAGGAGAGAAGAAACGGGTGAGCATCGCGACCGAGATGCTCACCGATCCGTCCATCCTGCTGCTCGACGAGCCAACCTCGGGTCTCGACTCCACCACCGCCGCCGCGCTGATGCGCACGCTCAAGTCGGTGGCCGCAGAGGGCCGCACCGTCGTGTCGAGCATCCACCAGCCGGCCTCGAACGTCTTCATGTCGTTTGACTGCGTCCTCCTCCTCTGCGACGGCCGCAGCGTCTTCTACGGCCCGCCCTCGGCCACCATGCCCTACTTTGCGACCCTCGGCTTCCAGTGCCCCGCCGCGTACAACCCGGCCGACTTTGCGATGGACCTCGTCAACGCGCCAGGCGACGAGGGGCTCACCAACAAAAAGACGATGGTGGACGCCTACGCGGAGGGGAAGTGCCCGACCGCGTACTCGCCTGCGGATGCCGCCGAGGAGTCCTCCCTCGCGACGGTCGAGGGCAGCCTCACCCTCAAGGGCGGCGACGCTGCGGACGGTGCAAAGTGGGCGACCGGCTGGGCGTACCAGCTCTCCGTGCTGACGCGGCGCAGCTTCCGCATCTGCCGCGCCGACCTGCTCACGAGGATCAGCCTGCTCGAGTGCCTCTGCGTGACGGTCATCGTCGGCTTGCTCTGGTGGCGGACCCCGTGGAGCGAGGAGCGCGTCCACGCCCGCTTCTCGTACGTCTTCTTCGCGATGATCTTCTGGCCATTCTCGGCCCTGTTCTCGGCGCTCACCTCCTTCCCGCAGGAGCGCCGCCACCCTCCCTACCCGCCACCGCAGCCACACCCTTAGCCGCCGCCTGCATCGCCACCGCCCTCGCCTCCATCGCCCTCGCCTCAACCCTCGCCACCACCGCCCCGCATCACCGCCGCCCTCGCCACCACCGCCCCGCATCATCGCCGCCCTCGCCTCCATCGCCCTCGCCACCGCCGCCCTCGCCTCCATCGCCCTCGCCACCGTCGCCCTCGCCACCACCGCCCCGCATCATCGCCGCCCTCGCCGCCACCGCCCCGCATCACCGCCGCCCTCGCCGCCGCCTCAGGAGCGTGCCATCCTTGAGCGAGAGAGAGCGTCGGGCTCGTACCGCCTCTCCGCCTACTTCCTCTCAAAGTCCCTCGCCGAGACGCCGCTCCGCATGGCCTTCCCGCTGCTGTACCTCCTCGTCTCTTACTGGATGGCCGGCATCTGCGACAACTTTGGCGTCTTCCTCGGCTTCGTGGCGATCGAGCTCCTCGTCGTCATCGCGGGCGAGTCGCTCGGCTACCTCATCGGCGTGACCTTCGTCAACCTTCGCCGCGCGATGGCGGCGTGCACCATCGTCGTCATTCTGCTCATGCTCGTGGGCGGCTTCTTCCTCGAGGGCGCCGTCATCCCGCTCTGGATGCGGTGGCTGCGCTTCCTCTCCCCCTTCAGCTACGCCGGCGCGGCGGCCTCCGCGCTGGTCTTCACGAGCGCGCCCACCCCGTGCGACGGCTCCGACGTCATCGCGGCTTGCGTCGGCCTCGACGCGAGCTCGGGCGCCGAGGCGTCTGGCGCGGAGGTGCTCGAGGCCCTCGGGCTGAGCGGCATCAACGCCAACATCGGGTTCAACGTGAGCATGCTCGTCGTCTGGTCGTGCGTCGTGCGCTTCTGGGCATACCTGCACTTGCGCTTCCTGCCCGGCAACCGCTCGAGCGGCGGCGCGCCGAGGCGGCAGTGAGTCCTCGCGCCTCTCCTTCGATCCGCCCCCCTTGGTTGCAAACGTGCTCCCTTCGCGGCAGAGTACGAGTGCTCAGTGTCAGTTTGTATCTCAGTGACATCAGTGTGCGATGTATATGTGATTGTGTGTGTTTAACACGCGTATTCCGGTAATATATCTGATGATATCTCACTGACACACACACTGACGGCAGTGACACTCCTCTCGTCTCACAGCACTGTGTGGAACGCGCTTGCGGATGCGCGCCCCAAAATGTCCGCCTCAAAAGGCCTCGTTCTCGCCCCTTTCCTGTACGCGTGGGTCTCAGAGGACGAATGCGCACCGGACCTTCGAGGACATCAAAGTCGGCTGCGCCCTACGGCCATCCAGCCGGCTCTCGAGTGTCGCAGCGCGACGCGCTTCACCCCTCGACTCCGCGCTGCGAGTCGATCTGGAGACGACGCTCGGCCACCGCCAACTCCACCCTGACGCGTCGCACATGCGCCGAGTGTCCCCCCCGAGGGTGTCCTTGTATAGTATGCTTGGTTGCGAGTTAAAAAAAGCCCGTTCCGCACCCGCAGCCAGCAGCAGTACACATGCCGTTCTGGTGCCCCTCGGCTGGCCAGAGGACGACTCACAATGCAAAATCGGAAAGACGTCACGAGGGGCCGTATAAACGGTACCGCAGCGGCCCGGGACACTAACAGTGAATTGCTGCCACTCGCCCGGCCTCCTCCCCCTCGGGGTCGCCCGGAAAGTGGGCTTGCGCACCGGCGCCCCCCCCAGCACGCCGACCCGAGGTGTACCCTCCGGCCACCTGGGCGGGGAGCGGAGTCCGATTTTGGCCCATTGGCTTCATCATGATGGATACGGAGGTGGCCAGCCCTTGGTTGTGCACCTGCGGCGCGAAGAGGAGGTGATCTCGGCGGACGACGGCCGTGCCAAGAGCGGGTGCAGCGCGGAAGAGGGTGCGCAGCGCGTCGCGGCCGCGCGCTTGGGAGCCGGGGGGATGGCCGGAGGGGGTGGGACGCCTGCATGTCCTCGAAGCTCCCACCCGCATACGCAAGCCGAGCCGCGAACGGCGGGGAGGGAGTTTTGGAGGGTCAGCCAAGGACGCGCATGGCGAGTGACAAATAGAGGCTCTTCGCTCTACACCGGTTTGCCATCGTGAGTCTCGCCCGCGCGCCCTCAAGATCTGCGGCGCGTGTCAGGGCAGAGCCGGCTTTTTTGGCGGCCGCAGTCCTGCAATCCACGTAAATATAGACAAGACGCAACTCACCCATCAGGCCCGGCTGCAAAGTTGCAGTTCGTGCAGCGGCCACCTCTGCTGTACCGCGGCTGGTAGGTCTGCGAAAAGTTCCGCTTCGCCTCCTCCTCCGGCGAGGCGGCCGCCGCGAGCGCCGCGTCTCCCGCGGCCATCCACTGCTGCGTGCTCCACCTCGTCCGCCCCGGCGTCGACCTGAGCAGCTCGCAGTTGGTGCTCTTCACGCCGAGGCTCGCCCGCTGCTCGCCTCGCATCCAGAGCGGGTGCGAGCGGAACGAGTCGAAGTCGACCGTCGCGCTCAGGTTGAGGGCTCCGAACTCGCGCGCCGCCGCCCGCCGCTGCAGCTCCGGCGCCTGCAGCCAGCGCCACACGTCCTGCTTGACCTTGCAGATCATGTCGCGCTCGTCAAAGTGCGGCCGCAGGTCGGGCCGGTTCAAGTACTTGCGCAGCTCGCGCGTGCGGCCCGCCGAGCAGGTCCAGCCGCCCTGCTGCCGGTCCACCTTGTTCTGCGACCGAAACACGTCCAGGCACGAGCGCGCCATGAAGGCGACGAGCAGGCCCGGCCAAGCGGGCAGCAGGTGCAGGTCCTTTGTCCCCATCGGAGACTGGATGACCGCGCGCTCGCCCTTGGCGCGGAGGTAGGCAAAGGTGCGCTGCAGCGCGCGCAGCGTGTCGTTGCCTCCCGTGATGGGATGGCGCTCGTCGTACAGGGAGTAGCCCAGCGACGAGGCGAGCGCGCAAGCGACCCAGGTGGTGCCCGAGCGCTGCGGACCGGTCACGAGGATGACCTGGTACCGGTCGAACGGCACAGCGCTCCACGGAACGGCGTCATCGACCAGCGGGTAGACGCGCAGGAGCAGCCTCCGGTGCGCCGCCAAAGCTTCGGCGCCGGCCGCGGTGGCGGTGGCCGGCGGCGGAGGCGGAGGCGGTGGCGGCGGCGCCACGGCCAGAGCTGGCCTGAGCTGCCGCTGCGACGGCTCGGCGACGGCAGCGGGAGCTGGCGCGCGAGGCTCGGCAGCAGCAGGCGGACGAGGCACCGAGATGCGACCCACCAGCACGCCGGCGAGGAAGATGGCTGCCGTCGTGAGGCGTGGCAGCGGCATTGGGCAAGAAACCCATGCGCGCGCAGACTCCTCTACCCGTCCCTCCCTGTTCGTTTGTCTATTTTCTTTCTTTTTTCCCCTCTCCTGCTCCTATCACCGCCCCTGCCACCCTCGGCGTGTGCCTCGGCCACCCCTGTCAGTGTGCCCGTGATAGCGAGAGACTGCCAGTGAGAAGCTGGAGGAAGGTCGCTAGTCGAGAGAGATCGCCAGTGGAATATGGAGTCCACCGTGCTGCGAACCTGTCGCTGTCCCTTGTCAGGAGCAGGAGAACTAGGAGAGCGCAACCAGTAGGAGGCCCGCGCCTGCCCCCGTGCCGCCGGGTGCAACTTTGTCCTATACGAGAGAGGAATTCCCTGCACCCTGGGACCCTTATGTCGATTGTCGTGTGGGTGAACCCTGCCCAGCCCCCCTCCGTGTCGCGATGCGCTCCCCACTCCCGTTCCCCTGTGTCCCATATCGTCCTTCCAAGATCCTGCTCGTGCAGGTGGGGACCCTGTCCTTCTCCCATCCCTCGTTGTCTGTTTTCTTTTCTTTCACATCTCCTTAAAATCCCTGTGTGGTGGCGGCGTGCCGTCCTCGCGTCCTCCCATCCCTCCCTTGGGTTGGTTTTATTTCTTTCTTTCTTTTTAGCGGGGGCGTACTTTCACAGCCAGGAAAAGGAATGAAAACAAAAAACCAGAACACAAAACAAGATGTTTTAGGCTGAACAAGCTTTTCCTCTCGCACCCCGTCTCTTTTCCTTTCCTTTTTTCTCTACAGCACCCTCTTTTTTCCTCTCCGTTTTCCCGGGGAAACCATCAAATTTTCCGGGCTCTGAGCCGAGTCTGAGGCTGGTTTGGGCCTTTGGGCCCAAAAAGCAAAATCAGCCAAATCGGCAAAATACCGGGGATTTTGCGGGTATACCTGGAAACCCCCGGGTATACCTGGAAAATACCCTGCGACCGCCTGGGTATCGTGCCGATTTCCTCAATTTTGCCTCAGATTTTGCCCCAGACCAGCTCTCAGACTCAGGGAAACTCGCGAGTTTCCAGAATGGAGCACCAAACACCCTCTCTCGAGGTTCTCGAGGTGGATATCCTTTGGCCGCGTTGGGTAGCGAGGATTGGTGTAACCCGAGCCACGGAGGCGTGTTTTCTGGCGGCCGACCGTCAGTGCACGGAGTTGCCACTTCTCCGACTGCCCCGGCTAGTTCCCGAGGTCGTCGGGTGTGACCCCTTCGTCCCCCGAGACCTAGCGCGGGTGGGTTGGAGGGGGCTCGCCCTCTGTTTTCCCTGGAAATTTCCGGAAACGCAAAGTGCTGGGGCCCCTCTGTTTTCCTTTTTGTTTGCCGGAAAAGCTTGTGGGAACTTGAGTTGGAACTTGAGTGTTAGAGTTGTTTGGAACTTGTGCAGGCCAAAAGATGTTGTTGGCAAAGCAAGAGACACAAGCTCTCTACACGTGAGTGCGCTGTCTTGGGTATGTTGTTAGCGAATCAGCGCTGTGGTGTGTAGTAGTGCGCCGGGCTGGTTGCCCGCCAAACAAAGTGAACTTGGGCTGAATCTCTCTCTCGAGGTCTCGAGGATACACAAATCGGGAGTCAGTCGAGCATGCTCTCGCGCTGCCGGTGGCGAGGCTGCGCTCCAGCACGAGTCGAGCTGGGCAGACACGCCCGAGGCTGCGCTCCAGCACGAGTCGAGCTGGGCAGACACGCCAAGCATTATTGTATCACCCGCCATGCAGCCTCGGCCTCTGACAGCACCCCACTGCTGCTGCACTTGTACGAGGAGATGCTGCGGATCCGCCTCTTTGAGCAGCGGTGCGTGGAGCTCTTTGACCGCAAGTTTGTCAAGGGCACCGCGCATTCTTGCGAGGGGCAGGAGGCGACCGCCGTGGGAGTATGTGGAGGAGGCCTGCTGACCGAGCGCGACTTTGTCCTCTCCCACCACCGCGGCCACGGCCATGTGCTTGCAAAGGGCGCCGACATGGGCCGCTGCCTGGCCGAGCTCGGCGGCCGCAGGGACGGCTACTGCGGCGGCATGGGCGGCAGTATGCACCTCGCCGACCTATCGAAAGGTGTGCTGGGCGCGAACGGCGTCGTCGGCGCGAGTCTGGCGCTGGGGTGCGGTGCGGGACTCGCCGCCAAGTACGAGGGGAAGGGTCGCGTCGCCGTCGCTTTCTTTGGCGACGGCGCCTCCAACCAGGGCCTCTTTCACGAGGCGTCTTCACCAGCACCAGCGCCAATGCCACCCTAGCGCCGCCGATTGCCGCCTCTCACCTCCGGACTACTTGAGCTCTCTAGATAGTTGTGCTTTGTTGCAGTTTGACCACCGCCAGGTCTCACCGCCGCCCCTCCCGCGTTGCCTCAGGCGCTCAACATGGCAGCCGTGTGGCGGCTGCCCGTCGTCTTCTTCTGTGAGAACAACCAGGCCGAAGACATTCCACTGCTCCCGCAGAGCACCTCGCCAGAGCAACACCCCCCAGCTGTGCGACGGGCTCCGCCGTGCGCATGGCGTGCCGCAGGTGGGTCTGTCCACCGACATCATGGACGTCATGGCGTCGGACGAGATGGGCAAGGTGCTGCCTCGCGCACAGGGCTACGGGGACGCGCTGCCAACGGACCGCAGGCTTCTCTTGCGCAGAAGCACGGACGGCAGTGGCTAGAGGAGCGGGGTCCCCGCCCTGCGAGCTTAGTGCAGGGGTCGTGGAGAGTCCCCGCCCTGCGAGCTTAGTGGTGGTACACTCGCCGTTATCCACGTCGCCCCTCCGGCCCCCCTCGCCCCCCTGCTGCTGCTCCTGGTTATGTCGTGCGAAGGTACTCAGGGTCGCACATTCTTTTCCGCAGGCTCTGCGTGGACGGCTCCGACGTGGCTCGCCGTCCTCGAGGCGGGCGCTGTCGCACCTCTTTGCTTCCGTCACACTTGTCTGCCTTCACAGGTCGCCGTCCGCGAGGCGGCCGCCTACTGCATCGGCGAGGCGCGCGCGGGCAAGGGGCCGAGCGTCGTAGAGGCGCGCACACCCCGCGGGCGAGATGGCCGAGATCGCGGTGCGGCTACGTCGCTCCACACAACAACAGACCGTGTCACGACCAGGCGCTCACCTTTCGGCACGGCTCGCACAACGTCGGCCAAAACCTGCCCGAGAGCACCCTCTCCGATGACGACCGCGAGATCCGGCGCAAGGAGCGGCTCCAGATGAGACAAGAGACTAGCACGAGAGACTAGCTTGGATTGGCCGGCGGAGTCCGGCTCCCTGGAGATGCCGAGAGGCGTACACAGCTAGTGACACCCGCGGTCTCTGCTCCCTCAAGGACCCGCTCTTCGTGCTGCGCGGCCGCCTCGCCCGCCTCGGCGGCGAGGAAAGCACGCTGCGCGCCATCGACGCCCTCACCGCGCGCGCTGCTGCCGCGGTGGACGCCGCCGAGACGTTTGCACGCGCGAGCCCGGAGCCGGGCCTCGCTGACCTGGATGCGGCCGTCTTTTCGCCGCCGAGCTTTTCGCCGCCGAGGCACGCCGCCGCCGCCGCCGCCGCGCCCCCTCAACCTCCGAGCGGGGCGCGCGAGCGCAGCTTCTCCGAGGCGATCGCCGAGGCGCATGCGGTCGCGCTGCGCTCGGACCCTCGCGTCGTCGTGATGGGGGAGGACATCGGCGAGATGGGGGGCGTCTTTCAGTGCACTGCCGGCTTGTCGAGCGAGTTTGGGGCGCGGCGCGTCATCGAGACGCCCATCAGCGAGGCGTGCATCGGCGGGTGTGCCGTGGGCGCGGCGGCGACCGGCCTGGTGGTGCCGATTGTGGAGGTGCAGATCATGGACATGGTCCCGCTAATGATGGAAAAGGTGGTCAACCAGGTCCCCCCCCCTAACCCTCCCCCCTGCCTCCTCGGGACGGGTCATGTCCCCGCAGCCCCCCGCCTGTACCTGCCCCCCCCCCCCCCCCTCGCGCGCCTTGCCAGGCGGCCAAGTGGCGCCTGATGCTCGGCGGCGAGGCGCAGCGCGACGCAGAGGGCCGGACTAATAATTAACGAGTAACTTAATTAATGATTCATTAATCAGGCGCAGCGCGACGCAGAGGGGCGGAGCGTCAGCATGCCCATCGTGATCCGCGGGCCGCAGGGCGGGGGGCACCGCCTGTCGGCGCAGCACTCGCAGTCCCTCGAGGCGTGGTTCACCGCAGTGCCGGGCCTCAAGGTCGTGATGCCGTCGACGCCACACGACGCGAAGGGGCTCTTGCTCGCGGCTGTGCGTGACCCCAACCCCGTCATCTTTCTCGAGCACAAGAATCTGTACGCGGCTGGCCCTCCTCCTCGCCTTCTGCTGCTTCGGCCGGCGCCTCTTCACGCGTTGGCTGTGAACAGGTACCAGCTGCCGCGTAGCCACGTGCCGGACGGCGACTACGAGGTGCCGCTCGGCGTCGCGTCCATTCTGCGCGAGGGGACCGACGTGACGCTCGTCGCGACGTCCAACATGGTGCACGAGGCGCTCAAGGCCGCCGGCCGCCTCGCCGCGCGCAAGGAGCAGCCGGTGTCCGTCGAGGTTATCGACCCGCGCACGCTGTGGCCGCTCGATGAGGCCACCATCCTCGACAGCGTCCAGCGGACAAGCAGGCTCGTCATCGCGCACGAGGCGCCCCGCCGCGGCGGCTGGGGCGGCGAGCTCCTCAGTGTTGTGCAGGAGAAGGCTTTCGACTACCTCGACGCGCCGATCACCATCGTGGCGGGCCGCGATTGCCCCCTGCCCTACAACGCAGCGCTCGAGAAGGCGTGTATACCGGGTGCGGCCCAGATCGCGGAGGCGTGCCTAGCGGTCGTGCAGCGGCCGGGGTTTGACCAGTAGTCCTAGTCTCGGGAACGTGCTCGCGTCACGTGCAACCCTTGTGAACCAAATCACGAAAGACATCTGCAGTGGTGCCTGGTGTGAGCGCACCCAGACGAGAGCACCCACTCACAGACCGCACACGAGGGCCCCTCAGTGGGAGGTGCAGGGGGACCACGCGCGAGCCCACAGAGAGCGCGAACACCCGGCATCGGACAGGATGATCCGTCGGGAGCGTGAGACGCATATCTACGCTCTGAATCAGACGCCCCTGCCTTCCTTCGGGGGCAAGTGGCGGGGGCAAGCCGGAGAAAAAGAAAAACATGCGCGTGCGCGCGCGCGCAGCGACACATTCACGATCGGTCAACGGTCGGTCAACGGTCAACGGAGGCTGCCTCCCGCCGGCGTCTACCTGCAGATGACCACCGCCGCACTCTTCACCGGCGATCGCGTCATCATCGCCGGCGTCACGAAGCGGCCCGAGCTGAACGGCGTCGCTGTCATCGTCACGGGAGAGGCAGCGAGTGCCGGTCGCTTCAACGTGCAGTGTGCCGACGGCCGCGTCTTTTCTTTGAAGCTGGAGAACCTCCGGCACGAACCTCCGCAGCCGCCGCAATCGCAGCCGTCACAGCCGCAGCCGCCGCAGCCGCCGCAGCCGCAGCTGCCGCCGTCAAAACAGCCGTCGCAGCCTCCCCCGTCAAAACAGCCGCCGCCGCCGCACGCGTCGGTCGAGCTGCCTTCCTCGCTGCGTGACGCGCCCATCCTCTGGTCGCTCGCCTTTGTCTGGCCGAAGGGGTGCGGCTTCGTCGAGTCCTTTAGCGGCAAGAGCGGCCGGCACGGCCCGGCGTGGTACGCGCGCTGCGTGGCGGACCTGGTGCAGACGCGCTCGCGCGCGAGGGCCGCCGACTGCTTCCTCGTCCACACACACGGCTCCATCTGCGAGTCGCACCGCGCGGCGCTCGAGCGGTACTGGCGCGCGGCCCTTCGCGGACACGGCTCGCTCGTCGTCGAGGCGTGCGACGCCGGAGCGTCGCCCTTCCTGCCGGTGCTGCTGCGGACGGTGCCGGTGATCGCGTGGCGCGAGGAGTGGGCGCGTGGAGCGGCGCGGCGGCGACCGGGCGGCCAATCCACGCCGCCTCACCTCGACCGCGCGTGTGTTCTGTAGGCGGGTCATGTCGTGGTCGCTTGCGACGTGCACGATAACCTCGCCTCGCAGGCGGCGGAGCTGAGCCTGCTGCTGAGAGACATGTGCGCAGGCTCCGACGAGCACGCGGCCGCGTCCCCGGCCGCCTCCCCGGCCGCCTCCCTCGGCCTCACCTTCTACGCCGTCTGCGACGACGAGCCCGACGCGCCCAAGCAGGGCTTGTGCGCGCGCCAACGGCGAGGCGGTGGCGAGGGCGGCGGCGGCGAGAGTTGCGGCGGCGGCGAGGGCGGCGAGGGCGGCGAGGGCGGCCGCCGCCCGCGGCGAGCTGCTGCGGCGACCGCGGCGGCGAAGCGAAAGCGGCTGCGCGGCGTGCTCTGGCACCCGGACGCGGGGCTGCTTGCGAGCACCGCGGCGTGGCGGAGGCGGCTCGGCGAGCTCGCGCGCGCAGACGCGGTCAGCGGCGGCGGCGAGGGCGGCGAGGGCGGCGAGGGCGGCGCGGGCGAGGGCGGCGCGGGCGAGGGCGGCGCGGGGTACGTGGAGCACGCCCTCGCCTACCACGACCGCGTCGGCCTCGCCTCCTCACACAGCGACGAGCTCGCGCTCGGCGAGTACCTCCTCGAGGGCCGCTGCCGCCGCCGCCGCGCCCCGCCGCCGCCGCCGTCGCAAGCCGGGTCGGCGGCGGCGGGGGGAGGGGGCGGCGTCTCGCCGCCGCCGCCCGAGCGGCTGCCTCTAGAGCAGGGCTGGCAGCGGGAGGGCTCGTCGCTGGTCGGGCGGCGCGTCGCTCGTCGCTTCGGCCGGACCGTCGCAAAAGGCACGGTGTCGGCGTGGCTGCCGGCGGACGAGGCGTCCGGCGACGCAGCGCTGTACCGCGTCTGCCACGACGACGGTGAGCGAGGGGTGGGCTTTGCGGCGGGGCCACGGGGGAGGCGCGGACTCGTCGTGCGTCTCGCTCTCATAGGCGACGTCGAGGACCTGGAGCTGGAGGAGGTTGGGGAGGGCGTCCGGTTGTGCGGCGAGCTCGAGGGAAGGCAGTGGCTGGTCGAGTTCGTGCGTCAGAGCGCGGCGCTCCGCTCGCACGTGCTCATGTGCCGCCCCGGCTCGCGGCCGCTCCCGATGCTCAGCCGGGAGGTCCAGCGCCGCCCGCCGCGCAAGACACTATTGCACGGCTAGCTTCCAACCCCTCTCCCTGCCTTGCGCTCGCAGCTGCAAGGCCTGATCGGGAGCGCGCCCCCAGAGTACTCCGGCCTGCAGCTCGCCCGCGCCGAGGGGGCACCCGACGAGCTGACGCCCGAGGATGTGGCGGCTCTGGGGTTGCGCGGCAGCGCATACAACCGCTGCATCTCTGAGCGGCTCGAGTGGGTATGAAACTCGTCTCGGAGCCTAGCGCGTGCCGCGTGCACGACTCTGGCTCGCCTGTAGATTGTAGTAGTGTAGCGCACATGGATATGCTCCATGCGCTGGATAGAGAGCCCGCGTCGGCTTACACCGCACAGTCTGTTCTCGCCCTCTCTCACACCGTGTTTTTTTACTGTTACGGAGTGGAACACCAATCAACGTGCACAATGGGACATGTTGCAACCTATCACTTGCGAAATCGACCACCTCCCCGGCGGGACTCCTCCTTTCCACGCCCGCCTCCTTTCTCGCCCCCAGCCGACCCCATCGCGCGACCAACCTGCGCCGCGAGAGGGGCGGACATCAGGGCTCGGGCTCTCGCCCCCGGGAGTAGCGCCGCGGCTCCTCGCGACTCTACCGCCAGGCGCCTGCTTTGCGGCCCGCTCTGCCGAAAGCACGGCGCCGATCCAGAGCCGCGACCAGAGGTACCTGCAGGGAGAGGCGCTGCGTGGTGGACGAGAGGCGGAGGCGCCGGTGCCGAGAGAGAGCGCGACGGCTGGCGACCACTGCATGCGCGGAGGGAGCAAGCGGGAGGAGAGCACGAACGCGGGGCCGAGCAGCCGCATGACCGCCACGCCAGCGGCCTGAGGGCGGGACCGTGGACGCGTCATGGACGCGTCACGCTGAGCCGCCGCTGCGTTGACAGCAGTCGTGCCGGGTAGCGGAGGACGATGGCGAGCGGCACGACCGTGGAGAGGACCAGCCCGCGGTGCTCCGACGCAAAGGCGCGCGCCCGCTCGAGGCCTCTGCCTGCGAGTGGGGTGGTGGGGGCCTTCTCGAGGAGGGGGAGGGCCTCGTCGCTCGCTGCAGTGGCCGTCGGTGATCTCTCGCTCCCCTTCCCTCTCTCTCTCTCTTCTCGTCGAGGATCACATCGGGGGCTATGTGCGCTGCACTACACTCGCCTGTCGCCGCCTCCTGCATCGCCTCGCGCAGCTCGACCCCGACGCGGTCGATGTAGCTCTCGATGTCCGCCACGCCGAGCTCGCGCCACACCGACGCAAACAGGTCGGCATACGGGTCCTGCGGGCGCGGGTCGATGGTCGAGCGGGTCCTCCTCTTGCAGCGGCCCGCTTGAAGCGTCTAGGAGGAGAGTGTCTGGGACAGTGTCTAGGAGGCTGCCTGTCCGCCCGAAGTATAGCTCGGCCCTTGCGACGCCTGCCTCCTCCGCCCGGCGGCCTGCTGCTGCTGCTGCTGCTGCTGCTGCTGCCCTGCGCCCGCCGCGCTGCCGTAGCGGTCGTACTCCGAGCGGCTCGCTGGGTCGCGCAGCAGGTCGTACGCCTCTGAGATCTCGCGGAAGCGTGCCGCGGCGGTCGGCGCCTTGTTGACGTCAGGGTGGTACTGCTTTGCGAGCGCAAAGTACGCTTTCTTAAGCTCTCCAGCGCTGGCCGACCGCGAGACTCCAAGCACCGTGTACGGGTCGCGGCCTGTGGCGAGCGAGCGGACACGGACGCGCAGCAGGCGGTGCCGCGGCTCGGCCCGGAGCCGCGGCTCGGTCCGCAGCCATGCAGGCGAGCGGAAGCCTCGCGCGAGCGACCGCGAGCAGGCCGGTGCTGACGAGGCCAGGCCGCGTGCTGCAGGTAGCGGCCGAGAGCGGCACAGGGAGAACATCTGACGAGCTAGTGGTGCGCGGGCCAGTCTCAGCATCGTCGTGAGCCCACCCTTCGGGTAACGGCTCGTCGTCGGCCACCGGGGCTGGCGGCGGCGGCGAAAAACAAGAAGTCGGGCTGGGGTGTTCGGGGAGGGCAGTTAGGGGTGACCGGTACACGGAACCATCCCTCGGAGACGTGTTATGGCCCTGCGACCGCGCACCCCCGGGGCTAGGGCTCTCTAGCCCGTAACCCGATCCCGAGCGTCCGGCCAACAGCAGGACACTAATTTCAGCGGAAACGCGATCAAAGACGTGATTTTGTGTGAGCGCTGCGTCCAGTGCTTGCCATTTACTGGTAAATGAGTGGTATTGACCACTTATTTGATTCGCAGAGAGTGGTATGGTAAAATACGAAACTCCGTGGAATCATCAATTTTTCGAGCTCTGAGCCGAGTCTGAGCCACAGTCTGAGGCTGGTTTGCCGCCAAATTCAGCAAAATCGGCAAAATACCGGGTATTTTGCGGGTATACCTAGAAAACCCCGGGTATACCTGGGAAATACCCCCGGTATTTTGCCGATTTCTCCGATTCGTTTGTCAGATTTTGCCTCAGAAGTCCGGGTAAATCTTACCACCGTTTGATTGTTTTGGCCGTAGAGTGTTTGATTGTTCTGGTGGGCTATACCAGTAAATGGCAAGCACTGGCTGCGTCTCTCGCTTTTTGCTAACAAACCAAAACCTAAAAACTCTCCGCATCGGCCATCGCCATCGGCGGGCACCCCCCGTGGAGGGGCACGTCCGAGGCGAAGGCAGCCTCAAAGATTGGGAGGCTGCGGTTGTAGATCCACTCCTTGAAGCGCAGGGCGCCGTGCTCGGCGAGGTCGTTTCTGCACGCGGCGACGAACCCGAGCTTCCGAAGGCAGTCAATCGAGATGGACTTGACGCGCCGGACCGGCCTCCACGAGCAGTTAGCGGAAGAAGTCGCCGATGGGCAGCGCCCGCTGGCCGGGTGACTGAACCACGAGCCGCGGGCGGCATGCGGCGAGCACTGCCCCGAGAGCGGAAGATCAGGGTCCCCAAAAGGGATCTGCCTGCCCACGAAAAGCCGCTCCAGTCCAATGCACAGGCCGGGGTAGCCGTTGCACTGTCTGTACTGTCCCCATCGGGGGTCCATTTCGACCTCCCACTCCGAGACCGTGTCGTAACCGTTCGATTCCTTCTCTCCGCTCGTCAGGTCTGGGCACAGGAAGGCGACGTCACCGCGAGCATCGCCTGAGTCCTGGTCGTCGATGTCGACATATTGGTGCGGGTGTGCAAGGTAGACGTTGGTCCGCTGCTTTAGGCGTCCGCCGTCACACGGGGGCAGCGGGTCCAGGCAACCGGGCCGAGGGACGGTCCACATTGTCGCGGACTGAGCAGCGCCTGCAATCGCCGAAGTGAAGCTCCATCGGCGAACCTGCGGAGTCATCCTCGGCGTCCCTGGAAGATGCACCCACGGAAGAACGTCGAGCTGTGCGGGGAGCTCGGTTGTTGGATCCAACGTCACGGAGTAATTCGTTGCTGCGGCCGTGTCGGAGTAGAAGAGAGTGTGTGCCCCGCGGCGTGTCGCTCGGGCCATCCAGCTAAAGTCGACGAGTTGACCGAACGTGAAGTTGAGCGGCATGGGTCTGCAATCGTCGACATACTGCGAGTAGAGCCTACGGCTTTCACCGTGCCCCTCGAGCCAGTACACGAGCAGCGACGAGTTCAGCCGCTGCCGAAGCGCCGTTGCCTGACTGTCGTAATAGAATGAGGCGCTCTCCATCCCTGCACCGCAGCTGCCGTTGGCTCCAATCTTGCACGAGAGCATCGCGCTCCAGACCTTTGGCCACATGTCGGCATAACCCAGCGGCGTGGACCGCGGATGCGCGGGATGCGCGGCCGGGTGCAAGGCGTGAGTTAACGCGGCACGCTCTGGGTTCAATCATTTGCCTGGTGCGGTACGAAAAAAAGCGGCCGGCAGGACCATAACCCCCCAGTGAGCGTTCTGCATGAGTCAAATAGAAATAATATAAGTAAATACATGAGGAGGGTGGTAAATGGCAGCGAGTCACCGCAGCCTGCTCTCGAGCTTGTCGAAAGGTTGGATGCAATCTCTCAAATTACGGCTTGCGTTTTGCCGCGCCGCATGCGTTCTTCCGCGTGACAGCATCACGGACGATCTCGGACGAGGCGACTCGCCAGGCCACCGAGAGCGCAGGTGAAGCCGTCCAAAGCGCATTCACATCGCGGGTGCCAGCAGAGTCGTGGCATCGTTGGGCCAAGTGCTCGCCAACAGTGGTGAGTTGAACGCTTTCGCCGCCTCGAGGTACTGCATCCAGGACTGGACAAGTTCAACTGGGGTGCCGATGCCGCTGTCAAACTGGATGGGGCCGTAGACGTTTGACGTGTAGATGAGATCCTCGTCCGTCACGCGCTGAGTCGCCTCGTGACGCGCGCCCGCAGGCTCCCAAAAGTAGGTGCCCGGGCCGAAGCCCTCGGCGGGGCCAGCTCGGTAGCCGATCCGTCCGTGGGTGACGAAAAAGTCAGCGGGTCCCAGGTGGTAGTGCGGTGGCGCCTGGCCGTTCTGCCGTACGATCATCGACACGGTGCCTGTCTCCGAGCTGATGCGCATGATCTTCAATGCGATATCGGGCGCCTCCGGGTTGCAGATCCAGGGCAAGGCATTTGTATCCACCCAGTGCGGATTGGTAAGCTTTTCCACGATGGGCACTTCAGCCTTGGCCACCCGATCCCAAGCAGCCTGGCTATCATCGCAAGCCAGTGGCTCAGCGCTGCCAGCGTATGGCGTTGGCTTTTCTCCCATCGCGTCCTCTAGCGATAGTGGCACGAGTGGCACGCCTCGCTTGTAAGCCGCCGCCATGACGTCAACGCCTGTGAGCAAGCCACTCACGGCTCCCTTGCCATCTAGGAATGCAGCCCCGCCGTAGTACGTGGCCAGGTACTCGGTGTCCTCGACTGCGGCGACGCCCTCAATTGCTGCTCCAGCCGGAGCGTAGCCCCACACTCCTGGCCCAACCTCTCCCTTCATGGGGCCAGCGCCGTAAGATAGCTTTCCTGACAAGATAAACATGTCCTGCGCGCCAAGAAGCACTTGCCGAGGCTGTGTCACCCCCTTAGGCTGCCTCACCACGATCGTGAAGTGGCCTGTCTCGCGGCTTGCACGCAGCGGCTTGAAGGAGCAGCCTGGCATTGTCACCAGAGGGATCCACGGTAGTGCGTGCGTGTCGACACCCCCTTCGATTCCATCGGGCTCCCACTCTGGGTTATACTCGGCACCCTTCACGCCCGCATGCTTCTTCAATGCGTGCGCTGCCAAGGTGTTGCCACCTCCGTCGTCACAGGCTGCGATGTGTGGATGCTGTCGCGTGCGTGTCCCAGCATTGCGGAGAGGATTGAGTGGGTGGAGTAGCAGGCCCGATGCGAGCAGCAGCAAGTGCGTGCACATCCCAGTTGGCCCGCAAGGCAAGGGCGTCGGGCCGGAGCGCGAACTTGTTTGGTTGGAGCTGTCGATGACGGGACGGGCACCCTTGCTTGCCTATGCTGGCGTGTCGCCTTGCTATCCCTCGCCGCCTGTCCACCCTCTCCTCTGCCACAGCCAACGCACTCCTGCAACCGCACGCGGGTCTCATCCCTGCGTCCGCTGGATCGGAAACGTCGGCTCCACTGCTCATCGAGGGCGGCACAGTGATTGACGGCTCGGGCGCCGCCCCAGTTTCCAGTCAGGCGATCTTGGTGGTGGGGGATGAGATTCGATCGGTGGGGCCTGAGGCTGTCCAGGCGGCGGGAGCAGTTGGCGCGCCCTTGCCGGGGGCAGACGCGGTGCGAGGGCCGGTGCGCAGGATAGATGCATCCGGCCAGTGGGTTTTGCCCGGCCTGATTGATGCTCACTGCCACGTCTCGTTTCTGGAGCCATCGTCGAACGACGAGCTCTTCTTTCACCGACCCAGTGAGGGCCTCACGGCCATTCTCGCAGCGAGAGACGTGAAGAAGCTGCTGCTTGCGGGGTGCACCGGATTTCTGGACGCTGACGTCTTGTACAATGTGGGAGCAGATCTGAGGGACGCAATCGAGATCGGCGCTGTCGAAGGGCCACGAATGGCTACCGGAGGCAACGCGCTGCTCACGGCTGTGGGTGGCACCGCGGGGAGGCTGATTCCCGAAGATGGACTGAGGGGATACGCCCAGGTCGTGCGCAGCGGCGAGGATATTGTTCGCACCGTCCGGCGCCAGATTAAGCACGGCGCAGACTGGATCAAGCTTCACATCAGCGGGCTAATCCCACGCCAGATCTCCCGTGGCGAAATTAGCGTGTGGAGTATTGACGAGATCCGGCTGGCGGTGGAGACTGCGCACGCGCTGCATACACCGGTCGTGGCCCACGTCCGCAACTCGGACTCGACAAGGGATGCGGCGAGGGCCGGGGTCGACCTGCTGCTCCACGCTACAAACATGGACGAGGAGGCGCTGGAGGCGGTGATCGATGCGATGGTGCCCGTTTGCCCAACGTTGACGTTTCAAGCCAACCTCGCCGAGTATGGCGCCGCGGCCGGGGCGAGCCCAGAGCTCATCGAGGTCTTTCGTCGCGAGATTGAGGACTCGAGCGTGATGCTGCGGCGGGCGTATGACGCGGGTGTCCCGATGCTGTGCGGCTCCGAGAGTGGCTTCACCATCACTCCCGTCGGTGAGTGGCACGGCCGCGAGATGGAGGTGTTTGTCAGGCGACGCCCACCTCCAACCTCACCTCCCGCCTCTACGCAGTCTGTTGCACTCCCCCTTTCGCCTTGATAGGCACCTCGGGATGACTCCGCTGGAAGCAATTACATGCGCAACTCGGGAGGGGGCGAGAGCGTTGCGGCTCGATGGCCGAGTGGGCCAGATCGCGCCCGGGCAGGCGATCATGACGTGTCGCAGGGCAGCTCCGCAGATTTTGCGTGACAACTGCGTTGTGCCTGTGAATAGCTCGCCGATCTTCTCGTGGTTGACGCCGACCCGCTGCAGGAAGCCTAGTGCCGGTCTTTGGGCCTTAGCCACCATAGGCACTGAGTGGACGCCTTCGCCGCCCTCCCCGTGCTCAGGACATCCGTGTGCTGAACGACCGCAACCACCTTATGTCAGTCGTCTCGAAGGGCCGCGCTGTCGACCTCACAGTGCCTTGGCCAACACGACGTCCCTTTCGGGGCGAGAAAGTGGCGCAGTGGACGGGCGTGCCGCTCACGCGGGAACTGGCACTGAACATCGACAAGAAGCGTGCTAGCAAATAGAGGACAGAGCAAGTCGAGCTGGTGAGGGTGTCTCCGCAACGATTCGATGGGACTACCACGGCGACCGGCTGACCCAGGCGACGACGCACCGCGGCAAGTTTGCAGTCGGACTCGATATGAAGCTGCCAGAGTTTACGGCGGGCCACAAGGTGGTCGAGGTCGACTGGAAGAGCGGGCCTGGCAAGGTCATCGGGGGCCCGCGGTGGATGTACAAGCAGTCGACATTCCGACAGGACGTGCTGATGAAACAGTACCACGCGCCGTGGGATCCCACAACCGACCGCCTCGAGATCGGGGACGATCCACACTACGGGGCGGTGTCCAACAAGTACGGCTTCGAACCGAAGGTGAAGATCAACACCCGCGACTTCAAGGTGGTTGCATTCCAGCCCGACCAGTGGAAGCAACTGGACCTGCCAAAGGAGAAGTAAACCCAGGGTTATGGGAGTAAACCCAGGGTTATGGGATGCGTTTTATTTTATGGGTCTCGGGGATACATCAACGTTCACATTGCACTACGAGTATCACACACAGACTGATTCACAGACATGTTCACAGATCACAGAGGGGTGCGGGTGGATCGAGAGAGGGCCCCTCTATGCGCGCGAGCGCCGAGCACGCGGGGGCCGCCGGCGCGCGAGCGCATGCACACGGTTCGCGCCGCAAATGCTCCTCAAGGGCAAAGCCAGCCTCCATCGACGTCAATCGTCGTGCCCGTCACAAAATCGTTTTCTATGGCAAAGATGATCCCCTTGGCCACCTCCTCGGGCTGGCCAGGCCTCGCGATTGCGTTGGCGGCCGTCATCTCATTCAGCCGCGAGTTCGTAGTGCCGTCCGCCGACCCAAACATCGGCGTCGCGATGATGCCCGGGCTCACCACGTTGATGCGGCGCGGCGCGACCTCCCGTGCGATGGAGCGCGCCATCTGCTCGACGGCGGCGCCGACGCTCGCCAGTGCCACCTGGCCTGGTTTCGGCTTGCGAGCTGGAGCCCCGCTCACGAGCACGACGCAGCCCGTTGCACTGAGGTGCGGCACCGCGCACTGGACCACATTTGCGTATCCCCACAGCTTGTCAAAGGACCCCTTGTAGCCATCGAGCCCCATCTCGAGAAATGGCCCGAGGGCGCGACCGCCGCCCGTCGCAGCGCTCACAACAATGTCAAACGGCGCCTCGTCCGCGCAGAGGGCGCTCACGGCGGCGGCATCGAGAACGTCGCACGGTCGCAACTTCAGCTCAGCCGCAATGACGGCCGGCACCTTGGACGGGTCACGAGACGCGGCAACGACTGTGGCACCTCGTTGCTTCAGTAAGCGCGATGCCGCCAGCCCAATCCCACTGGTCCCGCCAAACACGAGCGCCTTTTTGCCCTCGATCAGCATGGCGTAGTATCCAGCTGAAGGGGCACCTTTTGCGGTTGCGCTAGCACAACGTGCGTGCCCGCCGCCAGACTACAGCCGCAAAGCGAGAAAAAGCGGAAAAGAAAAACAACCTCCTTCACATACGTCTCGCCGCTTTCCTCCCGCTGTGATTCTGTGTGAGCTCTGTGTCTTGATCTGCTAACAACATAGTACATACGGTACCTAACACATTAAAAGCCGTATGTACGGCACCTTTAGCCCGTACTTGCCGTACTATACGTACGTTTCATTGTAATATCAGAGACGAGAGAGAGAGAGAGATTTTTAGCTCAATTGTCAATATCTAGATACCAAACAACTCTAACACTCACATGAACGATGTCGATGAACACAGAACACATCATTTTTGTGGTTTGTAATATCAGAGTAGAGAAAAAAAACGAGAGAGACATTTCACAGTCTACATGCCCCAAATTCTCACGACGGGGGCGCCACGGGGTCGCCGAGCTCGCTGCCGGCGCACTCGACCAACTCGAGTTGTCGAGAGATCTCCGGCCGAGGAGGGAGTAATGCACGCCCCAGTGCGCAACGACGGCGATCCGCCTTTCCGGCCGCTGCTCGAGCCACATGAGGAATCGGCGCATCCGCCGCACAAAGTGCTCCGCCGGTTCGACGGGCAGCGCCTCGCCCTGCAGTGGCGCGGGAGGCGGCCGCCGCCACGGAAGGAGGCGCCGCCGCTGCTGTAGCGACTGCCTCGCGCTGCGGGCCGCCGCCGCCTCGGCCGCGCTGCCCTCCCACCACCACCGCTCCGCGAGCGGCTCGCCCCCGCCGTCGGCAAAGAAGGCGGGAAACTCGGCGCGAAGCTCGCGCGGGCTCCGTCCCACGTCCGAGGAGAGGTACCTCCGCTCGGCGAGCAGCGGCGAGACCGTCTTGGTCACGCCGCTCAGCGACCCTACTCCAAGCTCGGCGGTGCGGAGCGCGCGCGTGAGTGGCGAGGAGACGAGGAGCTCGATTGGAGCACGCTGGTGCGTCGTACGCAGCGCTCCCGCCGCCTGCGCCTCTCCCTCTTTTGTGAGGCGCGTGTCAAAGAGACCCGGGTCGACAAAGCCGAGGGTGCCGTACGGGTGGGATGAGAGGTAGACGTTCATCTCTGTCACGCCGTGCCGGACGCATAGGAGAGTCTTGTCGGCGAGCAGGAGCATGGACACCTTTTCGCGCTACCTGATGCTCAAAAGAAACAGCGCGGCGCATAAACGCACAACCCCGGGCCCGAAATCGCACAGTGGCAGTCAGACATTCACAGTCTATTCACAGTCGACTACTAGGTGAGTCGCTGACTAAGAGGCGACTGGCTCGAGGAACGGCCGGTGGCTCAGGGTGAGTGGGTTCCACACGAACCGGAACTGCTCCAGCAGCGTGCACTCGTCGGCGTGCCAGCCGCGTCCCGGCCGGTCGCCCTCGAGCCGCAGCTCGAGGAAGGGCTCGTCCCTGTCGCCCATGCCCGGCCACGAAGGCAGCGGCGCGCCCGACTTGACAAAGGAGACCCAATGCTCCACCATCCTCCTGCCCAGCGCGCGCTCGTCGGGGCTCAGGCGGGCGGCGCGGTCGTCGGCGTGCCAAAACACAACCTCGTTCGCGCCGTGGTACGCGCCCAGCCAAGGGCGCACCTAGGAGAGAGTCGCCCGCCTCAAAGGCTGACGACGCCACCGACCGAACTCCTCGCTGCGGGCCCGCCTCGTGGTCGATGCAATCTCGGCAAATCTCGGGTAATCGGGGGGGCGATCTCGGGCCGCACCTCCCGGTCGAGGAAGCGGCGCAGCCAGCCACTCAGCCCGGGCGCAAAAGCGCCGTCCGAGAGGTCTGCCGAGAAGACGTACCGGAAGGCGCGGCCGGGCAGGCGCGCCGCCGCCGCCCGCGCGACCCTCCGCGAGGGGCAGGCAAAGTAGCCGTCGGTGGAGAGGTCGAAGAGGGCACGCCGGTAGCGGTCGCCAGGCGGGTAGCGGGAGAGGGGGTACCGCTCGAGCACCGCAGTCCGGTTCGCGCGGCTCGTCGCGGGGAAGAAGCGGCGGACCTAGCGTCGTGAAGGTTCCAGGAAAGGTCTAAGAAAGGTCTACGAAAGGTCTAGGAAGAAGCGGCGGACCTAGCGTCGTTGGGCAGCCGCGTGGCGGTCGTGACGGTGGTCGATGCGGCTACGGGCGGACGCGGCGCACCGACTCGCGGAGCATGAGCTCGTTCACCATAGGCAGCCCGAGCAGCTCCGGCAGGGCCTCGGCGGGCGTGAAGCCGAGGAAGAGGGAGATGTCGTCGCGGTTGGTCCCGATGAGGAGAGGGCGGGCGGGCAGCTCGCCCGCCGCAAACAGGCCCGCGAGGCTGCCCCCTCTGGCGAGCTCGAACCCATCTGCCACCGGAGGCTGCAGCGCGCGCATTGACTGGTTGAAGGCCTGCCCCTGCTTGTTGACGAGCCACCACGCGTCCGCCTACAAGGGCGTGACCGCGGTCGCGTCGCCGAACACGTCCCAAGCGTGGCCTCCGCCGCCGCGACTCGCTGCCGAGCGCAGGCAAGCCAGCCGCGCGCTTCCGCCGCCGGCGCAGCGCGCGCTCAAAACAGTGTACCGCTCGCCCGCAGCGACGGCGTCGCCGAGCGGCGTCGAGTCGTCGTTGCCCGACATGGCGATGGCCTGCCCACAGCTGCGGGCGTGAAGGGGCGCCCTTCAGAGTTTCTCGGCTGCACCGTCGACGCGGCGATCGCCTGCGCAAAGAGGGATGTCGAGCGAGGCAGCGCCAGGTGTGCGATGACAGACATCGCGCCCGCCGACTCGCCGCTGAGGGTGACGCGAGAGGCGTCGCCACCGAAAGCGTGGGCATTCCGTCGCACCCAGCGCATGGCCTCCCTCTGGTCCTGCAGACCGTAGTTGCCCGTCGTGCCGCTCTCTGCCAGCAGCTCCGGCAAAGCCAGGTTTCCCAGCACGCCGAGCCGGTAGTTGATGGAGACGACGACGATGCCGCGCGAGCAGACCACGTGTGCTGCGCCCGAGAGGTTGCTGTTGCCGGAGAGGAAGGAGCCGCCGTGGATATACAGCATCACCGGAAGCGATGAGTGCACATCGGGCGTACTGACGGTCAGAGTGAGGCAGTCCTCATTCATCGTGCGCCGGCTCACACCAGCGATGGCCTCCTCGAGCCGCTCTGCCCAGCCAGGCAGGCCGTACGAGTTTGCGTCGGGCGTCTGCACGCACTCGGGCTCGACAACGCCGTCGGAGGCGTCTCGCACGCCCGCCCAGGCTCGGATCGGGACTGGAGGACGGAAGCGAAGAGACCCGACCGGAGGCTCGGCATACGGAATCGCGCGAAAGGTGGTGCAAGCCCCGCGCGTGTATCCGAGAACGGGTCCCGTGTCGGTGTGGACAAGTGTCATTGTATCGATGGCGGAGAAATAAGACGGCTGTGAATGGGGAGAACTACCGGACCGCCGCCAAGAGGGATGGGTTCGGTCTTCGATACAGGCCGGGAGCGGTGTCTCAACGTCGCCCCAACGCATAGCGTCTGGATGCGTCCAGCGTGTCACTGGGTCGAATCTCTCTCTCTACTCTGTCTCTCTACTCTCAGAAAGGACCCGCGCGGCAGCAAGGACACGATTCGAAATCCCCTCCGCTAGCTCTCCCCGCCGCCGCCGCCGGCGGCATCCGCTCCCAGCGTCAGCAGGCTCGCCTCGGCACGCATCGCCGCCACTCCCTCCTCGATCAGCCGCGCCGCCTCGGCCCAGCGGCCCGCCTCGTCGGTCGCAAAGAGAGAGAGCGCCTCGCTCGACGCGCCAGACGGGAGGGAGAGCGTGTCGCCCGTCACGACTCTCTGCGCACCGCTCGCCGCCGCGTGTGCCGCCTCGCCGCCGCCGCTCGCCCACCGCAGCGCGATGTGCGACTCGAGGGCGGCGGGCGGCGCCGCGCCGCTGCCCGCGCCGCTCAGAAGCGACCGCACCCTCGCCGCCTCCTCCGCAAACGAGCGCCCCTCGTCCACAAAGTCGCGAGCGCTTCGCACGCGGCGGCCGCCGCCTCCGCCGCGCTCGCCGCCGGCCGCGCCACGGAGGAGGGCCGCCTGGTCGTCTGCCGTCATCGAGAGCACCATGCGCGAGGCTGGACCGCCCAGCGTGGAGAGGCGCCGCTGGAGCCGCCGCTCCGCGACGAGGCGCGAGAGACCGATTGCCTCCTCCCAGAGGCCGACGGCGCGCGCACGCGCGGACTCGACCGCCGCTGCGTCCGCAGCGGCGTCGCGCAGCTCCTCGCACCGCAGGCGCAGCTGAGGCCGCGACGACGCCACCGTGGCGACGCGCAGCCGCCTGGTGCCCACCAGTAGCGCGCCCTCAGCACTGAGTTGGCAGCAGACAGCCTCGGTGGCGAGCGCGCCCGTGTAGGCCCGCTGCACCACCGTGCCTCCAGCCGCCTGGATCGCAGGAACGTGAGCGAGCGGCGAGGACATCCCCGACCGGAGGAGCTCGAGGCGCACGCCGTCCAATGGCGCGGCGCTGGACTGCACCAGGCGTGTCTCGCCCACCCACATTGGCAGAGCAAACGGCTCGACGAGTGCCAAAAGCTCAGTTCCAGCCGGCTGCACACCGCCGCGGATCGCGGTGAAGCGCCAGCCGCCGTCGCCGGCAGAGCAGCGCGGTGGTGAGCAGCGCGGCGGCTGGAGGCAGAGTGACAAGATCGAAAACGGCAAGACAGCTGAACCGCCTGCAACCCGCCTCGACAACATCGTCGACATCTGCTGGGCGGGGGCCTCGCCTCTCTCACAGCACGCTGGCACGACAAGGGCGAGGACTGGCGACTGGCAAAACCGGCTCACCTGGCCAAAAGAATTTTTGCATGCGCTCCCTCGCACAACACTGGGCTGTCCCTTGTCAGGAGCAGGAGAACTAGGAGAGCGCAACCAGTAGGAGGCCCGCGCCTTCCCCCGTGCCGCCGGGTGCAACCTGTCCTATACGAGAGAGGAATCCCTGGGACCCTGTCGTGTGGGTGAACCCTGCGGTTCCCTGCCCAGCCCCCCTCCGTGTCGCGTCGCGATGCGCTCCCCGCTCCCGTTCCCCTGTGTCCCTGATCGTCCTTACAAGATCCTGCTCGTGTGCAGGTGGGGACCCTGTCCTTCTCCCACCCCTCGTTTGGCGTGCGCGTTTTATTTATTTATTTATATACACTGGGCACGGGACTGGCGCGCACTGGCACTAACACAGGTACACCAAAAGAAGTGTGACGTGACTCGCCGCTTTCCTCCCGCTGTGATCCTGTGTGAGCTCTGTGTCTTGTTTTCCCAACAACATACATTACAACTGTAGCCACGCATGGTTTGTCATGCATGGTTGATGTAGAGCCCGGGGTTGTAGGCGCATGACATCGATGGGGGAGAGGTGCGTCGGGTCGGATCCGTTCGTCGCGCTACGTATGTCGTGGCCGGTGCGGGTGTAATGCTAATGGCTGGGGGCCGGTGTTACTTTATAGGTAGGTAGGGGTGTTACCGTCACAGATAGGGTGGGAACCTGGTGGGAACGTTCGAATGGCGCTTGGAGAGAGGCTATATATTGGTGATTGCGCTGGAGGGGGCCGGATATGCTGCCGACACCAAAGAGAGATGGCGCAGCCGGAGGGCTGGCGCCGTCAGAGAGGATGGAGCGGCCACAGAGGTGGCGCGGCATCAGGTCCCATGAGCAGGGAGAGAGCGCAGCGAGAGCGCCGCGCATGAGGAGCAAGGGCCAAGCGCGCTCGCGAAAGTAGGCGGCGAAAGCGCGCACCAGCTGAAGTGCAAGTTTGGTGTTCACAGCAGCGGAGGCTGAGTGAAGACCGCATGCGATGTGCGCGAGGGCACACGAGAGGGACTCAGGAGAGGTATCCGTGAGTACCCTACGATAAACTAGTGGCCTTACCACGAGTTGGGGCCCCCACCCCATGCCAATCGTTATCGGCGGAGAAAACAAGGCGGCTGTCGCCGGAGCGGTCGCTCGCGCTTGCTGACTAAAGCGCTAAAATCGTGATATCCTGACCCCCCGCCCCTTTAAGGACGGGCACGCGGCCAAGGCCCAAGCGCAAGCGCAAGCGCCAAAAGGCCCGGCGCGCGGCGGCCGGCGCGGGGACGGCATATGGGTACGTATGGCTTTCGTACATGCGGACGGGAACGGCGATTCTCCGACCGGTCGCCGACCCGGCTGGCACCCGGTCCCGGAGACCCGCGCGAGACGAGGAGCGCGAGAGCCGAGAGAGCGAGAGACCGGTCACGCTCACGGGGCGTCACGGCGACAAGGCACAAGCGAGGCAACGATTCTCATGCCCACACAGAAAGGACCAAAATGATGTACAAAGTTGCTGAGGCCTCTGGCAAGCAGTTTACTATGTAAACCCAATTTTGGTGTTTATAACATTTTTGGCTGGCCGCCTGGCAGCGGGGGGCCAGCCCCCGCCATGGGCCCCACCGGCTGCGCACGGAAAATCTCCTAAGTCGATTTGTACCGGATTTTGAAGATTTTGGCAAAAGTGCGAAACCGAAAATGGCGTTTAAATTTGCGCACCTGCTGTCCGCCGCCTGCGGCGGCGCTGCGCGCCGCTGGCGCGCGCTGCGCGCGCGTTTTTGTTTGGGGTGCAGCGGCGCTGCGCGCCGCCGTAGGGGCGCCTGGGGGGGGCCTGCACAAAGGATGCGAGCTCGAGCACATCGACGCAATCGACGGCGGCATCGAGGAGGGGATCAACCTGGGTGGGGGTGGGGGATGGGTGGGGTGGGGTGGTTTGGGGGGGGGGGGGGTCTGGTGGGTAAAGGGGGGGGGGGGGAGCCTTTGGGTCACTTGCCCCCCACCGGTCACTTAACCAACGGGGTGCGGGGGGAACCTTCCCCTTTCGGGGGGCCCGGGCCCAACCACCCGGGGCCGTGGGGGGGGGCCGGGACAAGCCCCTGCGGGCCGCGAGGGGCCCTCTGGGCCCCCCCAACC